ATTTGACAAAACAAATTGTCAAATTTATAAACAGGTAAGTACTCTTTTTCAAATTTGGGATATTCTTCTCTTTGCCTTCAAGTTTTTGGTTATCTCAATTCTCAAATACATTATTAGTATTTACACTTCTCCGTATGAAAAGGACGACAGCTTAGGAATCAAGGGCATGCCCTATGCAATACGTATGATCGAATACACGTGGCGGTGACAGAAAGAGAATTTTATATATAATATTTTAAATAAATTATATAATAAAATAAAAATTTTTATTACATATGTGTCTTTATGCTTGAATTGGGATAATATGGCAATAAAATAAAAAATTTTCAACATTGACAATATTATATAATTTAATTTCTGTTATATATTTTTCCATTAAATTTGAATTGACATGTCTTAATAAAAATTTAAAAATTTAATGAATATGTGTCGTTTTGAAGACTAAGAAGAAGATATTGATAGTATGGTAGGACTATCACCAATAAAATAAAAAATTTAAATTTCCTAAAAATAAGAATTTTTATCCAATCATATCTCGAAACATCAGTAGATTCCCTTTCCTTGCGAGAAAACTACTGTTGGGTTGTGGACCCATGGCTTGATCATGACTCGAAAGGTGGGGCTATGGGCTGGACCATACAAACCTTTGATTTGAATGAATGTGGAGGCACTTGGAAAAAATGGATATTTACATTCCCCTAATGACAAAAAAAAAAAAAAAAAAAAACTTCAAAGTTTTTGGTTATCTCAATTCTCAATACATTATTAGTATTTACACTTCTCCCGTATGAAAAAAGGAACGACAGCTTAGGAAATCAAGGGCATGCCTTAATTATGCAATACGTAATGAATCGAATACACGTGTTGCCGGTGACCAGAAAAGAGAGGATTTTATTGATATATAATAATTTTAATAAATTAATTAATAAATAAAAATTTTGTATTACTATGTGATTTTTATGCTCTGAAATTTGGGGGGATAACTAATGGCAAAGATAAAGGGATAAAAAATTTTCCATTCAACACTTAGAGACAAATAAATGTATAATTATATTTTAAATATTTCTGTTATCATTTATTTTATTTTTCCCAATAACAAATTTGATAATTTGACAATGTTCTAATAAAAAATTTAATTTATTATGAAATATGTGTCCGGGTTTAATGGAGGACTAAAACGATAAGAAAGAATAATTAGATAGTATATTGGTAGACTATCACCAATAAAATCAAACAAATTTAAAATTCTTATAAAAATAAAAAGAATTTTATTATCCCAAATCATATCTTGCCGACAACCATATCCAAGTTTAGAATATCCCTTTTTTCCTTTGCGAAGCTAAAGAACGACTTGTTGGGTCTTTATATTGATTTTGTGCGGCCTCCATTGGGCTTGAATCCATGAGGAACTCGAAAGGTGGGGCTATGGGCCTTGGACCATACAAACCCTTTGTTTATGCATGATTATTTTGTGGTTATGAGGGCAACTTTGAAAATGGAATTTAATTTACATTCGCCCTAATGACAAAAAAAAACAAAAAAATCAAACTAATTATGGTTTTTTAAAAAAAAAAAAAAAAAAAAAATCAACTAATTATGGTTTTAAAGTTCCAAATAAAATATTTTAATCTAATTTAAGAAATTAATTTTAGTTGTACTTATTTAGTTAAAATTAAAATAAAAAAAAACTTATTAATGTTGATCTTTCAGCACAAAATTTAATTATGTTATGATTTTTTTATTAGTCTTTTCTAAATTACAGAAGTAACATTGCATGTAATTTGGACTAAATGAATATAGTATAACTAATTTTTTAAAATTAAATCAATATAATTTATTTTAGAAAAATATTTGGGTATAATTATGATTTTTGAAAGTATTTGGAATTTTCTTATGACTAAGTCTTTACATTTTGTTTGTGCATGCAATTTTCCTAGGTCAATTGAAAAGAAATTTAGATTAGACTTTGTATTTTCATTTTTCAGCAGTTAATTTATTTGGTGTAGAAAAAAAAAAAGTTTATTTACATATGTATATGCCTATGAATTTTTGCCATGCATGAATTCAAAGGGAAATGGAAAAATAAAATATAAAAAGATTCCAATTTGCATAGAATATTTTTTATGTTCACATGGTTTCCTTATCGAATAAATTTTAATTTTACACCAATAAGTTAATTAAAACTTAAAATTAGCCAGACACATACTTAAAGGTCTGTTCGGTAAAATTAACTGTATTGATAATTGCTAGTTGTTTTAGTAGCATTTAAGTGTTAATTGTGTGAGTAGTGTTTTATGAAACGTTAAAAACTAAACATTACATTAACTTTTCACAAAACGCTAACTCAATCTCTAAAATATAATTCAAATGCTATATTATCGAACACTATAAAAAATAGCGTTTACCTTTTAACATTTTAACTAGTAAAAATATTAAAAAGAACACAGCCTCGGTACAAAGCATGTCCAAGAATAATTTTTAATTTCATTTAAATTTTTCTCACACAATGATTCCTTTTTCTAGTGAATGATGGGCTTTTTTGACGATGTATTTGAATTCATATGCTTTTTGAGTTGGAAAGCAATAAAGCGGGAACAGAAAAAAAAAAAAAAAAAACAGAAAAAAAAAAAAAAAATTAAGATTGAAGAAATTGCAAAAAGAAATAATAATTTATGGGGAAAGAAAGGAAAAGGATATAACAGAATTATTTGTTGGATTTATTTCCTTTTGAGAGAATGAAAGAAGGAGCTTAGAGTGCCAACAAGATGTATTTGAAGACTCGTAAGGTGCACGAATATTCCATAAATGGATATCCCTAACTATTTAAACAATATTTGGTTGTGTATAGACTTGGCAATCTATTTTCTCCCATGTATTTTCTATGTTTGGTTAGTCACTAGTGAATTTTTTTTTTTTCACACATATTTACATGCTCAAATCGAGTATCGCAATTTACTTTCGCTGATCTAATTGCCATTATAATTTAAATTTTAAAATTCAAGCATTAGTTTGATTTTTTTTTTCAGCATTAAGAGAGAAGATTCAAATTTAAATATATTTTTAGGTCGTATATGTACTTATTAGTAAGTTATGCCTTAGAATGCTTAATTTGAAAGTTAAATATCACAAAATTAAAATTAATATAAGGATTAATTTATTTATTGCATATCAACATATTTGTTAACTTATTTCACATTATATTTATAAATTTTCATCTCAAAATAAATATTATAGCGGATTATTTTGCACGTATAATACTACATTCATCTCTTTTTAGTATGACTAAATTCAAGTCACATCTCATTATTATGTAGATAAAAAAAAGACCAACATGATTCCGGACTCATTTGGATTGTCAAAAATGCACCTTATTAATTTATGGATCGATAAAAATATCTTGAAGGATTTTAATTTTATAGTTGAAAAAATAAAGACAATTTAATTTTGATTGATTATATTAATTTTCTATTAGATAAAATAAAAAATTATATTTTATACTGAATAAGGTATATATTAAATATGGTAAGAATATAGTATTTTTAAGGATTTCAATATTATTATTTAGAAAAAAAATTTTAATATTGTTGATTGAAAAATACAAAAAGTGTATATTAAATACGGTAAGGATATATTAACATTTTTAAAGATTTTAATTTTATTAATTGAAAAAATAAAAGTAACTTGATTTTGATTTGTTATGTTAATTTCCTATTCAAATCTAAATTTTATTGTATAAAATAAAAAATTATATTATACATAAATCATCGTATATATTAAATATAGTAAGAATGTAAGGATTAAATTCTGATAAAATAAAAAATTATATAATATAATAAATTAGATTCCTTTTAGAAAAAAAAAATATAATATATTAAATATAGAAAGAATATAAAAATTTAATTTGATAGAAATAAAAAATTATATTATATATGAATTATGGTACACTTTTAAATATGATAATGATATAATAGTTCAATTTAATTTGTTATTAATATTTGATTTGAATAACTAATTTAAAAATTAATTTTTGAATAACGAAAGTTTGATAAAGATAATTACATTTAGCGGATAAATAATTAAATAAAAAGTTATTTCAAATATAATAATATAAGAAGCCTAAGTGTAATTAATAAATATTAATTTACTAATATATTAATATAAGGAAGTTAAGTGTGATTAATAAAAATATTTATTAAAGTTAAAGAACATGTTCCAAAATCATAGACTATATTATAATCATTTTAATTCATATTCCAACTTTCTAAATTCTGCATATATTATTTAGGTAAGAATTATTAATATTTTATATAATAAGCAAATAAACTAAAAATGATATTTGCAAACTTCCTTAAAAGACCACTAGCCTCCTTTTTATAATTACTACTGAAATCATACCTGTTTTCTAATAAAAGCAAATTTTTGGGTAATGAGAAAAAAAATATTGATAAATAACAAAAAAATATATAAATTAAATAATGTCTATTTATAATGAAAAACAATGCGTGCAACTGCAAAGTCGTTCAATGCTATATCGGGAAAATTTAAAATCTTTGTGTGTTTATATACAATCCAAAGATTTAATTTCTATTTTTCTGATTGGATATTTTATTTTAATTTTGTTACAAAAATATTATAAATTATTTAAATTTTTTATTAATCGATTAACTATACAATAAAGAATGTACTAATTCAAAATCCTTAGCCATTAAAAATTTTTCCACAGCTCTTTATATCAAGTGAAAATCTCAACGTCAAGGATCTTAATGGAAACGAAAAATTTTACCGCGAATCTGGCCATATTTTTACCAGACCAGTAGCCAGTAGGCGTTGGTTTCAGTTTTTACTTGTTAGGCCATCGATTGCCTATCTAGTCACCATTTTTTATCCTTTACCTCCAGGACATGGGGTTTTCAAGGAATCTAACCTAACTGACCCCACTTGGCCCCACTCCAAATTTTCACCCTCGTTGGCTCTTTTAAACCTGTGACTCTATAAATAACGGACGAAGCGTCTCATGCTTACGCTTGAAGAGGCAACGCCAAATCAAATCAACCGCCTCTTCTCTTCTAAAATCTCGCTTTCTTTTCAATCTCAAAAACCGGAACCCATTTCTCTTTTACCCAAGCCTCAAAACAGCATGGTCGGAACTTCGCTCGACACCACCGGTCGCCACCTCGCCGCCGCCACCGCCACCACCACCATCAAGTTCCTTTGCAGTTACGGTGGCAAGATTATTCCCCGTTATCCTGACGGCAAACTCCGTTACCACGGTGGCGAAACCCGTGTCCTCGCCGTTGACCGCTCCATTTCCTTTTCTGGTCAGTTTTTACTTCAATTACTCGTTTTGTTCTTTTCCTTTTCATTTGTGTTTAAGTATGTTGTGTTTATTGAGTAAGATTGAATGCGATATGTACTCTGCGTGTCTTAATTTGATTATGGAGTATGATTTGGAGTGGAAATATTGGCTGTATGTGGTTTATACAGAGCTATTGTTGAAGCTCGGAGAGTTGAGTGGAACAAGAGTGAGTCTGCGATGTCAGTTGCCAAAAGAGGATCTAGATGCTCTGGTATCGATAACCTCCGATGAGGATCTAGCTAACCTCATCGAGGAATACGATCGAGCTGCAATTCCAAAGATCAGAGCCTTCCTTTCCATGCCTAAAAAAATATCTCCTCCTCCTTCCTCGCCGTCGTCGACGACGACGTCTTCTTCCTCTTCATCACCTTCTAACAGCTATGCTGCTACTATTGGTTCAACGGCATCAACTTCTAAGCCGAGATGTTATCATCAGATCTCGAAGCCAGTAGTGTATCCTGTGAAGAAGATTCTTCCTCCTGCTTATTACTATGGTTACCATGGAAACTCTAGCTATGCCTGCATGGTTCACAATGGGAATCATTGGCAATAGCTGCTTTGGACTGAACTGAGACATACGAGGGGAAATTAAAATATAAATAGTAAAAGAAAAGGAAAAAATATATATTATAAAAAAAAAGGGAATGGAGTAGCCGGAAATATATATATATCTATATATATAATTTGTGAATTGTAATTTGAGGACTGTAAATCGTTAGAAGGATTTACTTTTTTCGGTCCGTGGAAATTAATGAATTTTCAGTCCAATTTCCGACTTTGGATTCCCTGAAAAATATAATCCAATTTTTGTGATGGTGAGTTGTTTTCTTTGGATTTCCATTTCACCATTTCCAGTATTTCGCATAACCAGCCAATTTTCCATTCGTACAATAGCAGGTATTACGTAGTTGCGTGCCACTTCTAGATTTTTCTTCGTCCTCTTCTTCGTTCCGTTCGTTCCGTTCTTCTTCGTTGCTTATCATGTGATGGCTTATCTTTGGCACATACCTTCTCTCTCGTTGATTTTTGTTGTCCGTTGTTTCTATTTCTATTGTTGCCTTGCGTATGTTAATATTTTTTTTATTGTTTGATTTGTATTATTGTGTATTACTTTGTGTATTTGATTTCTTAGCAACTTATATTAATTTGTTTCAATTCCTTTTTTTTTTTTTTTTGTTTCCTAATTTAGCGGTTGAATTTTGATTTTCAGGTTAATAAAGAGACAGTGGTGGATTAAACTTGGAAGATTATGGAAAAGCATGTGGTTAAGGACTCGGCGTTTTTCCACAGTTTCTGTTTCTTATTCTGGAAACTTCGTTCAAGAGGTAATTCCTACATCCTTAATAATAGTATGCTGTTCAATTAGAAAAAAAATTCATTTGATTAGAGTTACATTACATTTCATTATAATACTACAACAACAGCGTAGTCTTAATCTTGTAATAGTTGGGTCACTTATATGGATATTTCCATTTGCCTTAGATAATTACATTTCATTATATAATGTACTGTTAAAGAGTTAATAGTAATTAGTTAAGGACTCGATTGTAATATGTGGCAAGCTGAGGTCATATAAATAGGCTATTGTACAAATATACTATTTTTAAATTTTTGACAAATCAATATATCCTTTCACAATTCTGTTTTCCTCCTTATCTGCAATCTCTCCTCTACTTTCTCTCTTCCCAATCACTCTAATTAGGTCGGTTCCTAACATGTATTACCAAATAAATCACTTGAATTTTTCTGTATCATATAGCAAAATTTGTTTGTTTCCTATGCAGTTTCAATCCTCAAACTAAACCCATCCCCCCTGCATATTTGTTTTCATTTATTGGCGTGTGAAAGCAAGGTTTCTGAATCATCCCCTCACCCCACCAAAATAATAATAATAATAATAATAATAATCACTCCATTATCCACCGATTATCCTGACATAAATTTTGGCTCTCTCTGATGTTTGCAATACACAAGTCACACATATGTTCTCTCCTTTTTCCCCACCTCTGGTTAGAAGGGGAGATAGTGTTTAGTCTTTACAAGACATATAGTAGGCATGTGATGTCCTTGTTTGTCTTTTGCTTATTATTCTATTACGCAAGGGTGACCATAGTTGAATTTTAATGCATAGATAATTATGCAAATCATCAATTTTCAGATTTATACGTCTGAGTATGCAGTGAAAGTTGGCATTTAACGAAATAAGCAATAAAAAGAAGGAACAGTTTGCTGTTTGCATATGATGAATAGCTAGCTAAGCTGTTTTATTAAGTATGATTGTGCTCTAAAATCTATCATAGCATCATGACGAATTAATTTAATTGAAGCAATATTGTTCATAATGAAATTGGAAAGTCATGATACATTATATTTTTTTTATCCCATGTTTTGTCTGCCACATGCTAATTTTTCACAGTTAACTGTTGGTGATTGATGATAACCAGGCGCTATAATCAAATTACGAATCCCTGCAAGGACGGTGGCATATACCAAACCAAAGCTACGGTGGTTTCTTTCATAGTCAGTACTCAGTAGATGATTCCAGTCCTTCCGGAAGCGATAGCTATTGAATTGGTAACATTTGCTGGGACCATAGCACCTTAATAAAGCCATGTCTTACTGGAATTTATTGAACATGGAAAAGGACAAAAAGGGTGGACCAAATGACAGCAGCAGCAGCACCATAATAATAATAATACTTTAAAAACAATACATAACATGAAGAACGAGACAAATCTAATTATTGAGCTCCGTAATCTTATTTGTTCCAAATTTATGATTTATTATTATAATTGTAATTCATTTTACAGTTAAAATCTCTCTCTCTCTCTCACACATTTCTTTTTATTGCTCTTCAGACCCTAGAGTAGAAGCTCCATTGCTCTACTATTGTTGCCACAGGGAGACCACCTGAAGTTACTTATGTTAGATCTCATAATTACACATTTAATCTTGTAGGAAGGCGAAAACGTCGTCAAATCTGTCATCAATTGAACGATTCCTTTCTTTTCTTTGGAATCAAAGGACTTGGGGATTGCGAACGAGTGGTTATGGTTTGATGCGAGACTTTGCCAAGGACTATGGAGAGGTAAAGGTTGTTGGATGGATTGCCAACACATAGGTTTGATTATGAGTTAATTGGTTGGGATTCAGTTAATAGTCTACTTAATCAGAAAGAAAAAAAAAATCTGGTAAAACGAAAAATATATTAGGAAAAGACTCAAAAGAGGCAGATTCTGATGGTTGGAGAGAAGGAGATGATATTTGGTACTCCACTGACTTAGCATTCAATAAGAAGATTCTCTTTGCTGTCTCTAACTTGGGGTGATATGAGAATTAATTAACAAGCCAAACAAACATAATAAAAGGGACTTCATTATTGTTATCTTCCGAAAGATAACGATGAAAGTGAAAGTAAGGCTATCCTAATCCCTACCCCACCACCATGTGCCATTTCTGTTCTGTTTAAAACCTCTTCGTGATCAAGTGGCAGCAGTTTCATGGATCCCACAAATATGCGTAGCGTTCAATCCGCGTTTGTTAAGAGTATTCAAACGTTGATGTGAGGATGGTGCCAACTGAAAATTGACGACGGTTTGGCTGAAATAACTCTGTTATGAAGAATGTCTAATTTCAAAGTGGGCACAACAAATATTCCCACTCTTTGCTTTTGAAATTTGTTTATTAGATGGTCTTGTACAAATTGCTTGACTCCGCATTAATTATTATGTGACTAATCGTATTAGCTCAATCAATAATTTGTCTATTTACTATTTACCAATAAATTCTGACTTGATAGATTTATATATTGTTATGAGATTTTATATTTAAAGTTCAGGTAAAACATAATTACTTAATATGCTTAATTATACAATTGTAAATCAGCTAAACCTTCTGTAAGGTGTTAGATGTTCCATTCAACGAAAAAACAAAGTTTGAGATTATTCCATTAATTTAATAAATTAAGTTCAAGCATACTTATTAAACTCGTTTAAAAAATAATCCGAACTCAGATTTTGAAATAAAATTTAAAATTTAAATCCGAAAGAGCTCAATCTCAAATTTAAAACAAAATAATTTTGAGCACCATGAAAGTAAAAATGGGAGTTCACAACATCTTTGTGGAAATCCATCAATTTCTCTAATTCGGGAGAGAAATATTCAACAAAGTCAAAGCCTTTTCTTTAGAATTACAATGACCATAGTTTATATCTCCACTAATGCAGATACATTAAATAATTTCTAATATCACTCGAGATAGTTTGGTTTAGTGGTTGGAGTATAGTAGATTTCATTTTGGTGATCACATGATTGAGTCGTGAAGTTGGCAATATAATTATTAAACGGGAGATGAGAGGACAGACATCATTGGTAAAAAAAAAAACAATTTCTAATATTTTGTTCTAAAAGAAAATATTCGTTTGTAATTATATTGGTTTTTTCAGGCAAATTTATAAGCGAATTGTTTTTGAAGTTAATTAGTTTTTAACTAAAATATTAGTCAATTATTTCCAACTAAAGTATTAACATAACCGGAGATTATATCTTTTTAAAATAAATTAATTACAAGCACAAAATTTAATATTCAAAATCAAATTTATTAAAACCTGACTTAATTTCACTACTCATTCATGAAATTAATCAATGAATTCACATTAACATAAGTTAATTTCAATTTGAAACATAAAACACATTGTGTATCAATTTATATAAAAATAAAAATATTTGTATTAAATTTTATAATTTCAGCAATAGAAATATAACATAAATGGCCCATAAAATAAAAAAAAAATCATATTTAATGAATATACAAATATTAAACCATCTCACTTTTGCACGTTAAAGTATAATCTAATTGCAGATGTACGAAACAACTTATCTTATACATTTATAAAATCTGACAATGAATTTTTTATTGCTATACAATTTAATATTCAGTGTGTTTTCTGGTGCAATAGGATTTTAGGCATGTTTTAGGGATGATGAGAAAAATTAATCCAATAAAAATTGAATTTCCAAATTTACATGTCTCTGCCCAAACATAGCATGCTAGAAAACGCTGTCGTTTATTAGATTTGGGGTTTTAGGGCAAAAACCCTAAGCCAACAGCTAAATCCCATCCGGAGAGGCAGGCAGTGGAGCTTTACAATCAGTCCTATACTTCGCCATTTTTTGGGTCGAAGTTAAAAATCCCTAAACTAGAAAACCACACAAATTTCAATTTATTCCTAAACTTGAATTAGTGAATAGTTTAGTCACCTAAGTAAAAGATGCAGCACGATGAGGTCATATGGCAGGTTATCAGGCACAACCACTGCAGTTTCATGGCAAAGTAAGTTCGTACTAGCTAAAGCTAGTATTACTTTTAATTTTCTATTCTTATATCATTTCGTTTTACATTTGATTCTTGTGTGAATATTTGAATTTTGATTGGCTTTTGTGGTTTTTTCAGAATCACGACTGGGAATTTCTGTAGAAACCCATACAACGCCACGGGGATTTGCAATCGAAGCTCTTGCCCTCTTGCTAATAGTCGATATGCTACCATTCGTGATCATGATGGTATTTTTCTCTTAACCTTCTATCCTCTTTTCTTGTCATTTTTTTAAATAAAAAGTGAGGCTGTTTATGTGATATTTTTACAGATGCATTTTAGAAAATATAAGTATTAATTATTTATTACATGTGTTTCGCTTGGTATATTATGATTGTGGTTATGATTTTATGCAGGCGTTTTCTATCTGTATATAAAGACTATAGAAAGGGCTCATAAGCCAAATCAATTGTGGGAAAGAGTTAAGCTTCCAAGAAATTATGAAAAGGCTCTTGAGATTATTGACAAACATCTGGTATGGAAATTGCTTGGCCTTAATTTGATAACATCCTGAACCTCTAGTGGTCCTCGTCCTGAAATGGTTTATCTTCGTTCTATAATTCCTTTTACAGATGTATTGGCCTAAGTTGCTGATACATAAAATAAAGCAACGGTTGACTAAAATGACTCAGATGCGTATTCGAATGAGGAAGCTTGCTTTGAAGACAAGGTTAGCGCCATGCTGTGTTATGAACTGTTTCATCTTTGCATTTATCTTCTTCTTCTTCTTCTTCTTCTTTTTTTTTTTTTTTTTTTTTTTTTTTTTTTTTTTTTTTGACTAAATGACTCCAGATGCGTATTCCGAATGAGGAAGCTTGCCTTTTGAGAGACAAGGTTAGCGCCAATGCTGTGGTTATCGAACTGTTTCATTTTGGCATTTATCTTCTTCTTCTTCTTCTCTTCTTTTTTTTTTTTTTTTTTTTTTTTTTTTTTTTTTTTTTCTGATTTTGGGAATTCTGGCTCCTGAAATGATTTTTTTTTTTTTTTTTTTTTTTTTTTTTTTTTTTTTTCTGATTTGGGAATTCTGCTCTGAAATGATGAACTGTTTCACTTGACTAGCTTGTTTGTGCAACATAGATAAGAGTGATTTTGGACTGTTAAGCAATGTGTTAGCGCTATGCTGTGATTGAGCTTTTGCTTGGAATCAGTATTTAACATGGACAAGATATGCCTTGCTTTTATTTTAAATTTAATTGTCAATGAGCCTATGAAAGATGGCCTGAGAGCGATCATATTTCCTCTGCTCTAATTACAAAATCTCTCTTGCTTTTACATTTCAACTTCTAGACAATTTCGTGGTAGAATCACTTCTTTTCTTTTTATAATATATGGAATATTGCCTTCGACTCTTGACCTAATCACATTCACATTTAGGCATTGGCGTTTTTCACATTTTACTACTTAGTCTTTGATAATTGGCACTTAAACAGGTTCAAGATGAGTGTCATTCTCTTGAGTGGTTCTTTTGATAGAAGGTTTAACAGCATGAATTTGTTAAAATAAAAAGAGAGTGGATCTCTAAAGGTCCCTTCCTCTTCCTCCTCCTTCTCGTTGACAACTTTTGTTTTATAGTTGGGTTCCATCTCCTCTGACTTCTGACTATTGATGAGAAGTAGAGAGTAGGTTATTGTAGGTTTGCTTTTGTGTTTATGTTAGCATCTGTTCCCTCTCTTTCGTTATAACACATGAGAAGTACCACATGGTTATTGCCGGTTTGCCTAAGTTTGATTAACAATTCAGTTAGTTATAATTTCTGAACAGTTTATCTTAAGAAAACCTGAAATTTGAACATAATACACCCATTTTTCCTTCTGGTTTGAAAAGAACATGATCACATGAAGTGCTATTGTTTAAACTCTATCAATGTTTTAGCACAGATCTGTTTTTTCACTTTTCCCACCTGCTGATTATTCGTAAGCAAAATTTGAGTTGATTCTTATCTGAGGTGGGATGTAAATTTTTTTTCACCCTCTTGCCAATCGCATGCTTCATTGAGGCTCCAAATTGTGCTAGTTGTTGATTTAGTTGTGACACCTTTAGGCTTGGTGGTATTCATTAGGCTGTGCCTGTGACTATGAGCAAGTTGAAAGTTGATGAGATCAATTTGTCCCTGTTTAATTAATGGGTCATGCTCGAACTTGGGCAAGGCTGAAATAGAAAAAGAAGCACAAGCACAGGTTAAAAGCCTTCAAACCCTATATAACTATATATAGTTCATATTTGAACTTAAATTATAAAAAGATGCACACAGATGGAGTGAAAATTGTGTAGGTTTTTCTCCCATCAATAATTAGAATAACTGAAAGTCACATTGACACTTGATTTAATATTCGAGCTGGGCATGGTTTGACTTATGAAGTTCAGAAAGGCAAGCCTGGTTTAAGTTTTAGCATCTATACTAAGCTGAGGTTGAACACACAAATACTTGAGTTTGCTGTTCTTGCTTGCAACTCTCTGTTAGTTCCAATTCTTACCATGACTGTTTTATTTACACCATTTGTTTGTCTACAGGGAAAAGATAGTTACAGTACCAAGGAAGCAGGTAAAAAGAGAGAGCAGAAGAGAGGAAAAAGCTGAAAAAGCGGCCTTGTTGGATAAGGTTATGTCTCCACTTCATGATAGCAATGATTATTCATAAATTCCTGTTGATATTTATTTGTGACATGGTTAACTGTTTTGGGTGCAGAGTATTGAAAAGGAATTGCTAGAACGCCTTAAGAAAGGAGTTTATAATGAAATATACAATTACCCTGCTGATAAATACAATGAACTACTTGATAAGGATGAACTACACCATGATGTTGAAGAAGAGGAAGAAGAGATGGAGGTAGTTTTCTAAGAAATTAAGAGTATTTGTCTCTTCAATGTTATATGGTCATCATAGTACCTACTTTCAATTTTTGTTTTTTATATGCATGTGGCTTGCTCAGATGTATATTTTGATTGGTAAAATTCTATTTTTGGTTATAACTGGAATAAGCAGGAACCTGAGGTAGAATATGTTGAGGGCTATGAAGATCTTGAAGAGGAAGATGATATAGAAGATTTTGGCAGCATTGGAATCAAGGACTTCCATGCATTTGATGATGATGGTAAATATGTTATTGGATGTTCTCCTTGGTGTTGTTTCTCATGAATAATATGCTTGAGTCTGGAGAAAGAACTTGAAATCCTGTCTTTTTTACTCTCTCGATGCTCTCTGAGTATCCTGTTTGTATAGTAGGTACTTAACCTGTTTATTCCTTAGAGGCTCGTTGAAACTAGACAATGAGATCTCACATCCAAACTGGACTCATGAAGAGTCTTGCTTATGCCTCCTGATTATAGTGCACTTGCCTTTTGTCAATGGACACTTACCATGAAAATGAGCTTGTGGACTTGTGGACTGACATCTAGATAATTTTGATGCAGTTGAGGATGACAATGATGCTCAAGAGACAGAAAAAGTTGATCGCAAGAAATGGAGAAAAGAATCTGAGTTGGCTTCAAGAAAGCTCGAGAAAGACGAATCTGGTGCTAAATTGAAGAAGAAAGCAAGGGTACTTGTTGAGGTGAGGGCTTACAGTAACTGTAGTTTGAAATTGCATTATCCTATTAAAGCATACTGTCCACCTTCACATTCATTTCTGATATCTGAAATTTTACTCAAACTATGTTCTTTCTTCCATCAGGTTGAGAATGAAGGTGGTTCTGAAAGACAAAAAGCAGTCCATTGAGTGCTAATGTTAGTCTCATGATTGTAGATTATGCTGAAAAGAGTACTCAGCGAAGATTAAGTTGCTCAAAGCAATGCAAAATTTGGAATGTGTCTAAACATACACTCAAGTCCTCCCATCTTTCTTATTTCTTCACACCATTTCTTTACCCAGAATATTTATGTTGGATCAATTTTGATTAATTTGACTTCAGCTTTCTTGCATTTTTTCATCTGCTCATTTCCTCTCTTCTTCTTTTTCGATTTTCATTCTAGAAAACGCTCTGGGATTTAACATTTGCCCTTTGTGTCGGTTGTGATGCTCTGATGCTTTTCGTTGGAGTTGCACATCATCAGTACTGCAACGAATGATGACAAATTAAAATGTCGGTGCCTTGTTTCTGACTGGAATTGTCACAGTAACTGGTCCACTGACTTCACTTACAACCGACTAACCGTCTCCTGCGAGTTTCTTCATGTTTTGTACTTTTGTTTATTCAACAAATCAATTCAATGGTGTTATTAAAAAAAAAAAAAAAAAAATGTTTTGTACTTTGTTTATTCAAACAAATCAATTCAATGGGTGGTTATTAAAAAAAAAAAAAAAAAAAAAAATCCAAATCCAATTAAAAAAAAAAAAAAAAAAAATCCAATCCAATGGTGATTGTTAGTCTTAAGGATTTATCTAATAGCAAAAATATTAAAAGAATTTGTTCATAATATTTAAAAATTATCAAAAAACATAATGCTGTGTAAAAATTCAATTGGTAATGGATAAAATATTTAAAGATATTAAAATGTGTATATTGTGTTCCAAATTATATTATTTTACTGGAATAAAAGAGTTTTTAACTAGTTTGTGATTAAGGTTTGATTATTGTAATCATGTATTAGTTTATATTTTTAAAATAGAAGACTTGTTAATTTTTATTTTATTATTTTTTAATAATTGAACAAGTTCCCAATTAAAAAATAATATAAGGTCAACAAATTATAATTGAAAAATATAAAATTTAAGCAAAACTTGGCTTGGAATTTTAGAAATGAGCTTTGCCTTTGTTTATTCGAATTTAGCCAAGTGGAAAGCGGGCACTTGTTCTTGAGGCCGTAGAAGTCATCCCTAACCCGACGTTTTCATTAATCTAATCTCAACCGAGTCAAAAGTTTTTGGTGATAAGCTCATAGAAAATATAACAAACTGACAATCAAACAAAAAGGAAAATTGATATCTAATCAAATTCAAAGGTATCATCTTTAATTACACACCGTAACTCTTACGTTCTGTAGAGCAATCTGTCAAGGGTCAATGCAGTGTCTCTCTTCTCTTGTTAACCAAGTTTTGATCTTTAAACACCATTTCTATGGACGGAGAAGAGTATCAGTTAATCTCTCTCCAAACTCCAAGGAACCCCTTGGATTCAACTCAAGATGAAATTATTGATTCAACTCAGAAACAATTCCCAATCCTCTCCTATGTCCTTTCCCAACTTGATCCCCACTTTAACCAATCACTCTCCCAAGAATCTGAACCAAATCTCAATACCCAATTTCGTCATTTGAACAACCCTCAAGTCCTTTCCTTGCTAACCCAAGCCGCACCGGCCGCTGTCACCCATACTCTCTCCCTTCTCAAAACGCTAGGTCCTCGACCCGACCCCGATGCTGTGTCGACGGCCCGACTCAAGATTTCCCAGATGGAAGAGTTGGGGAAAATGGATGCTGAGATGGAGATATACAAGGCGGTGGTGAGGATGGAAGACGTGCATGTGGATTATGAGAGACAGTTGAAGGAGGCGGAGGAGAGGCTTGTTAGGGTCTATAAGGAGGCTATAGGGGAGTTTAATGATGATCAAGTGAATGAAGATGTTGTTGCTATATTAAAAGAAGCGGAGAGTGGTGGTGTTGTGGAAAGAGTGGATCTTTCTGAACGGCAGTTGAAGTTATTTCCTGAGGCTTTTGGACAACTTCGTGGGTTACTGATGCTCAATCTCTCTCACAATCAGCTTGAGGTATGTGTGTTTATAAGAAAACCTCTTTGTCACTGTAACTATTTATAATTGTGTAGTAACAGAGAGGGCACTAGCTTTGATTAATGTTTCTTGCTATGTGCTGTAGTTTCTATGCTCATATTCAATTTGGAGTTCATAAATTTTAGCTTCTTTGAGTGGGAATATTTCATGTGTTAGCCAAAAAAAAAAAAAAAATGAAAAAAAAAAAAAAAATGAAGGCTACGTTAGTAGTCATGAAATCTGTAGCCAAAAAAAAAAAAAAAATGAGGCTACGTTAGTAGTCATGAATCTTGCTTTAGTAACCTTTTCTACAAAAGAATTTGAGACATCTTTGTTCCTTAAAAATGTTAGTTTTTACCTGCCTAGTAGTGAAGTGTTTCTGCGGGTCAATTGTAATGTTTGATTTTAGCATTTCTGCAAAATCCCTAATTCCGTGAACTTTGACGTTGTACTTGACTTGTCAGAGGAGAACATGCTGGCAATAGTGGAATTAAAACTATTACAATATTGTAGCAACTGGAATAGATTAATGAGAACTTGGTGTTGGTGATTTATTTGTCTGGCGAATAGCCTGTGTGTTGCCTTCATGCCAGTAGGGATAACATTTGTAATTGGGGTATAGTTTTCTCATTGATATTCTGGTCTTTGTTTGCGGCAATAGGTCCTTCCTGATTCAATTTCTGGACTTGAGATACTTGAGAAGCTCGATGTTTCTTCCAACCTTTTAGGCTCATTACCTGACTCTATTGGATTGTTGCGTAATCTTAAGGTCCTAAATGTGTCGGGAAACCAATTGAAAGCTCTCCCTGAAAGTATTTCTCTTTGCAGGTGATGCCCATTTCCTGTTTGCTCTTCCTAGATCATGTATCCAATTATTGTTTTTGATAGATGTTGTTTCATTTCCTATGGTTTCTACTATGCTCAATTGATTTGAACAATGATGTAGTTCACTGGTGGAGTTAGATGCAAGCTTTAACAACTTGGTATCTTTACCGGCAAATATTGGGTATGGACTGGTGAATCTGGAAAGGCTTTCTATCCAGCTGAATAAGATCTATCTCCTACCACCAACTATTTGTGAAATGAAGTCTTTGAGATATTTGGATGTTCATTTCAATGAGCTCCATGGCCTGCCACGTGCAATTGGGAGATTGACAAATCTTGAGGTCCTGAACTTGGCAAGTAATTTCAATGACTTGACTGAGCTTCCTGAAACAATTAGTGATCTAACTAATCTAAGGGATCTCAATTTAAGCAACAACCAAATCCAAGCTCTTCCTGACACGTTCGGTAGGCTTGAAAGTCTAACTAAGCTCAACTTGGATGAAAATCCACTCATAATTCCCCCAAAGAAGATAGCGAGCGAGGGTGTTCAAGCTGTCAAGGAGTTCATGCAAAAGAGGTGGCTTGACATGATAGCCGAAGAACAACAGAGGACAATGTTGGAGGCAAATCAACAAGAACCTCAGACTGGATGGTTGGCATGGGGTGCTTCCTTGTTTAGTGGTTCAGGAAATCAAGGAGGAAGAAAAGCTCAACGGGATCCATATCTCGATCAACTACTGTGATCTTTATTGAACTTGTGGTTTTTGTAAATTCTGAGTGTAAACTTTTTGCTGCCTAATTTGCCTTGTTAAAGAAAATGTCATGACACAACAGAATTGTTTCTTGTGTTTGACTTCTTCCTTGTTTCTAGTTTAAATCTCCAGCAGCAGAAGAGAAGGAAAAGTTTTAATCTTTTTATCATTGCTATTGAAGTTGAAGGGGGCAGTAATCCATTAAAAGTAACTGTTTTCTCCCTTTTCTGAAAATGGAAAAATAGTTCATTTCCTTTTAATACAATTAGACAGAAGGGTTTATGCCTTCAATACTTTATTCCAAGTTCATTTAACTAATTCTAACTCATCACACGTAAAATTGCCAAATTGAACTAAAAATGGGTGGATTGGATACTGTATTGCATAACATTGTCTGAACTCTGAATACGGCGGTCTCTTTAAGTTTTTGGCTGGTCCTTATTTAGAATAAATGAATTTTATAAAAAAAAAAAATTAAATTCTCAATTTCGTTTAAAGGAAAAGAGTGCAAAACCAATTATTTTAACATCAGATGAATATACTAAATTAGTGAAAATTTTGTAATAGAAAATTTACATCCGAAACTTTCCGTACCTTGTATTAATAATTAAATTAACTATGTATTATATAAAGCACTCTTTTAGTTTTTCTTTTCTTGGGATGTATCCTTGATAAGAATGGTAGATAGAAATTCCCTCAATTTAGCTAAAATGTGGTACGGTTAGGTTACGATAGAGTCACGTGATTTCCTTCGAATAAGGTGGAATAATAATTTGTTGTTATTTTTTTGAAAATGCAATTGTGGAATAAGAATTGTGTTGGACAAATTCATTTGCAAAATACAATAGATAAAAGAAAGCCACACCATTCTCCATAAAAATGGTATCTTTTAAATTGGCAAAAGATGAAACTCCTCTTTCACTTCATGCAAATTTCATTCTTCCTGAAGCCAAAAGGCCACACCTTTCCCAAGAATCTAATGCAGCCTCAATTCCTATCATTGACCTTAATCAAGATCTATCCCAAGTAGTTCAGCAAGTGTCAGAAGCTTCTGAGGAATATGGGTTTTTCCAAGTTATCAACCATGGAGTCCCTCAAGAATTATGTGAAAGAACAGGCTTCTTTTTTGTAACTTGTTTTTCTATATTTAGATGTAATATGGAGCAGGTTTTTTCACTTATCATTCTCTAGCTAGGTTGGGTCTATTGGGAGAGTCTACTGACTCGGGATTAGTGGTGGAGTTTGATAAGTTTTCCTGGATTTCTAATAAAATTATTTATTTTGCTGATAAAAAAAAAAAAAAAAATTATGTGAAAGAATGGTGACTACCATTGGAGAATTCTTTGCTTTGCGTCCTCAAACAAGGGTTAAATTCCTTACAACAGATCACACCAAGCAAATTAAGCTCTTCAACTACTTCCTTAAAATTGATGGCCAAGAAGATAAAGTTGCAATGTGGAGTAAGACCTTTTCTCATCCTTGGCATTCTTTGGATGATATTATCATCTTTTGCCACAAAAACCCTCCTCAATATAGGTATTTCCTTTCTTCTCTTTCAATATTTACGGGGAAAAAAAGAAAAAGCTTAAGCATATGGTAACATTTTTTCTCTTTTTTTCATATATTGGTTCTAAAGAGAGGTTGTGGCTGAGTATGCAAAGGAGATTGGTGAATTGATGAGTAGGGTTTTGGGGTTGATATCCCAAGGGCTTGGGCTAGAGAAGGATTGCTTAAAGAAGAGGCTAGAAGAGGAGCCTATAAGGAGAGCACAAGCAAATTTCTACCCACCATGTCCAGAGCCAGAGATAACCTTAGGGCTGTCTGTTCACACTAATGTTGGTGCACTCACTATAGTAAGACAAACAGAAGGAGTGACTGGCTTCAAATCTTGAAAGATGGGAAATGGGTTGCTGTTCATCCTATCTCCAGTGCATTTGTCATCAATCTTGGTGATCAAATCCAGGTACTCCTTCAATCAAAAGATATGAGTAGTTTTAATAGAACTTATAATAGCATTGCTTTTGCTCTTTTTTTCATATTATTCAGTTAATTATTAATTTTTTTTTTTTATATTCTCGTGTAAGTAGGTTTTGAGCAATGGAAGGTACAAGAGTGTGCACCATCGGGCTGTGACTAACAAGGAACACCAGCAGATTTCATTTGCAGCATTTTATGCACCAGGCAAGGAAGCAATGATCGGTCTGATTGAGGATTTAATCGATGAGGAACACCCTCCGGTTCATCGGAGCTACACATATGGAGAGTTTCTTCAGGAATTTTACAGGCAAGAAGGGAACAAGAAGGATGGTGAAGGAGGTTTTTGAGCTGCAAAATTAATAACAGCTCGTTGTTATTTTGGTTATGTATGAATATTAAATAGTGAATTGTTATAGTAATAATGTAATGTGATTTGATAACATTGGTAAACTGTTAAAACAATATCGTAACACATAACAAAATATTGGTTGATGGTGGAGATAATTAGCGACGTTGATCCTTGTCAAGCGAGAACACAAATTCGATCCTTAAAAATATTTTCTGATTATACTGAAAAAAAAAAAATTCAGGTCAAATAATATCTTTATTATTTTTATTGTTTTGAGAAGAAATATTTATATTGTGTTTCACAAATCATAGCTATTGGGATAATTAATTGCCGCTAAAATGGATAATTTTATCTAACAATGACAACTAATTGCTGCATAATTGTATCCAACAGGATAATTAATTACTGCTAAAACGGATAATTTTATCTAACAATGACAACTAATTGCTGCATAATTGTATCCAACAGGATAATTAATTACTGCTAAAACGGATAATTTTATCTAACAATGACAACTAATTGCTGCATAATTGTATCCAACAGGATAATTAATTACTGCTAAAACGGATAATTTTATCTAACAATGACAACTAATTGCTGCATAATTGTATCCAACAGGATAATTAATTACTGCTAAAACGGATAATTTTATCTAACAATGACAACTAATTGCTGCATAATTGTATCCAACAGGATAATTAATTACTGCTAAAACGGATAATTTTATCTAACAATGACAACTAATTGCTGCATAATTGTATCCAACAGGATAATTAATTACTGCTAAAACGGATAATTTTATCTAACAATGACAACTAATGAGCCGAGAACACACCAGATATCGACAACAGAGAAGGAGGATTATATCTGTAAAAAGTATATTTTTCTGATTGTCATAATCCTAGAACTGGTCATGCTTCTGGATGATTGGATGTCGGGAAAACAAAAAAAAATTCAGGTCAAATAATTATCTTTTATATTTTTATTGTTTGGAGAAGGAAATATTTATATTGTGTTTCACCATAACTCATCAGCTATTGGGATAATTAATTGGCCGCTAAAATGGATATTTTATCTTACACAATCGACAACTAATTGCTAGCATAATTGTATCCAACAGGATAATTTATTACTGCTAAAACGGATAATTTTATTCTAACAATGAACAACTAATTCTAGCATAATGCGTATCCAACAAGCCCTATAGCAAGTGAACATTCATTGGGCTTGTTTCCAAGAACTAAGTTGTGCACACGTTCAACTTAACGATTGGCACTAAGATTGCTAGTCACTCTCCGTAGCATCATAGACAGTGTCAGCACGTCCGCTTGAACTGTTTTATCACCTTGAAACAGATAACTGAATAAAAGCAGTTCTATCCACAATCAGATTCACGAAGGTAATACTTTAGACTTTTCAATTCTTCTCTCATCTTCCTTATCTCACCTTTTTTTTTGATCAACTTTAAAATAATTTATTATAAATGCACTGCCATAAAACCCACAATTGGTACAGCGAATCACCATTTCTGCGTTCACACTGATTTAACCACTCACAGCGATCTTTCTTTCCCAAAAAATAAAAAAAGAAAAAACCTCATACAACAGAGCATTTCTTCAGATCCTTCCACGGCTCGATACCGCCTGCTCCCTCTGCTCTGTGGTCGGGGTGGTCTCTTTCCTTTCAGATGCATCTGTTTCCCGAGAATCACACATACTGTTAAAATCTCAAAAATAATGACCGTTTCTCCTGAAAAAAAAAAAAAAAAAAACCTCGCATCTTCTTCAGTCTTCACCCCTCTCCTCTGCTCTGTGTCGGTGGTTTCTTTCCTTTCAGATCATCTGTTTCGAGATCACATACTGTTAAATCTCAAAATGCCGTTTCTCTGATATGGGTTGATTTATGAGGAGGGAGTGAGAGTGATAAACAAAAGTACGAACAATGGAAATTGAGAGAATGAAGAAGCTGTTGCTCCTTTGGTGTGGAGCCAGAAGTAGCCGTATGGCCCTCGTGGGTGGAAACCACACCGCATCCAGGTTTTGCACTCGCTAAATCATTGTTTTTTCACGTTGTTTTGGTTTAGTTTCTTCAAATTCTCTTGATTTTGGCGTCTGGGTATCTGCTAAATTGCGAAAAGACTCGTTTATTACGTGATTGTGCACTACAAAGTTTTCTGTTGAGAATTAAAGGTGTGAAGGCAACAAAGCCATGGAATTTGCTCATGGAGGTCGAACCAAGGAACATAGCAAGATGAAGCAATCTCAAAATGGTGACTATGAATTAAATTCTGTTACTCTTTTGGTAATTAAGCTTTCTGATTTGCGGGTTTTGCACATTGTATCTCGCTCCTTGTTTTTGGTTGTGGTTATTCTCACATTACCCTGGATTGGTTCCATTTTGAAGCAATTTTCTTCGACAGCTTATTATGATGATTTATCTGCTGATGATTTTGTTTCTGATATAATTGATGTCGAATTCTTGGATTCTCTATTGATAGATTTGGCCAATGAGGGCCTTATCAAGAAGGGCAATAAAGCTCTCTTCGTTTGCTCTGGCATTGGAGCTATAATTGATGATTCACGATTCTTGAATGCTAATGAGATTGATTTTGTATTGGGATCTAATCTGGGGCAACATGTGTTGCTTCATGATGCATCATTTGATTTTGTGTTTGCATTTGGATATGAAGATGTTGAATCTCTTGATAGCATTGTGAAAGTTGGTGGAATATTGGTTGCTCAATTGAGTGACTTTCCAAATGATATACAAAAGCAATTCAATTATAAGGTTGTTTATCTTAGGCAATATCGTTCAACCATTGTGGCAATGAGAAAAACAAGTTTGACAAGTAAACTGGCGGGCTCCTCTGCCAAGAGGAAGCTCTTTGAGATGGAATCGGAGGCCAAGAAAGACGCGTTGAATGGCTTAGAAGATGTTTTACTTGAGCCACCAAGAAAAGTTTTTGCAAAATCTACAAAAAGCATGAGCAAATTCAATTATTTTCCTGACTTATTAGGGGATTCATTAGAAGATTATCCTCGTAGAGTTTTTGTTGATGTGAGCCTGCATGAGCAGAAGAATGTTGTAAAGGCATGGTTTAGTGAGAACTATCCAACTAGGAATCAAAAATTTGAGACTTACAACATAGAAATGGTGTCTGAAGGAGTGTCAAAGATGGTGTCACCAGGGATTGATGTTTCAAATTGGTTGATGAAGAATGTAAAGGAAGATGAGTTTGTTGTGATGAAGGCAGAAGCAGAAGTGGTGGAGGAGATGATGCAGAGGAGGACGATCAATTTGGTGGATGAACTGTTCTTAGAGTGCCAGAATCAGTGGGAAGGAAAGAAGAGCAAGAGGGCTTATTGGGAGTGTTTGGCTTTATATGGAAGGCTAAGAGATAAAGGTATTGCTGTGCACCAGTGGTGGGGTTAAGAAGAACTAAGAACCCTCTAATTAGAGAGATTGTTTTGATGCAGGCATTGCATGTCTAAATGAGTCGTTTTCATGTTTGAATTTCAGTAACTAAATCTTTTTATCGGTTTACCCTACTGAATGCAATAATGTAAGCAGTTGTTTTGTTGGTTATGTTGTGTGACGTTGCTGTGGAGGTAAGATCAAGCTCCTCTTCACTCCTATTGTTGCCACTTCTTAATTTTATGAGAATAAACTTCGCTATGGTGTGATTTAAATAAATAAATATTAACTTCACTAAATTTATAAATTGACAAAATGAAATATTGCGAGACAAATATGCTCACTTTTTGGACTTGTGCTGAGATTTTGGATGGAAAGACCCTTATAGCAAGTTTAAGTAAATATCACGGACGATGTAGTAATCTATCAAAACAGAGAGATGAAAGCGTTAACGTACTGAGCAAATCATTATTATTCTGAGACAGGGATCTCTGTCAAGACTCCATAGTGTTTCTTTCATCAAAATCCGAAGGTAATTCCAAGGCTACAAGAAATTGATGACAAAGCTCACTACATTGAACGTTCAATCACTACAATACAATATGAAATCACTTTAGCATTATATTACCCTAATCACAAGATTACTAATTCAGTATTAGAAACTAATCACTGCTTAATTCAGAATTAAATAGGGGACCATATGGATCCTAACGCGAATTCCCTTGCTTCTAAATGGCATCCAAAAGACTACTGATGGCTTGAAAGATTTGGCTGCCTAAATTCTCATCGCAAGTACTTATAACAGTACTTGTGGCTCGAGCTTCTATCAAGGCTTTGTTTGGGTTGTGGATTTGTATGATCCTAACGATTTCCGATTCAGCATCACTCGTGCGTTGTTCTATAGATCCATTAATACCCATCTTTGACAGCAGAGCAAGTAGCTTCTCCATATCAAGCAAACCCCATTGTAGTAATGGCCTACTCTCTGAGGAGTCTAACACCTTGTCTCCTAAGAGTAGTTGGTGTTTCTTGTCGTTAATGAATAGCTGTCCATCCAGTCTTGTGACGTCCATGTTGTTCTGTTTCAGCTTTCTCCAAGAGAAACTAGTGGCCAAGTCTGTTGCAATCTCTACCCCAAAACTGTCTTTTAAGCTTTGTATATCTAGTGTTTCGTTTTCATTGTAGTAAAAGACAGAAAATGAATGTGAACTTGACTTTGAGTCGTTGACCTTCGGCTTCAAATCCTCTGGTAACTAATTTGTACACAGAAGAAAAAGGACAAAGAACTTAGTAAACAGATGCTAGGCGGAGAAAGAGGGAGAGAGACCTAATATAAAATTAAAAGAAGAAGAAGGACAAGCAGATTGAGTGATTACCACAACAGTTTTTGGCTGCAATACACTCAGCAAAGGTTGAGCTTTCCTCATCCTGCAAAAGATACCAAAGCATTGCTAATTCGCAAACATGTTTGAAACCAGATATAATTTATCCGGCAGAAATGCATGAGTAGTTGTATTGATTCCTTTTCAAAAAAAAAAAAAAAAAAAAAATTTTTATGGCTGCAATCACTCAGCCAAAATGAGGTTGAGCTTTCCTCATCCTGCAATAAAGATACCAAAGCATTGCTAATTCGCCAAACATGTTTTGGAACCCAGATTATAATTTATCGAGCAGAAGAGGCAATGAAGTAGGTTTGTATTGATTCCTTTTCAAAAAAAAAAAAAAAAAAAAATATCACGGGCATATCAATGCGGAACCAAAATAAGTCGGGAAATATAATTTTCAGTAGCAATTTATCCATTCAACTAACATACCTATTTTAGGTACAGCACCATTAAAACAATAGAAAACGTAACAATCAGCAGGGTAATGAAGAATGTAAATGTGATCCTGTAAAACAGGCGAAAGGCGAAAGATGCCTCTTAACGAACAATTCAGGAACAACAAAACAACCTCCATTGGAGAAACAGAAAACTAGTTTGACTGAATGGTATCAACCTAAAACCAAAATATATAGCCATCAATAAGATTTTTGTAATTGCTTTTTTGGAAACTACTTGAGCCAATGGCATATATTTTAAGTGGAAGCTAGAACATAGAATGGACAAATATAATCCTTACTTGTATTCCAGAAATGCAATGACCACTGTAGGACCACCTTGCCATAGTCTACTGTTCCGTTAGTTGCTCTATTTTAGGCTATTTGAATGTTTAGTTGGTTTCCCGTAAAGTCTGACCCGCGGCATACTGTTGGTATCCTTATTCGGGACAATTCTTTCATTCTTCTCTCTATATTTGAAGGCATAATTGAAGAATACAATACATTTTCTTGCCTGTAATTGCTTAAAGAAACAACTACCGTCACTGTGGGAGGGTGCCGCATAACACTGCCAGACAAATTAAGTATAATCAGTATTAATATATTAGTGCCAGGAATTACGAATTTGGTATGCTCTCGATATAATGAGGGCCCACATTACCTAGCACGTTAATCAAAGTTCCAAATTGAGCTAAAGTGAAGGTCTTCTAAAAAAAAAAAAAAAAAAAAAAATACAAGGGCAAATGCGGAACAAAATAACAAATTAATTTTCAGTAGCAATTTTCCTTCAATAATACTATTTTATACACCATTAACAATAGAAAAAGTAACAAATCCAGCAGGGTATGAGAATGTAAATGTGATCCTTAAACAGCAAAGCGAAAGATGCTGCTTAAGACAATTCAGGAACCAACAAAAACAACCTCCATTGGAGAAACAGAAACTAGTTTGACTGAAATGGTATCATAAAACCAAAATATATAGCATCAATAAATTTTGTAATTGCTTTTTGGAAACTACTTGAGCAAAATGGCTATATTTAGTGGAGCTAAACTAGAATGGAAAAATATATCCTTACTGTATTCCAGAAATGAATGAACACTGTAGAACCTTCATTGCTATTGGCTTGAAAGGCAAGAGGGCCATATCGGCATCCAATCTATCCTGCAAATTATACATTTCTTAAGTCATTTCTTTAAGCAATTACAAGAAATTATTGTATCTTCAATTTCCTTCAAAAGAAGAATGAAGGAAATTCCAATACCAAAGTATGCGACAGATTACGTAAGTCAACAAGAGCAAATATAGATAACTTGAGCACCTCTAGAACAAGTAAAGAGTTCTGATCTCCAGACCATCGTCTAACCAAATGAACAAGAGGACCAAGCCGTAGACTCCAGTGAGGAGCAAATATGATGCATGGTTCCCGCCAATTGGTTCTGAGAACAAAAATGTTAGTTTGAGAAGGGCAAATGACAAGTTAGTTATGGATGCAAATTCATTGAAAATGCACTACCAGAAGAAAACTTCTTTTTCCCAATAATCCTTGCTTTCTCAAACTTTGAGTTAAGTAGGCAGAAGTTTTAAGGAAAAACACACCTCTCAAAGTGTAATGAATCTCGTTTGGGACTTCTGAAACTATAATTTCCACTTTGGCTAGAATGTCAAAGGCTGGTAATGGTACATACCAAGCATAGATTTTCTTCAAAAGACATTAGTATAGTGCCAATTTTTAATAAATCACAGGAAACATTAAACTAGTGTTGCAGTGCATGCACAAACAAAGGAACAATTAGAAATCTGGGGCCAATAAGCAAGTCCAAATTTGGCTGATGTAACTTCTAAAATATTATTCACACTGAGTAGTACATTTGGCCGATGTAGCAGTTCTAAAATATTATTCACACTGAACTTCACACCCATCAAGTATTTGTATAATGGATAAAAGTATTGAAATTTTCCTATGAGATAAAAGTATTGAAACTTTCCTATGAGAGAGAGAGAGAGAGAGTCATCTGATAACAAAGACAAGCATATCTTACATTAGGTTGGGGGAATGAAGATCAGGAAACACATGAAGCTTCTTTCCTTTCATGAGCTCGATGTGTGAAAACAATGGCTCACCAGAAAACAGCTGTCAGACCATTAAAAAATAAATCAAGCATGCCTTTCACAAATATAGAACTTAAAATGAAATAAAAGGTACACACAAAATAAAGCAACAAACCACTAAAGTTGTGTACCTTTTCTTGCCGGAGCTTGCAAAGCCATTCTGGTATAATATTAGTGAATGCTAGCAGCTCTGCTGCTATAGAAGAGATAATGTATATTGGTACCTACAGAACAATAAATATTTTGATTGAAAATAAAACCAATAGCCAGCTAAGACTAAAGTCTACAGTATTTACACGCACTTGAAAGAATTCAATCAGTAACTAATATCATGTTTGGTCTTCATAGGTAACTGAATCTCTTTACAGAACCAAGATGAACGATATGAAATAAGTTATTTGCCTGCTAGTTGATGTCAAGATGGAGCTGCAGCAATTTACAATCACACTCAATAAATAGTCATCGGTTTTACCAAGCTCATAGCATTCAGTTCTGTTTATGTGAACTCTAAAGCATTACATTGAGCATACAGAATGTAACAAGTGCAAGTAAACACAATCGTAAACTTAAAAAGATAATCTACCCTTAGATAACAGAGGTTAGACCTCACCCCATGTGGCTTATTTCCAATATTCCAGACCTGGACTAAACTACTTCAGTTTTACCAATTAATAATTCACTACAGTCAAACAATAAACTAATATACATATTACTTCATCATTGAGTGTTCCTAACTTTTTGCATATGCATGGAGTAAAGGGGGGAAATCATAATTTTTACCTTCAAATCAGAAGATTCAAGGGAAATTGGTATCTGCTCCAACAGCTGCAGAACAATTCCCAGACGATTTAAAGGAAAGAGGACAGAACCACCGGCTGTAACAGAATCCACAACACATGAGCATATAAAAGCTAGTTTCTCGCTTTCCAATAAGCTCTCATCATTACTTAATAAGCATTCATTCAACTCTTTCTGATTATCTTCATCACTGCTGCGCCATAATTAAGACAGCAGCATGTCAGACTGCACTATTCCAAAAATTACAATTTTGTGAAATAGAATCGAATTACAAATATTCAAGGATGACAGTGAGGATTCCAGATGTATTTTAAAAAGCTGTCTTAACTATGTAAAACAATATTACCTGATAGTTGACAGATTGTTAGTTGTTGGAGAAGAATCATTATCATGATGTTCAACATCTTCTATCACAGCTGAGAAGTCTGAATACAATATCAGGTCCTTCCCTTGCAGAGCACGATAATCAAACTCCATTGCATGAGCAGATACAAATATAGAGCTTGATACACATGCAAAATTTTCTTCTGGACCTTCAACAGTCCAATTGCACGAGCCTATCTCTAAACCTGAACTAAACGCCTTTATGACCAATGCTCCATTATGACAGGCTGCTTCAGCATATTTAAGCGTTTGGACCTTCTGCATGCAATCGTGCACATCCACTGATCTGAATAACATTTAAGCATTTAATGAACTAAAAATATGCAAATGAATAATGTCAACAAGGAGAATCTAGCTTGAAGAACTGCAGTGTCAACTACCTGTACAGTGGCATCCAACTGCCCAGCTCTGATCCATCTTTGCCCAAAGCCACTTCCCCCAGTGAAGATGGAAGTAATTCAAGTTCTTCCCACTTCATCCATTGAGGAGAATCAAACTCCGTAGGTCCATAAAAATTCCGGAATTCATTGTGCATTGAGACAAGATCTTCCATCATAAGTTGCCCAAGCCTTGCAGTTGCTTCAGTTGTGTATATCTGATCCAACCAAACACCATATTGTCTACAAGTTAAATGATGAGGATATCACAATGAAGTTAACTGCAGGGAAAAAAAACTTCTGAAACTTTTACTTTTTCGCTTTTTTTTTTCTTTTTACCTTTGCAGAAAAACCCTTACTTCGAGTAAGAAATGGTAGCCCAAGCATGCCCATGGTACTTGAAATCAATACAATATCAATGGAAGAAGGATCCCAAAATTGCAAGTTCTTTGCAGTTTTATACCAAGGCTCTGCATAGATTAAATTTTTTGCATCAAGGGGCTTCTCAATTTTACATCTCTTTTGAGTCTCCAATCCCGTATTCAATGAATCATAGACTGGACTATTAGAAGATCCTTCAAGAACTATGGGACAAAAATCAGCAGGAACAGGAGAAAATATAGTGAGAGCTGATAGGTCCAGTGGGCAATCAAGCAATATCCTAAACCCACTCGCGTGGACAATATAGCATGGCGGTAAATGGAAACCATTCCCTTTACTCAAGCATGTCTAAAAAAGAAAAAAGAAAACAAACACGCACACTCAATAAGAATCTAAACATAGGAAATGAACGGAGACAGCACTGGTGAGACAAAGAGGAGAGAGAGAGAGACTTACAAACTTCATGGAGATAAAAGATGTAAGAGCTACGCTGCTAGAATCATAGATTTACCCCTTGCATTTACCTATAAAGATCTTGTTTAGAACTGAAAATCAACAAGCTTAAAGCCAGAAAAGTATAATAATGGCAATAAACGTGCAGCACAGGCTTGGGAAGACATTCCAATTTAAGGCCATAACATTGGAAGCAAGGGAAAGAAGACAAATTACATAAAAATATAGCTAGAAATTTAAAATTCAGAAAAAGAAAAAGGAGGAAGAAAGAAACTTTAACAAGCAATTAGACAAGGTCAATAGAATTCAGCATAATGACTAAGCACAAAAATTTGTTCTTGACCCGTAAGCCAGTCCTATTAATACACACGAATCCAAAAAATGGGGAAAAAAAACCAAGTAAATCAAGCTTATTTGCAATTCATAGATAAGTATTGCAGCCACCAAACATGGTCTGAATCCTCGTTAGACCATGTGTTTAATATTGTGCAGGCTAAATTCATAAATTGTAACAGTACCACCTGCTACAGTCCCTTGCAACACAACCTCATAAGTGGCTTCAGCCTTGGCGATCAAATCCATTAGTAGCTCTTTTTTTTTGCCTAATAAGTGAATCCATTTTGCACAGGGTTAGGCAACACACACTAGTCCAGAAACTGCTCATATATTTTTCTTAAGAAGCATTAAACTTTCTCAAATACGTGACATATACCTATAAAGGGAAAACTATGAAAAGCACTCTCCATTTATCATTGGTTACACTTTAAAATCAGTTATTGATATCGATTAAAGCGCCAAATATCCATTTCAGTTCTTATTTGAAGATTACATCATCATATAAACACAACAAATTTTCAAAAATTAGATAACATCTATTTCAATTTCATACAAATTGTTCGAGGTATTTTATCAAACAGGTGGCTTGCACATGGCCATTATTGTAACAAGAAAATCATACAAGAGAGAGAGAGAGAGAGAGAGTTAACATTACCAAAAAAAGATATAGGCTTCGGGATAGTCCTCTCCGAAAAGGAATTCAACGAATATTCTTAGATTTCTTCGATATTTCATGTTTAACAAGTGTAAACATTTAAACAAAATGTCAAAAAGTTTATAATGCAATTCTCTGCAGTATTAGTTGTATATTACGCGTTATTGGAAAGAAACCTGCACAACGTTTGGCATTATATAAAGCTAAAGTTAGGCCCAAGTACTACAACTCCAGTGTATTCTTTGTCGCGCGAGTCCTCGAGCGACAGCTCTTCTCCTCAACGGACAAATAACTAACGGCGGTCATGAACACGGAACTACACAGGAGAAATTGAACGACAAGTTATTTATGGCTCTTTCCCGAGATCATCGAACGACTGGTAGTATTCTCAAGTCAACATTTTTAACAAAAACTAATATCAAAACGGCATCGTTCTGTATTTGAAGAAATTTGATTGCGAGGGATTCTCTTCAACGCCTTTGCTCCTCCGTCTCCAGCCCTAGATCATACGGATTGAAAGCAGGTGTTTTGGGGCAATTGGTAACGCAAAAAGTTTGCTTTGTTTTCCACCACTAATCAAATTCATATTTCATTTATAGAGAGCTAAAAGCAGAAATTTTGCAATCCATCTTTTGATTATCTGCCTCAAAGAAACCTGGTCTTTCCCTCCAAGAGGCACAGGATATCCGTATTTTATCCCTTCCACCAATTTCTAAAATCATATATTTTGCAAAAACCAGCTGTCTATGTATTTCAAAAATCAGGCGTCATGTGGGTTCCGGTGAAGCAAAAAATCAAGCGGAGGAAGAAGACCGAAGAAGAAGATATACCATAGAGTCCATGAACTTGATAGAGTCCTGGACTTTCAGAACAAACCGTCTCTTACCTAACACCTTAAATCTATTATCCAATCACAAAAGCATCAATATCTACTCCTCCGAGACCTCGAAAAGCAATTTGGGTTTGTTCAGAAATGGAACTTCATGGCTGTCCTTGAGAAGTATCCTTCAATATTCCACGTTGGTGGCGGTAGTGACAGAACACCGCCTTTTGTTAATCTGACTGAGAAAGCAATGAAGATTGCCGATCAGGAACATGAAGCAAGAGAGTCAATGGAACCCATTTTGGTTAAGAATTTGAGGAAGCTTCTAATGATGTCAGTTGATTGTAGAGTGCCACTGGAAAAGATTGAATTCATTGAAAATGAATTAGTCTTGCCCCAAGATTTCAAGAATTGTTTGATACCAAAATACCCAGAATATTTTTCAGTGAAAGATGTCAATGGGAAAGCTTATCTTCATTTGGAGAATTGGGATTCTTCATTAGCGGTCACTGCTAGAGAGGAAAGATTATCGCTTGAAGGAGTTTCTGCTTCCAACACCCCAAAGAAAAAAGTCAGAATATCAAAAGATGGTAATTTCTTGGGTCCATTTGCCTTTAGAATGTGTTTTCCTGCTGGTTTTCGGCCAAATGCGAGTTATCTTGAAGAACTTAGTTTCCTTCTCCATACTTGAATGCAAGGAGATTTGAAGCTGCTGATCCAAAGGCTCGAAAGCGTGTAGTGGCAATGCTTCATGAGCTTCTTAGCTTGACAATGGAAAAGAGGTTGACATCTATGCAATTGGATGCATTTCATTCTGAGTATTTGCTGCCTTCTAGATTGCTACTTTGTTTGGTAAAGAATCATGGTATATTTTATATCACTAACAAAGGTGCAAGAAGTACTGTTTTCCTCAAAGAAGCCTATGATGGTTCAAATTTAATTGATAAATGTCCTTTGTTTTTGTTTAATGACAAGCTTGTAGCACTGGGTGGTCCTAAAGAGATCAATTTGTGCAAAGAGTTGCATTTTTGACAATTTCTTTTCTATCAATTTTGTTCAACAAAATCTAAAGATCACTTGAATTTCATGCTTTTTGGTATCTGTTTATTATTTTTCTCGTCAAGAATTTCAGATTCTAGGACCGACTCTTCAAGTGGAGTTCCTGGATCTTTATCTCATTCACTAGCCCGTAACTTCTAAGCCAGGAAAGTATAAATATCCAATACCAGAGGAGGAGCTTCAACCAATGGACTTCAAGGCAGTGTGGGCAGCCATGGATGAGTGTCAAAAGCTTGGCCTCACTAAGTCAAGTGGAGTCGGCAATTTCTCTTGTAAGAAGCTTCAAACCATGCTTGCCTCTGCTACAATTCCTCCATCAGGAAATCATGCAAGTCTCTCTTATATATATATCCTGTGTAATACTTCAAGCAAAGAAATAGTTTGATATTAATTGACAAGAGATGGTAATTTTGTTTATAAGGTGGAAATGAATCCAGTATGGCAACAGAAGAAGCTTCTTCAATTTTGCAAATTCCACAATATCAATGTGACTGCTTTTTTTCCTTCGGGAGCAAAAGGTACTAGGCGGGGCAGTAATCTGGTTATGGACAATGAAGTGCTTCAAGTGATCAGTTGAATTACTATTGTCTTCTAAAACACCAGTTTAGATGCTTATCCTAGAACACATAAAGTACTACCAGGACAAAACGACACGGCAAAGAGGGCAGGTATCGTCCTGTAGAAGCCATGTATCAATACAAGCTTTATGAAACGCGTGGTTACAAGAAGGAAGAAGCACCCTACACTCCTCTCCTTGTTTGAATTCCTCTAAACATATAACGCACTGTTCGTTATATTTAATTTGATCATCTTCTTTGTTTCCATCATAAGCAATCACCGGGTATGCTTCTTCCAATGCCATAGCCAACAGCTCACCGTTGGTGGCTGTACAAGGCTCATGATCATCATCATCTTCCCATAGCCATAGTCTGCTTTCAATATCACGAATTACTCGACGACTTCGACGTCGTTGACCACCTCTAACACTTTCCCTATAAAGCGAAGAAACGCGAAGAAACAATAAAAGGAAAAGCAAAACCAGTAACAATGCCATTGGAAACCAGCAATTAATCATGCCGCTGCAGTGATCTCTTAGTTGTGCGTGGGAGTAGGAATGGATGTATGGCTGTTGCTCATTCTGAGAAATTGGTGGGTCGATGGGATTAATTAGCCGCTTCACATGCTCTTATTTTCCATTGCAATGGAATGCTTCTTATTTCAAGGTGATGAAGTTGATAGTAGGATTTCTGTTGTGTATATACAGATGTGAATATTTCCACTTTCAATTTGGATTTTGTATCAGGAGTACATATCCTTTTAGGTCCAGGAGGACCAGGCAGGAAGTATGGGGAGTTCAAATTAAGGGAAAAAATTTTTTTTTTAAGTTTTCTTTCAGAAATTAAGTCTTTTTTTAAAAAAAAAAATTAATAAGTTTTTTTAAGAAAACCATTTAAATAACTTTTTAACTATTTATTTTTAAATTAGCTTACAAATTTTTTTATTTTGGGGACCGGATTGACTTACAAGTTAAAAAACACATTTTAAAGTAAAAATTACAAGAAAATAGTCAAATCAAACACAACTCATAATTTAAAATTGATAACTCTATTTTCTATTTATATTAAAATTATCGGATCTACTTAAGATAGCTTGATTTAATGATTGAATCACACTAGTTTAACCCTTGTGATCGCAGGATTGAGTCTGCTTGTTGTATGACTGGCATTACATTTATATAATTTGCTTTTAGCCATTTGAATCAGTTCAGTATGCTCGCACTTGCTGATTCAAAAATCATGCATATTTTGTTTAAGTTTGAAATCTAAACAATTATTTTCTCAAATGTTGAAAGTTACAAGTCCTAGCCCTCCAAGGTACAAGTGACTAATCTTTCCTTTTCTTTCATTACAATACTGCTATGGAAATATGAAAGGCAAAAAGTTCTCTGGCAACTGTGAACTCACCAGACTCGAAACAGGAAAGGGTATATATGCAAAAAGTGTTCTACCACTTGAGCATTTTTGCATGTCTTTCTTCCTTGAATAATCTCTTCCTCTGATTATACAGTAAAAAGTAGCACTACCCATCTCTTCTAGTTAGAATTTCACATTTTTTTCTATGACCACATTGAAGAATCTTAAATACTGTTCAAATGTTTAATCCCTAAATCAAGTTGCTTCATCAACTGCTTCTTTTATGCTAAGCCCTAAAACTTCCATAGGAAAGCTTTTGCTTGGTATAGTCTAAGATCGAATTGATTCCGAAAGAGGGTTTTGCCATGGTTGAACTTCTTGTGCTGTTAACCAATTTGAACCATTGACTTCCTGGGTCGCATGTATTATCCCTACTCAAACATTTGCAAGTATTTATAACAATGGTGTTGTTGGAGTCTACATCTAGGCAAATGGTTGTGCCATTACTGATCTTAGATGAAAGATGCATGTTAGAATCTGAGATGACATCCCATTTTGAATCGGAGTCTGTGCAGATCACTCCAAGTTTTGCTGGTTTGCCCAATTCATCTGCTTGTAAGCAGAAATATGTTCCTTTAAGAGATAGAATCTTCTGTGGTGTATATCTCCATGCTTCAGAGTCAGTACAAGGACCTAACTTCAATGGCTCTAGCATTGATTTTCTTTGTACACAGAGACCTGTTAATGGGTGGAAAATCACTTTATGTAGATTACTTTCTGACACACCTGGTCCTGCATTTAACAAAAAGACTAATATCAAACATTGCTTGTAAGATTCAAACCATACAGGATGTAATATAACAAATGAGCTTCAGAACTGTGAGGTTTTTGAACCTGGAATTTACCTTGAAAAGGTGATTGCAGGGCAGATATTTGCTGCAAGAAGCTTGAATTCCTGATGTCACACCAATTCCAATTTAACACCCCATAATACTCATTTAACCCAAGAACACCTTCCCTTAAATAATAGCTTCCAACTAGTGTCCACAATGCCCAATCCAAGTCAAGCTCAGCTGCCCAACCCAAGAAGCAACCCAAGTACCTATTATCATTTACATTTGTACCTCTTTGATCAATTCCAAACTCGCTCACGAACAATGGCCAACCTTGATCTAACAAATATCCTGACATCCTCATCATATTACTCGTCACTCTTCCACAAACCTGGTTAGGGTTTCCATTTTTCCATGCTTGCCCATCTGAAAATCCATACCAATGTACTTCGAATACTAATTTTCCGGTGAATGTGAGGTTCACCGGACGATTGCGTAGGAATGACAAATCTTTGTCGTAATTCAGACCAGAAAGAATAACAAGTACGTCCGGATTTGCTGAATGTACTGCTTCAGCTCCTTTTTCCATGTACCTAAATGGGGTTCGTTCAAGAATTTCAAGAATTGTAGATTTTACAGTAAACATAGTCAAGGAGTTAACGAAATCAGAAGAAGAAAATGGCAGATTACCTGTACCAATCGTTTACATTTTGTTTTTGACCTCGAAGCTCGTTCCTCAGGCTCAAACCAACAACATTGGGAACACCATTAAAAATGGTGGCCATTTGGGTTAAGCCATTAATCCATAGGTCAGGGTTAAAGTAACTGTCGCCAAAGAAGCCATTGCCGTCAAAGTTACTGCAACACCAACCAGGCTTGCTTATGTGATTGTCTAGGATCACTAGCACGTTATTGTCCCCAAGGCTAGACACCACTGCCTAAGAAATGAAAGACATTATACGTGAGCATCTTACCAGCATACTTCAGATATCGGAAGTCAAAAATAGTGTATATATATTGGAATTTATGGAAAAAAAAAATTAAATTTCAAAAATTTTTGAAATAAAGGCCTTGTTAACCTTCTCCAGAGCCCACACATGTGGGATGACTGATGCATGAGTCTCACTATTTATTTAGTTTTATAACATTGACCATTAAGAAAAGAAAAAAACTTACCTTCAAAAAAAAAAAAAAAAAAAAAAATGTGTTTTATCGGTAAGAATGCTCACTGACTAAAGCCACTCAAGACCTTGTCTATTCTATTGGTCTGTTGTGGGGTCCCTAACATAATTAATTATTATTATCTTTATTTAATATAATATAATTGAGGTACCTGATAAGCCTTGATGAGTGGAAGATCAATAATGGCGGGGTTATTGGCTTGAATACCAGAAATGGATTCAAGCAAGCCAAGGTTTTGAAAAGATTGTTTTACAGTAAGAGAAGCATAGGTCTCATTAGTGACCAAATAAAGCGGCCAAGTGAGTCTCACACAATTGAATCCCATAGAGACAATCTTCTTTGCAATTAAATCCATGGGTTCTCTGCTAAGCCCTTCTGCAACTACTGCCTCCAGATGTGAAACCCAGTTTACGCATGCTAGTTTCACTCTTTGGCCCTTCTCATCCACAATCCACCTTGAATCGGTCGAGAGGGGAACTGCAGAGACTTGCTTTGAAGGTACTAAAGTAGTCAAGGTAATAGAAAGGAAGAAGATGGATAGAAACGAGAAGAAAGAGAGTCTTGCCATTTTGGGTTTTAAGAGGAGAGATTTATTTTTAGGTGTTACAACTCAAAGTCTACGTTTTTATAGGTATGAGACTGCCATTTGGAGGAATGGGATATTGAATGGATGTTTGTTTCGGTAAAGATTTACCTGCACCTGCGTCACCTGTCCACCAATACATGAAATTAATTACATGTCTTAGTTTAAATAAAAATATTTCTGACAATGAAAAAATAAAAGGGTTATATTATTAAAAAAAAATAATTATTGATTTGATGCATGAGAATGAGATTACACATACACGAGGTATAGGCAATAAATTTTCTGTTTGCTTCTAATGTGTATGTCTCACCAATACACTAAACCAATCAAAATGAATTTTTATTTATAATAAAATTATTTTTGACAATTTATTGAAAAATAATAAAACAATAATAAATTCTAAAAAAAACTTTCTTAAATTGACTCCATGTGTGAGATTGTCTACAAATCAAGCATAGACAAATCTTCTTATCCCAAAATATAATGTTCCTGTTCGAAAAATAATATGTTAGATGCGTTTTAAAGAATGAAAATAAAAATTGTTTAATGATAAATAAAAAATTAACTTATTTATTATTCCACGTGGACTAATATTTTAGCAATGACTTATCATCTCATGGACCCACATATCACACTTAATGCTACATGAACACCAATTTTTTGAGCATTATAAATACAGATTAGATTTGATATGAAAAAAATAAGTTCATGGTATTGAATGATAAAATCGAAAGAATTAGCAAGAATTGATAAAAATGTTAAAATTCAAGTCTTTTTTTATTATTAGACCTAGAATTTAGAATATAATAATAAGAATACAAATTTATATATTCCATACGACGATCCGGAGCAAAATTAGTTAAGTCTGATTTTTACAGTACTTTTTAAATTAGAAGAAGTAGGTATGGATTCTATAGATAAAACTCGAGAGTAATTAATTTACTGAATAAAAGATAACTTAGAAAGCAATTGGAGTCGCGAAGATATACTACCGGTGGAAAGAAAGTTGCATACCCAACTGAATTACTGAACTATCACTATGCAAAGTGCAAATATCATTACCATATTAGAATAGTCCATGCACTAATGATGAATTTACAATCAAAGATTGGTTGAGGAAATTGCTACTATTATGAATATAACCAAATTGTTGTTGGAAACACGCCAAGTAATATAAAAAAAAATTAGTGGTCCTCATCTTTAAGGATAACAAATTGATCCACTCTTACTTTAGTGCTAAGAAATCAGCTAGACTACTATACCATACTTGCAAGGCAATGCACATACCATCGTGGGTTGCATACCTTACATTGTTAAAAGTCTTCTTTTCCAATAATTATAAGAATTTATTAATTTACTAAAGGTGAGTCGAATAATTCGAACTTGAATAATTCTATTATGCGCGAATTTGATTAATCGGTAAGTGGGTTTAGAATATCGAATGGTTTCACTAAAAAAAAAGAAAGATGAGTTGAATAATTTGAACTTATTTAATGAAATTCATTAGTCCATTAGTATATTAGTTTAATTAGTTGTTTTTCGCAAATTTTTCTAGTTGCTTTTAGCAATTGAATCAGTTTGTTAAGTACTTGTTTATTTTCTTGTAGCAATTGAGATGTAAATACTATAAATTTAACTTGATTCAATTTATTTTTTAATTTAGTTTTGGGATAGATTAGATTAATTAGTCCAAAATTAAAAGTTAAATAAATAATTGGGGAAAACCTCTAATTAATTTCTAAATTTCAAATTTCTAACTCAATCTACATTGTTTACATAAAAGGGTATAAAAGTTTCAACTCTTCAATATTAATTACCATTCAAAAAAAAAAAAAAAAACGTGGCTTATCCATCTTTTGAGACCTATCTATGGCTTCCATTTCCTCGTGTAAACGAAGAAGAGTTGGAGTTGATTAGGAGTTGGGCTTGGGCTTATGCTACCGATAGAAAAGAAGACGATGAATCCAACAGCATTAACAGTAGTTGGGCTTTGATTCGTTTACTGGATCAGGCCTTTTTAATGTCAAAACCCAAATCTGCTACTCCTCCCTCAATTCATCGCGTATTCTTTACGTCGATGCAGCCTGAAGATGGTAAATATTGGTCGGTAATTGCCCGCCAATTGCAAATCGGACAGCGGAGAGAAAGTAAAGAAAAGCTCCCTACGCCGTCGCCCGTCGGATATTTTTCTCGGATACCCTTCCCGGCGGCTGTAAGGATTTTGGTTTGCATTTTTATCAGTTTCAAGATAATTGGTAGAGTTCACGGGTCTCTTTATATCCCTTTCTGACTTTTCCATTGCCTGCTTTGTCGAAGCTCTACAGGCTACTCCAATCGAAACCCTAAGGCGACGCGTACCAGCTCTTATTTTTCTTCAACACCTCTTGCCAGCTATTTAAGCAATGTAACTCCCATTATATTTTTTTTTTTTTGCATGGAAATTTGTGCTAAATATGTTGTTAACTGTTGGTTTAGAGGATTTTCGAGTATAAAGAGTGTGGAGAAGAGCTCAATGGCTTTTATAATGCGCGTTTCGGATGATGAGATGGAGGATTCAGAAGAAGAGGCTATGGAGGATTCTGGGCGAACTTTAGTTACTGGGAAACGATTCAATTGTGATGATATTTACATTAGGTGTGAAACTAAACCGAGTTACTATCACGGCTATTTATTTATTTTTGTGATATGAGTATTGGCAATCTAAGAAGTATATTTTTTTATGTTTCAGTGAGAGTGATGATTCTGATTATGAGTTAGCTTTTGATGAACAATCATATTTAATGGATGGAGTAGGAGTTTTGGAAGGTGCTCTGTTTGAGCGAAGCCAGGAGCATCAGCTTGGAGTTAAGGTATATGGATTTCACTTATTATCCTTTTGTTTTGCCTTGAAAATAGGGTTAATTTTGTGGTTTTTGTGTTTCATTCTAGGCCATAAACGTCATCAAAGTTTTTTAAGTTTACAAATTTAAATAGGGAAGCCCATATTAACAAGCATCTATGGTTTGTATGTATAACAGTGGTAAATTTCTTGTCTAACAGGAAGAGCTTAGGAACCAAATCTCAGCATTAGAGATAGAATTAATGAGAGAAAGTGAAAAGTCTGATTCTGCATCTATGCGAGTTGAGAAGTATGTAGATGCAAGAAGGGAATCAGACCGAAAATTTGATACTCAATATCAGCGTAAAATGTGAGAGTGGCATCTTCAATGTTAATTTTGTTTGGTTTTTCTTCATTCTCAACATCACTCACAAAGAAATCAGTTTCTATTTTGATTTTTCTCTAATCTTTGATGCGTGCACACTGCACTGTTAAGAAAAGCTTGAAACAGATACTGACATTTCCTTATAATATTCTAGTGCAGAAGCACTTGATAATCACTTGACTGCTATCCAGCGGGATCATGAGCTCAAATCACAAATAGAAGAGAGGAGAATAAGAAATGATGCAGCTAATGAAGAGGCTAAGAGAAGGGAAAAGGCTTTGCAAGAAGAAAGACTGCGCCAAGAGAGAGCTAGGGCAGAAGCAGAGGTTTGTTGATTTGGCATTTCATTCCGTGTTCCCTGAGCTACTGAAGTTACTTTATCTGTACTTGCATTTTGAGGAATCATGCTTGAATGAACTTTGAAAGAGTATCTTGCATTGATCTTAATCCCACTCTAATAAATACTAATGTTTTATGAGAAGTGTTTTCGGTCCTTTATCTATGTACTTCTCTCCAGGTGTTAGAAGTTGGTAGCAATTTAGAATTTGTTAGTTGAACAGTGGAATAATCAAAATTTGGATTCAGGCTAAACGTAAAGTTGAGGAAGCAAAAATGGCTGCTCTAGAAGCAGAGAGGAGAGCCGCAAAGGAAGCTGCCGAAAAGGAAGCTGCCGAAGCCTCAAAAAGGATAGCTGCTGTAGTCTCTCAGGGGGATGTTGCTGGACACGATGGAAATGTCAGTTCAGCAAACAGCAGTCTTCAGTCTCAGGAAGCTGGATCTAACGGAAGTGATAAACCAAAATCAGCAGGTTGTCCGTATTCTTTTTTTTTTCTACCAAGGTCGTTGGACTTACTATGATATTACCACTGCTTTCAAATTTGTATTTTAAGTTGCTGTGCTTGTGACCTACAATCTACGTCTAATGTTATGAGGAAATATTTTTTGCTGAACAGAGATTTTAGTTATTTTCCCCTTCTCTGTTTATCTTTCACTAACTTCTTGGTCATGACCAATATATTTAAATTCTTTAAGCTCTATTTTTTAAGATTGAACCTAAATCTTATCGTGAAAAAATGATTTTCCTAGTGAGTGAAGTTGCTGGTACCCCATAATCTGATTTCAATCCTTTCTTTTGTTTTTTCTATTTGATTTGGCTATTCAACAATGTCCATTATTTTGCAGTCAGCAATAAGAATTCTTTTTTATCCTGTTCAACAAATACCTCGATTGCCTCCTTTTCCTTGTTTTTGTGTACCATGCTATTTCATTTTGTCATCTTAGTTGTTATATAAATGCCAAGTTTTGATATGGGAAAAATTGACTGCCATATCTTTCATATATGCCATTTCATAGTGTTTTGCACATTGATTGATCTGATTCACAAGTCATCTGTTCGTACACTCTTATCATTTCATATTTTTGGCTGAAATTCTGTTTATCTCTTCCTTACTTGTTTATTTTGAGGTTTAGTCCACGGCTGAGATTCCAGTTTGCCATTTTATGACAGGTGATATTATGAGGGCTGCAAAAAGTGCTCGTAACCTAGAGCAGGGAAGACTACAGAAGCTTAAAATGCTGGATGATGAAAACCAGTCACTTAGATTGAGTTCTAAATTGGTATAGCTAGCTTTTGCAATATTAATTTGGAAGTCTAAGTCCATTATCTTCATTTGATGTTTTAACTGTAGCTACACCACTGCAATTTTTTAGCCCTGATCTTGAATTATCTGATTTATGGTAGTCATATTTGACATTTTCATCCTAGTGCAGTGCATTACTAGTTGTTGTGTTCTTAGTCTTTCTTTGGCCTTTCTGTTCGAGAGTTTCTCGAGTATTTTGGTCATGTTGATACCATTAATTGTTCCTTGGATTTCTAGTTATGTTTCACTTAATGTATTACTTTCTGGTTATGTGATTTGAGGGATTTTGTATTACTAATATCTTCATTTGATATGCTGACTTTCTTTGTGGTGTAATGTTTGGTCAGGGTTTCAGCGGCCATGAGAAGCATATTTTAAGATTGATGAAACAAATAAGTGGAACAAAAGAGAATGTTAGGTAAGGAATATATCTTTATGAGCTGCCTTTAACGGCAGTGACATGTTCTTTCATATGGATTGTTATACATTAAAATATTCATGTATGCATGACTAGCAGACGTAGTTGCATCTGCAGAAAGTTTCTGTTTTTCCAAAGTTTTATATTGTGTGTAACCTCATTTTTAATTCTCAGCTTATGGTGCTGTCTTGAGATTTAGACGGCCTAAACTATAGTCAATTTGGTGAGAAACAGACATCTGATGCTTTAGTTTATTTGCCTTACATATGCTTATTTCCCCAAGGACTCCCAACTGGTTATGCAATTGTACCAGGCTACTCTTTTACATTTATATATCAGTCAGCCGCTGATTGGCCAGTTTAGTCTTCTGAGTTCTGACTGGATCATTTAATTTGCATCTTGATTGGAATTCTTATACGCATGCAAATCAATATATCCTTTTGTTTTTTGTTTTCTTTTTTTTTTACATCTTCAGTTTTTATCCACTCATGTTGCAGTGCAAAATCAAGTGAACTCATTAAGATTTTCAAGAACCCTGCATGCCCTCAATCCATCAGCATTGTGACATTTGCAGAGAAGGTAATCTTTGACTTGTCCACAAAAAATGCTTCCTCTTCCACATTAACTGACATGATTGATTGGGAGAATGGAGAGATGGGAGCACTTGGATTTACATAACCAACTTGTCCTGAATGCTCCTTATGATATTAATGCTATAAAAAACTAAAATTTAAATCTTTGAGATTCTACATTTTCTCTTTCTCATTAGTTTGAATAGCTTGTATACATTCCCAAATAATGGAAATATAGATGAGAGGCTTATAAACTTGAAAGATAGGATGTAGTGTCTAATATGAATTTGTAGCATCATAAATGAAAGGTAAAAAATAAGGTGCTATCATACATAAAATAAGCAGTTTACGTTTTATCAGTATTAAGCTGCAAAAGGTATATCTGCTACCTTTTCCTTCCTGCAAAAATGTCTTGGACCTTTTGTTGGTAAAAAAAATGTTTTATTCTTAAATTTAATGGTCATATGCAGTCTGTAATGTTCCATTTTCTAATATGTAAACTGACAGTATATGGAAACCATAAGATCCTCTGACATGTTCCCAATTTTGGTATTCGCAGGTTGTCTCCCTATGTACAAGCCCTGCTTTTCCTGCTTTTGCATGTAGTCATGTTGTTGTTCTTGTTATTTCACAGGTATAGTTTGTTACTTAGCTGCTTTTTATCCCTTTTACTTTTTTCCTGGGAGCAGAGTGATAGGGATTCATTGCTTGGCTGGCTTGAAAAGGCTACCATCTCATATCTTTGCCCTGTACATTATTATTTTCTTTTCTCAGATCAGTTTGCAGTATAACATGACTGGGAAACAATGAGATTTGGCTGAGGTTTTCTGTTGAGGGCTTTTGATGTGTTTAGTATAGGAAGTCAGGAAGCTAGGGAGTGATTTTAGTTGGTATACCTAATTTTTAGGATTCTTCTGTTCCTAATATGCAATAATGATTTGTGAACCAGGTCCCACATGCAATGGATATTCTTCTGGCTAAGTTGCATAAAGCATGTGTATACACTGTCCCAAAGTACATAGCGTACTCGAAGGTGACTAACTCTTAAATTCGCTGAATTGTTTGTCAGGACATGGCTTTCTTTGTGTTTGAACTATTTTTGATGGCTATTCTTATCATGCCATTAAAATAGTAGATCCATCAGTTCTCTACATGTAGTGCAAGGGCAAGACTAGGGTATGATATGGACGGGAAAGCAGTTCACTCTTTTGTAAAAAAGTTATTTGAATTCATCTTGCCAACATCTCATTTTTATTATGGAATAGAGCACATCAAGTTGATTTCTATATATAAATGATATGTTCAAAGGATGTTCCAATGTCTTAATGCTTGCCACAATAACATTGTTTTGCTCAATTTTCCTCCAAACAATTCTTGTATATGACCATAACTTGTTACCACTACAGCTACTGTTGCTTCTTTTTGGTCTTTCATATTTCTGTCCTTCCTTTCCTGGTAATCTTATTTTCTCTCTTGAGTCACAGTTTTAATAGATGAACTGAAGCGACATCTCATAGAGTTGTTCTATTGGCCAATTCAAACCTTTTGCAATTGATTGTAAGAGCAGCTTGGATTTGGCTAGATATCATGTGGCTGAACACTGTAAAAAAAAGTTGTGAAGCTAGCTAGTATCGGTGGCCATGAATAGTTTGATTTAACATTCTGTTTCCAGTTACAATTCACAAAAGTGATTCAAATTAACCTAGGGAAAAGTTTAAGGTCTAATCTCCACTGGTCTGCCTATAGATGAATGAGCAACATTTTGCTTTGTGGCATTTCTTTGGCTATTTTTCTTGCTGCTGCTGTTTGCATGTATTCTGAATTATTTTATTTTTTATTTTTGAACTTACAGTCAGCATTTGATTCAAGAGTGGCTTACCTCAAAACGATTGGATATGAAGAGCATGATGGGAAAATTGAAAGTACTGAAGAGTATTTGCAACGATTGGAATCCTACATGAGACTTTATGGGGCTCTGGTTCAGGTTTGCAGCAATCTATATTTATGTTTAAAAAGAACTTTGGTGCTTTCCTTTTGGTTTTGCAGCATGTATTACTGTTGTATTGATACTCTAACCTCATATTGTGTTACTGTTTCTTCTACATTGTAGCTGAAAAATGTTATTTGTTTTGGCAGACAGAAGTCCAGGGCGTCCAGAATCCTCATGGTCCAAAAGAAGGTTGGGCATGGCTTGCTAGGTTCTTAAATACTCTCCCTGCCAATAAATATACTGCGGTTGCACTGAAAGCATTCCTGCAAGTAAGTTGATACACATTCTTGATTCATTTGATAATGATTAACCAATTCGTCTGAAAAGGTTCTATGTTTCCACCAGACAGCAGGGTTTGTTCTCTTCAGAAAATACAGATCTCAGTTTCGGAAACTGCTGAACATCATCTTAAAGGACTTTCTAAAGGTATTGAGAGAGAGTGAAGATTCAGAACTCAGACCTATAATTATAGAGATCCAATCCTATATAGAAGACAATGAGTTCATTCAGGAGCCAGAAGGAAGGAGCCTGCAGGGTTCATTGCTGTCTAAAGTTATGGCGCCCGGATCACAACCAAGTAGAAGTTACTACGATTATTGATCAGAAAAAATCAGCATTTGATGCCTAAATTTGGTTAGATAAATCCACTATCTCAGGATATCTATTATGCGGACTGCCCTGCCCCGCGGCATCTATTGGAAAATGAAGCGGAAAAATTAGTTGCAATCTCTAGATTTGGTTAGGTTATATCAGGCATCTTCTCAACCATCATGGCGAGTTTTAGTATGTCAATGATGTGCTAATTGCTGAATTAAGCTTGGATGACCAGAATAATAATCTAGCCCACCCTTTCTCCCTCTGCTGCCTGGGTGGCTACACTGTTCAAATATTTTATTGAGAATTTCTGATCATTTGAAGGCGTACAGATGAACTCCTTTTGCCTTTGCCCTGTACGTAATTGTGTTGCAAAATATCAAAAGAGTATTTGGGGGCATCACGTTTTGGTATTCTTTTTTTGATATACTTTGATAATCTCTACAGGAAAAGAAAGCATGTTGTAATGGCATATGGCGACATGGAATGATTTAAGAGAAAAAAAGGTCATCTTCGGGGGGCCTGATTAACTAAAATAATGATAATGACGACAATTAGTACAGCTTGCAACCACGAAAGAATTAACAGTAGAAAAATTTTGTATACACCAAATCCACTACAGCTCACACTTCACTATTCAATTTCAAATTATAAATTTCTAATTACCCTAGTGTAGATTCCCAGAGTCAAACAAATACACATTATGTTACTACATATGCCTAGAAAAAAACAAACCGAAGAATAAATGTGAACCAACTCCTTATTCATCTATCTGCTTTAATACATCTAGGTTCTGCCAAAATCATATGAACAGAAGCTTTCATGAGGATGAATAAGCCATGTTCAGCAAGAAATTGTAGAATCCAACTCGTTCTTGAATGTTTACAAAGCTAGCAGTTATATACAACTCTTTTGCAGCTTGATTTTCCTGTATATTCGAAAACTGTTCCTTCTCAATCGAATTCATGCAGATACAATTTTTGCTGCATCTTGACATAAAACGATGAGAAAAGGGCAATGCAAATATCTGACCTGTCCCTGCCTTCAGAAAATGGGTATTTGAATCAGCTTTCACCAAATCAAACTCACTGGTGGTGGCAGAGACAATAACAAAGATGAGCATTGAACTGATTAATATAGCCTGATTCTAGTCTGTATCGGGCTTCGACAAATGGGGCATAGTTGAAGGTCTTCTCCACACTCACAACATGTCTGTAAAATGAAGTGGGAGTCAGAAGTGGTAATTTTATTCCATTGCGAACAACAGAAATTTAGCAAATGTTTTACCTGATGCCCACAACCAAAGGCCATATCCTTTTTGTTAGTAAGACAAATTGGGCAAACCTGTCAGTATATTGAAAAAAAGGCAGGGTTAATAAGCTATAAAGAGACCTAAATGACATTAGAGGTGCCCCTGCTGCTGATATATTAACATTGGTACCAAAAAGTGATATTTTTGTTGATGACAGGAAGGCAGTTGAAAAAAAAAAAAATGTAACAACAATGAATTTATTTCAGCAAGAGCTTTTGCACCTGATTATCATAAGTAGAACTTGAATATGGAGCTGTGTTGACTGGTGTATCATATCCAGCAGCTGGCGCGTCGTACCCAGAATAAGAAGAAACAGGCGACTCATATCCAGAATAAGAAGGAACACGCTGCTGAAAGCTGTTTGAACGGGATGGTTTTAAGCTCTGGCCAAAAGAAGATGCTCCACGAAGAGGTGGGGGCAGATGAACCCTCTCCGGAGCATTCCCTGTCCGTCGACTGCTTCATCAATGGAAGCAAGCAATAGAAGTTACATTATTTCACATGATAAAGACAAAAAATCAATTAGAAAAATTTCCACATTATTATGGCTTTATGATTACCCCAATATGCCAAGCTCAATTGTTGCTTTGTATTGAGCAGGTATTTCCATCAATGCTGCAAGTGCAAACTCTGTCTCTTTTCTAGATTCGTTGACATTTTTTGTCATTATCTCTGTGAAATTCACGAACTATGGAAACAAAGAAAGGTCATTGTTTCAATAAGCATATCTGGAAATGCGAATAACAAGAAGTTAAAATACTTCAGGAACTGCACAACATAACTGCTACATACCTGAAAGTTATCAAAGGCTCGAGCAGGGATGTTATCATCAAACTCTCTCATCATGTCCCAAGGCCCATCACCAACCCCTACTAAAATTATTGATAAAGGGTATTCACTGCAACGAAACAGGAAATGAGAAAGTAGGTGGGAAAATCCAAGCAACTAGTCTTTAATATATAATATTAGCCTTTGGCTACTCCCCTTTTTTAAATTTCAATTTATTTTAAAAAAACTAGTGTGTTACCTCGCTTTCACAATTGCATTGATTGTCTTCTGCTCCTGCGGACTGAAGTGACCACGCTGTGTGTCAACGCTCCTAGTTACCTATCATGATAAGTGGTTTCTGTGAGGTGCAAAGAGTAGAATATACCGTAATCGACAAGCCATTGATATAAAAGAATTAGGCCTATTGCGCAAAAGGTGTATAAAATTTTGATTGTGAGGACAGAAATAGGAAAATTTCAACTGCTTAAACAGAATGTTTGGATTGCACCATCAGTGGCAGACACTAGACCATCGGAAAGAACTGCAATACCGCATCTTCAAAGCACAATTGACAACAATAATTCCCAATTCTAGGTCAGAGTATTCTTTTCAACTACTTTAGTGAGAGATAAGCTTAGTTGAGTTAGGGAGAGGTACTTCAAGCAGCCATTCCATAAGAAAAAAGAGACATACTGCTCCGCTGAACATTTCTCATCACCTTTTATTCCTTTCAGCATCAATACACAACAATACTTGTGCAGTGCACTATTTAAATTTTGATGCTAAAGTGGGTCTGGAGGAGTTAGTATTATCTGGTCCCTGAAACTCTGGCATGAGGACTTTGTGAGTTAACAAAAGCAGTTTGTTCTCTCCCGTGGGGAGTAGAACCTCGCTGACTTCATGATGATACTGTCTAATGTTTTATCAATCATAATTCCAGAAATGAACATAGTAAAGCTGATTAATTCTAAAGAAAAAGGTCCAACTTGATCCTGAATTACCTGTCCATCAGCAATTATCACCAGAACATGGTATTGTCCACCACTTTGCTCAACAATTGTAATAGCCATCTCGATGATGGGCGCAAATGATGTTGGCCCTGGCATGGATAATAAAAGCAATGTGCCTTAGAACCAGGCAGTAGAATATAACATAAAGTCATGGAGGACTAGGCAGTATAATACACAGACTAATGGAATAAACAGAAGTCATACCTGCAAGTCGAAGCTGGGGAACAATTTCTCTGTATCGGGTCAACACTTCTTCAAATCCATTACAGATTCTTTCATCTTCATAAAAACTGAAGACATCTTGATCGTGTGTTGATGCTGCAAAATATACAAGACAAATATGATCTGCATATCCCAAATATTAATGCCACATAGGACAGACAAGAGAAGATCTAGATGAAAATACCATCTCCAAACCCAAAACAGGGAATTAAATTATCCTCATCGAATGCTGATAAAGTCCTGCCAATAATTGATATTGCCTGTTCATATGGATTTTGCCCATTGCCAATGTGATGTAAGCTTCGCCGATTGAATGATCTTGAACCTGTCCACTCATTGCTTTTTGTGAAATCAATGCCGACAATGAGATTAGAAGACTCTAGGCCGGATTGAGCGAGGGCAGCAGTGACCTGCAGTCAATGATACCCATTATTTACAATGAAAATTATCTAACAAAGAGACACTTTGCCATCACAAAACTTTTACAACAAAATATAGAAATTCTTCGTAATCAGAAATAAGCAAAATATTATTAAAGAAAGTGCAGAGAGAAATTAGAGCAGTGCAAAATCAACAAAGAGAAAAAAGAGAGATGACAACTTAGAGATTTAAATATCGGACAATCACATTTTAGCTAAATTCCTGCCTTAAGATTTGAAGTCAATGAGTTAATTCTAGTTCCTGGTCTCTGAAATTGGAAAGGTCAATTACAAGTTCCTCTATCCAAATGCTTCACAAAAACCTTCTGAAGGTCCATTTGAATATGAGATGATTTGAAATGAGAGTGGACTTGGATTTGTCTTATCATAAACATCAGGTTGAAAAAAAAAATCATTAAGCCCAAGATTAATTTTAAATTCAAAAACAAGTTCATTTCAAATCTTCGTCATGTAAATGGAACCAATTGCAGCCAACTTAAGCCATCGGAGCTTTTGACTGCCAGTTCAACCACAATATATGGCCCCATGTCATGATTGCAATTTTGTGCTCAATGATCAAGAAATCTCAGCTAATTTCAGCTATGCTTTAATCTATAGCCATTCATACTTGTACACGTATACGTATGATTTCGGCTCTGTTTCAAATTGTCATGTCAAAGTTCACATCATTTTCCAGTAACATCCTTCATTCTCATCCAAAGAAAAGGGTCAAAATCCAAGGTCTGGCACTCATTAGATACTTCTCTCCTCATATCCACTCTCAAGAAAAGAGAAAAATGTAAAAGGCATTTATCTCCATTCCACTCACTAATTCATATTAAATATCATCAAAAGCATCTTTCAGAACTGCTTTGCAGCTAAATTTGAGTCACAAAGGCATTTGTTTTATCAGCCACAATCTAACTAGAATAATTCACCCAATACTCTAGTCAAAATCAAAGATTTCCAAATCAACATAGTAAATACATATAAGCACGCCCAGAAGCTTAACACTTCATTTAAGATTGAACTACGCTACTAGTATTAATGAAGCCTGCCCTCACCACCCTTAGAGTGAAAATACTGAAGGCAGTTATCACTGGCTGTCAAAATCCACCCAACCATAGATATGGACTTTTTCCTCCAACACTAGAGCCCTTCAGTATTATTTGCATAGAGGCTAAGAACAAAAAGGTTATATAGAACACAAATAAATCACAAATATACTGAAAAATCATGGGTCCAACCTGATCCAAGGTCTTGTAATCATCAGCAATTCTGGAGTATTTCCTATCTAACCTTTTCTGTGGCTGAGGCCTTTCTGTTTCATAACTATAAGAAGAAGAAGAGGCCTGATGATGCTCAGAAGTAGATGGGTATGGATATGGGTTCTGATGAGCAGAAGGGTATGGATATGGTGATGCTTGAGGATACCCATACTGATTCCATGATGAAGATGAATTGTTTGAACCGTAAGAGGAAATATGTCTCCCGCTAGACCCTTTTGAGCTCTTCCCTCCCATCAGCTAAAGAAACCCTTCAAAATTTCAAGAATCAGAATCTGTATCTCTCTCTTATGAAAAGTACCTGAAACTGGAATAAAAAGAAAGAAGAATTGGGAAATGGCAAGTTTTGGAGAATAATAAGATCTTGAAGTGCATAAACAAATTGGGAAATTTGATGGTTACCTATTTAAGTCTTCAAATTGAAGAAGATAATTAGGTAAATATAATTATGAGGAAGTTTCTGAGTCGACCAAGAAAATCAAACAATTTACTAGCATATGAAACAAAGACCAAGACAATTTATACAGGCGGCTCTAGAAATGACCAATTCAAAGATCTCGCCGACCATAGAAATGCCTCTGCAATAACACAACAAAGACATGTATATTGGATGGAATGAATGAAAACTTCAAGAAACCATAAAAAACAGGCATAAAATAAGGAAATCTCATGTGGGTTTTGATAGATAAACACGCAAGATTGATAAAGAACTTTCAATTGAAAATCATTAAAGCATATACGTTAGCTCACAGGGCAAGCAAAACCAAAGTAGAGACAGTAGACAGTGAGTATTCTAGGTCAGCTCCAATTATTTCTTTAGTATTGCTATTCACAATCATAAAAATGCCAGTAAAGAATTGAGATTGAGATTGAGGTTGATAAGAACATGTTAGCAGAATAGCTGAAGTCAATTACATTTCACAATAATAAATACTATAAAAATATCTTTAGAGAAAGACCCTACAATGGAGATGGGTCTTTTTTTTTTTTTAGTTAAAATACAAATACAGATAAGTATTTAACTAATCAATCATGCATATCAGCAATACGTAATAACAAATAAATGAAGATCACCTCTAATTTAACACCATTGATTTCAAGAAACAAGTGTTCATGTTCATTGACATTGAGGAGAAGAAAACTTTTATACATGCAAGATTAGCGGGAAATTTGATAGTTTTCTATTCCAAAGGAATATTGGATTTAAGTGTCAAGTCTTTTTTAAAAATTTTCTTTTCGTTTACCTGCGAGAAATATTTTGAAATTTGAGAATGGAGTTGGAAGGGAAGAAAGAAAAGTTACGGTAAGTTAGGTGAGAATAGGGGAAACAAGTGACACGTGCTGGTTGCAAGTGTGAACGTGTAATATTTTAAGAAGTTATTGTGGAGAAAGAAATGGCTGCGCGTGTCAATCGTTTTCGTTTGAGATAAAACTTGCATATATCAAAAAATATAGCCCATACATGAATCAAAATTATTTTTAAAAATTAATTTTATTTTATTTTTCAATTATTCTCATTTTATTTTATACTGTTTAACAGTGAAATAGCTAGTAATTTTTTTTTTTAAGTTTATTTGTTTTCATCTTTTTCTACCATAAAAACATTGGATAAGATTTCGGCACTAAATATTTAGGTTTACAAAATTATTCTTAAAATTTAAACTAATTAATAATTAAAAGTATATATTCTTATTTAATTTTTAATTCCCCGATCGTCCCGCTACAATTTTTTTTTTTTTTTTGTGTTTTTTAGAAATTCATATATAAACGTTAGAAGGAAACTAACGTGTCTAAACCCTGTCTATGTATTCACGAGGTGAAACGTATCTAAAAGTGTTACTTAAATTATACATCAAACGATTCTTATTCCAAGCTCTGAAAACTACACACTACCAAACCAATAAGATAAATTAAATAATTATTATGTTGTTCAATTTCTCTCATTCTAGCGAAGTGATGATAGAAGGAAATGGGAAGAAAACAAATATAAATTTATATTATATTTGATATATTTATGTTCGTGTTATTAAATTTTTAATTTTTTATAAATTTGAAATCGAATGAAATTCATATTAATTTTTAAAAAATATTTAAATATATGATATATATTTAAAATATGATTAATCATTTTAAAATCTTAAATTTCAGATTAAATGCATGAATCCACACGCAATTTTAAAGAAATTGAAATATTTAAAAGCATTTCCCTTTTCTCTTATTTTTAAAATATTCTTTACATTAAAAATTACCGGAAAAATCTGATGGATCGAAATGTCACTGTGTGGAGAACTCTAGAGTAATTTCTTCAAATAGGTTATATTTCAAGTACTTAATAGTAATTTAATCTATATACAAATACAAATAAGTAATAAATCGAATTGGTGTGAAGCGTGCAACAGTCAGTGTGTACGTGTCGAACGAAATAGAATTAACCAAGCTATTGGTTTTTTTCGTGTTACAAACGTGTCAATGTGTTAATTTCGTGTTTGGCTTTTATATTTTGGTTTCTTTTCTTTTCAAAAAGAATAGTGATTTAACTGAAATGCTCTTTATCCTTGTTTACTATAAATAAAATTTTGGAACTGTTACTGCCTGATTTAGAGTTGGTTTGATGTTCTTTTCCTGAATTGGTTCCGGTTTAGTTCCAATTCATACCTAGATTCAGTGGTTATCAAGTTAGTTCGATCAGGTTTAGGCTGATTCTGATTTAGTTCTAGGCCAGTTTTTAGTTAAATCAAATCAATCAACCGGTTTGGTTCAGTTATAAAACCAAAAAATCTATCTTTTTGACTTGAGACAACACGGCGTGCACTTTTTGACTTGCCACATAGGTTATAGATTAGAAGTTAGAACTTCAACATTCAAAAACACACATCCCTTTTTAAATTTTTTTTAATTTTACTCGCAGAAAACAGTAATTAATATAGATAATTAGTGAAGTTTATGTTCACGTGTCTATAAAAATGGAATTAATCAAGTTTACCCAAACTGAAGTTGCCAAGTCGCGGTATTGCAATTCAGTGTGTTCTCCAACTTCATCTAATCAACTTCAAGTCAGCGGTTCTGTCTGCTTTCATTCTGTGTTACAGCCGTGTCACTGCAGTGTTTGGCTTTCATTTTTTTTTTTTTAATCATCGGTGTCCAGATCTCATTATTAAAGACCGACTCGAAGTTTAATTATCATTTTCTTCTTTTTTAATTTGTATAGAAAGAGAGGCAAAAGATCATGAGAATTAAATATAGTTTATTTTAAAAGAAAAAGACTTACTGTTCTCCGTATCTTGATCCATCCATTCCATATATTAAGCTAATAAAAAATAAACTTTGGTTATAATGAAGGTATTTTTTATCATTCGCAGAAAAAAAAGATAAAATTATAATAATTCTTTGTAAAACCCTTTATGTGTCGACTTGCTGTATCATATATGTAAATAAGTTTTAATACAATAACTATTTTTACAAGTTACTATTAATTTTGAGATAAAAGACAGTTATGTCAAATTATGGTTGATTTTGTTATAATTTAGGAGAATTAATTATTTTATTAATTATCGTGTAAAAATTTTAAACGATTTATATTTAAAATGGAAAAAATATGGTATTATGTGATTTGAAAAAATCTCATATATCCCTGGACAATTAATACAGTTGACGAGAATGTGATAATCTCTTTTTTTTTATTTAATATTACTCAAATGTAATCTTATTATTTTTATAAATTTAAATTGCAGAAATTGATATTTTTATATTATGCAATATGATATCAAATAACTAAGCACATTTTTTTGCTAGTTATAATTTTTTTTTCTTATATTATATATGAATTCATTATGTGGTTTAATTATAATTAAAACAATTATTAAATAATCTAATGGTATCAAACTGCAAACTGAACCACAATTATTGCAGTTTGATATGATTTGATTTCATTAATTAAATGTTTTGTTTTGAATTGAAAAATCTATAAACCGTAATTTGTGATTTCGTTCAAAAATTTTTCTAAGTTGTGCACCCTCGTTTTGTTACCATCATTGCTTGCCTTGAATCTTTATTACACATTTTGAATTGCACATAACATCCACTAACCCTTTTTTATAAATAATGCTTACTCCTGCATTCTTTCATTTCTCAATACCAAAAAACGTAGTAATAAACATGGTTCTTGTCAGACAAAAACTACAAAGAAACTCTCTGCTTTCTCTTCCAGAGCTTAAAATTTGCGACTCCTCTCCCTTCCCTAACCCTAACCCTAACCATAACCCATCATCAGTTTCTAATATTATAACTCATCAAGCCGTTGTAACAGACTTCTCCGACTTGGAAAAACTCTGGGTTATTGGCCATGGTAACCATGGCATTGTCTACAAAGTTCGCCAACGGTCAACTTCAGCTATTTATGCTCTGAAAATGGTTCAGCAGGAGGATACTAACGCTGTATCCCACGAGACAGAAATCTTAACTTGTACTGACTCGCCATTTACTATCAAATGCTATGGAATATTCGAGCCGAGAGCAGGCGAGAAAGCGATTCTAATGGAATATATGGATGGGGGAACACTTGATACTGCTCTAAGCTCTAATGGTCCGTTTCCTGAAGCTTTACTTGTAGACGTAGCAAAGCAAGTACTCAACGGTCTTAACTACCTTCATGCACATAATATTGTTCATTTAGATATTAAACCTTCAAATCTTCTTATTAGTAACGGCATGAAAGTCAAAATTGGAGACTTTGGAGTTAGTAGGATTGTTAATGACAATGATACGAGGAATTATGAGAATTTGGGTAGTCGAGGTACTTATGCCTATATGAGTCCAGAAAGATTGGATTCACAAACATTTGGGTCTGGTTATGTTTATGCAGGAGATGTTTGGAGCTTAGGAGTTAGTTTATGGGAGCTCTATGTGGGGCATTTCCCGTTTTTTGAAGATGCAAGAACAACGAGGCCAAGTTGGATGGAGCTTGTGATGGTTATATGCTATGGAGAATTTCCATGCCTGCCAAACAAGGCCTCCCAAGAGTTTGGAAGTTTCCTTAAGTGTTGTTTGGAAAGGGAACCGAGTAAGAGATGGAATGTTTCACAACTATTGTCACACCCTTTTATTGGCATGGAGAGGGAAGCAATTAGTTGGTGTGTTTGACCCCATTTTACAATATACAGTTGAATTAATTAGCATATGATGATGTGCCAAAATTAGCATTTTTTTTTTTTTTTGAAAATGCCAAAATTAGCACATGAGATATACTAGGAAAATACTATTTGGTCATAATAAGACAAAATTATGATATTTTTTTAATAAAACCAGGGTAAAACCCTTTATTTCTCAAGGATTTCAAAGATTGAAGTCGCGTACCACCTTCAATATATTGTCAGTTTAAATTACGATAAGTTTAGATAATTAAAGCTTATAAAGTGTTTGTTTTTTTCATTTTTAGGACTTAGGGTTGTTTGTTTGAACTTAAATAACAATTTATTATCATCTAACAAAAAAATGACAATTTATTAAATCTCTAATTTATTTATTTAGATAGTAGGAAATAAATTTATTTTCTAAGTTAAATCAATAAGTTGTTTATCTAAAAAACACAGATCTAAAGTCAAGATCAACAAAATAATAACACTATTATCCTATCATCCCGACCACAAATTATAAAGGCATAGAGCCATACCTCGTCGAAAACCCAAACAAACCCCACCGGTAGCCACCACTTCTGTTGTCGTTATCTCCATAATCTCAGGGTCGTCCAGTGGCAGAAGGAGAAGGAGAGGGAGAGAACAAGCAAGAAGAAGAAAGAAGACGAGAATTTCAGTTTTTTCCTTTAAATTTAACAGCAAAAAATCGAAAATATCCGCGGAAAGACAAAATGGTAGGACGAAATTAAAATATAGAGATAAAAATAATATATTTTAAAAAATATAAAAATAAAATAATTAATTTTGGTATAACACGGAGACACATTTATAATTTTCTGGTGTAATTTGAGAATACATAAATCAACAAATCGCACCGTTGACGCTCTTTGGTTTGCCATTCCAATCGCCATCAAAAACAAATGCGTTACCGTTTCAAACCGGGTAGTCTATGCACCTGCGCCGTACCAAAACCTCCACACCTATAAAATTACTTTCTTGGCCTTTTTTATTTCTTTTAGATGAAAATTTCATTTTTGACGAGGAACGGAGGAGAGACTGGTTGGTTGGTAACTTTCGTTTTTTGTTGTGTTCTGTTCTGTTTTTCACTCTGTTTCGGCCATCATCTTCCTCCTCAGCCTGCTTCCCATTCCCATTTATACTTACAAATACGTAAGTCATAATCTTCCTCTCTATCTCCATTTTGTTTCCCCTTTTAAGCAACCTCAATTAGTAAACTAGCAAGCAGTGTCCTTTTCCCAACCTTGATTTTCCTTTTATTCGAAGCAATCGTTTACTTTGGTTATTGGCTAGTCTCAATTCTAGGGCTTATCAAAGACAAGGAATTGCAATATTTGGAATTTAATTAATTAATAAAATGGTATTTTTTTAATTCAATTGATCACCGCTTCTGAATTCAATCTGGAATGGCGAGCGGTGACGGCGATGAGGACGTCGCCGTTTTGAGCGATGTTGAGGGAGACGATCCGGTGCCGATCGTTGTAAGAAGTCCGAGACTGGAAGATGTGTCCGTGGAGAAATATCGCGAGCTACTCGCTGAGCTCGATCGGGAGAGAGCTGCTCGTGAGGCAGCCGAGACGTCTAAGTCGGAGCTTCAGGTTTCGTTTAATCGGTTGAAAGCGCTGGCGCATGAGGCGATCAGGAAGCGAGATGAGTGCGCGAGGCAGCGGGATGAAAGTGTGAAGGAGAAGGAAGAGGCTTTGAAAGAAAAGGAGAGAATATCTGTGGAATTGATTGAAGTCAATAAGTTGAAAGAGGAGGCTGTGAAGCAGAAAGATGAAATTGGGAAGCAGTTTGAGGAGGCGGTGAAAGCTAGGGATGGATTGCAATCGGAGATTGAGAATTCGAGGCATATGCTAGTGAGTGGAATTGAGAAGATTTCCGGAAAAGTAAGTAACGTCAAGAATTTTGCTGCGGCAGGGTTGCCTAGGTCTCAGAAATACACTGGATTGCCCGCTGTTGCTTATGGAGTTATTAAGAGGACAAATGAGATTGTTGAAGAGCTCGTTAGACAGATTGATGCCACTGCAAAATCTAGGAATGAAGCAAGAGAACAGATGGATATGAGGAATTACGAGATTGCTATTGAGGTCTCTCAGCTTGAAGCTACAATTAGTGGCTTGAGAGATGAAGTGGCAAAGAAGACTTCATTGATTGAGAACTTAGAGAAGAATGTGGTGGAAAAGGAAGAGAAGGTTTCAGAAATTGAGAGAGAGATGTTTGAGAAGACACATTCTGTAGAGAATGAAGCTTTTGAGTTGAGGGAGTTAGTTGTTGAGTATGATGATAAGCTGAGGAATTTGGAATCAAAGTTAGAATTGCAGAGGCCTTTGTTGATTGATCAGTTGAATTTAGTGGCAAAAATCCATGACCGGCTTTATGATGTCATCAAATTAGTCGATACTAATCATTTGGATTCAGATTTATCAGAGTCTTTGTTTCTCCCACAACAAACGGACATGGAGGAGAATATACGTGCTTCTTTAGCAGGAATGGAATCAATTTATGAGTTAACTAGAATCGTTGTTGAAAAAACAAAGGATTTGTTAGAGAAGAAGAGTCATGAAGTGAAAGGTTTGAATGAAACAGTAGGCCGATTGGTTAAGGAGAAAGAGCAAATTGGTTCATTACTTAGAAGTGCTTTATCAAAGAGGATGAGATTGGACCAATCTTCCAAAACCAATGAATTGTTTCAGGCTGCAGAGAATGGCTTAAGGGAGGCTGGGATAGATATCAAATTTAGTAAGATTCTTGGGGATAACAAGGTTCCAGCTTCTCAAGATAAAGGTAGACCCCTAGACATGGAAGAAGATGAAATATACAATTTGGTAGGTGTTCTTTACTTTGGTTTATTTAATTATCTTGGACTTTTGGTTTGTGCATTATATCCTAATTTGTTCTCACGTTCAAAAATTGTACTCAGGCTGGTGCTCTGGAGAATATTGTAAAGGCATCTCAGCTTGAGATAATTGAGCTGCAGCATTCTGTGGATGAATTGAGGTATTTACAACATGCCTGAACTCATTACAATGCATACTGACAATGAAATCGGTAACCTAATTCATATACTTACCAGATATTCCTATCTTTATGTGCCATGTTCCTGTGTTAAGGGCAGAGGCGAGTTTACTTAAAGAGCATATAGAGGCACAAGCAAAGGAACTGGACCAGAGAATGCGTAGAATAGAAGAACTTGAGGAGAAGGAGAGAGTGGCAAATGAAAGTGTAAGTTACATTTTTTTTTTTTTCTGAGAGTTGGTTCTGTTAATAGTGTCCGCTACTTTGAGAAAGATCCTTTACTTCTCTTTATTGAATGGATTATGAACTTTTCCTTCATGGCATTATAGGTTGAAGGGCTTATGATGGATATTGCTGCTGCTGAAGAAGAAATTACTAGATGGAAAGTAGCAGCAGAGCAAGAGGCTGCTGCTGGCCGATCTATTGAGCAAGAATTTGTGGCTCAGGTATGCTTCCTTGATCAGCCATAACTAATCTGTTTAATTTGAGGCTTTGTTGTCATGTAAGTAACAACTATCTCATTCATGGAATTTGATCCTGTCTAGTAAATTTGTTATGATTCTATATTCAGAGTCCAAACAACAACAAGAGTTGACATGGCTTTGACAAAATAGTCATTTAGGCAAATAATGGCTTTTGATTGGTGACTAGAGCTAAACAGGTTTTTGTAAAAGCTTGCAAAACCTTGAGATTGAGAACGTTGCTAAAATATGCGACTAATAAATGAAATATAATAGTTTTGGGTAAAGTCACATGTAATTGTAGGATATAAATTGAAGAACTTGAGAGTAACTCCTTGAAAATTTTTTAATTTGCAAATTCTGGTGACAGTTTGATTCTGAACCAATGCCATTATTATTTCCATATCCACTAGATATACTATTGGTTTTAAGTACTAGTTAAGGTTTCTGGTGTGGACTGCATGTAATATTGTGTTGTTGACTTGCAGCTGTCAGCACTTAAACAGGAACTTGAAGAGGCAAGGCATGCCATGTTTGAATCAGAGAAAAAGCTAAAATTCAAAGAAGAGACAGCTGCTGCTGCCATGGCAGCAAGAGAGGCTGCTGAGAAGTCATTGAGACTGGCTGACATGAGGGCGTCTAGGCTGAGAGATAGGGTGGAGGAACTCAGTCATCAGCTTGAAGAGTTTGAAACTCGAGAAGACTCGGGAGGCCGAAATGGTCCTAGATATGTATGCTGGCCATGGCAGTGGCTTGGACTGGACTTTGTAGGCGTTCGCAGACCTGAAACACAACAACCGAGTTCAAATGAAATGGAGCTTTCTGAACCCCTTCTATGATTTTAACTTTTCCCTTCTTTTTGTGTATTTATTTGAACTTTCAAAAAATTTAAATTCAAGAAATGATAGCTTATTACATCCTTCGTCCCGGCCAGCTTATTCAATGTGCGATGTTTTACATGAACGGTGATTTGCATAAAAATAATACAGTTTCTTTTCATATATCTTTCATCTTCCTCATTTTGCGTGTAACTTTCTGCTCATCCTCTCATAAGGTGCAAAAAAGAGAGAGAAGATCTATCTAAGGGTTTTTATTTGCCATCTGCTGACAGATGCGTATTTCTTATGGCTATTCAGAGTCTAGGGTTTTTTAAAGATTTTGTTGGGATCCGAAAGCAAGGAAGAGTTATCTTATCGTCATATTGGTTAAATCTTATTGGAAGTGAAGTGTCAGAAATCGGTATCCCAATTGTTTCTAGAGATTCTTAAGCCAAATTGCATGTCGACCAGCATAATCATACATAATATCCAAAATAATCTTCTGCAGACAAGCATCAAGCAACAGCCTCAGCTTCACGAATCAGTTCTTGTAATCTGTCATTGCCAAAGTCGCTCCCTCCGAATGTCGTCCCAAAAGCCATCGCAAGAGCATGCGACTTTTCGGTAAGATTAAAAGGAGTTGCTGATGATGATAACTGAGAGACGAGACTCATAAGCAAATTGACTTCTTCTTCCCTAATAAACCTAAATGACTGAACTCGCTTCAAGCTTAGAAGTTATTTTCCCCATCTCTCTCCAGTTCACTGTAGGGTGAAAAAGCAATCTCAAGGTAGTCGTGAGTGAGTCTCTTAGCACCAACTAAGCGAGGTCTACTGCAACAGTCAAGATCATAAGTTTTCAAGACCTCTTTTGCTGCTTCTGCAGAGGATATTACGGGAGTTGGTAGTGGAACTAAATGGAGAAGCATAATAGGACCATATTCCTTGGAGAGCTGCGATAGAGACTGTAAGGCAAAATGCCAATTTGGTGTAAATGTCCTATAATTTGTAGCTTAGGGGGACCTGGTAGAAGCTTCTTGTTTTATTATGCTTTCTTCTTCAAGAGAAGCAGTACTGAAGGGATGATAATATGCGTGCAAGTTGTATTTTTGCCTGGAGACTAATTGTCATCCATTTTTCGACATCACACTGAAAAAAAAGAAAAAAAAGAAAAAAAAAAAGAAAAGAAAAGGAGAGGCAGCTGCCAAACTGATATGCATAAGGGCTGAAAATTTTCTACGTAGTTTAGTAACATAAACACGTATTTTATATTCTACCGTATTCTTTATTGCAAAATTACTAGAAAATAAATAATTTACTATGATTTTCATCTGATGTTATAATATAATGGCTACTAAAAGTGCTCCACAGGCAAAAGGTTGAGAGGAGTCTTTTTAGATACAGTGAGACTAATACCAGGTTGCTCTTCCATGTCGATGTCTTCCCTCTTCATTCCATCGGGCAGTTTCCAATCAAAACAATACAGAAGGTTTGCAAGTACGATCTCCACTGTTATTGTTGCCATATGTATCCCAGGACAAATTCTTCTACCTGCTCCAAATGGCAAGAATTCAAAATTTTGTCCTTTAAAGTCGATGTCACTATCAGCAAATCTTTCAGGGAAGAATTGTTCAGGATCCTTCCAATACTTAGGATCACGTCCAATTGCCCAGGCATTAACTTGGATTAGTGTCTTGGGATAAATGTCGTAGCCATTGATTTTAAAATGAGAGATTGTTTCTCTAGGAAGTAGCAGTGGAGCAGCAGGATGCAATCTGAAAGTTTCTTTTATTACCATCTTTAAGTATTCAAGCTGGTCGAGATCACCTTCAGTTATTCTTCCTTTCTTTCCAACAACATTTCTAACTTCATCTTGCGCTTTCTTCATCACACTCGGATTCCGAGACAGCTCTGCCATTGCCCAGTTCACGGTAATCGCAGAAGTGTCTACTCCAGCTAAAAATAAATTCTGACGGACAAATATTACATTTCAATTAATAGCACGGACTAGACATAGAAGACGAAGAAAATACTCATAAATGGAATGTTGGAAACTTACCAGAAGGACTCCCTTAATGTTATCATTTGTGAACTTTGCCATTCCAGTTTCAGCTTGTTCTTCCTTTATTCTTAACAGCACATCTATCACGTCGTCTTTCTCCTTATTCCTTCCTGGTTTAAGATGATCATTGATTGCATATTCAAAAAAGGTATCCAACTCATGGAAAACTCTTTCAGTCCTAGCATGATGGCTGGTTATCCAATCAAAAACCCAACCAAAATATGGGAACAATTCACTTTTAGAGAAGCTTCCTGCCACAGCTTCACCATCATGAACCACTTCATGAAATCTATCTCTGTCGAAATTAGTCCCCCGATAATCAAATCCGAAAGACATTCGAACTGTGATATTTGCAGTAAGGGAAAATAACTTTTCTGTAAGATTAATGGGAGTTTCAGAAGCTGCTGAATTGGAGATTGAACTGATGAACAATTCAACTTCTTCTTCCCTAAGGGACCGAAAAGACTGCACTCTCTTCAAGCTAAAAAGCTGTAAGACAATTAGTTTTTTCATGTTTCTCCAGTGATCACCATATGGTGTTAAACCCACATCTAAATAATTATAAGAGAGTCTGCCAGCACCTGCTAACTGAGGTCTGCTGCAACAAGCAAGATCATTAACTTTTAAGACCTCTCTTGCTGCCTCAGCAGAGGAGATTACAACATTTGGGATATTACCAAGTTGAAGGAGCATAACAGGACCATATTTCTTGGACAGCTTCCAGTAAGATTGGTGAAGCAATTCACCAAGTTGGTGCAAGTTGCCTAAAATTGGAAGCTTAGGAGGACCAGGTGGGAGCTGCTTATTTTGTTTTCTGTCTTCCTTCTTTCTTTTAACTATGAGCAATAGAAACAGGAGTAAAAGAACGGGAATCCATATAGTTGAAGCATAGAGAGCCATTAGAGTTTTAGCTTGCAGATGTCTCAACTTTCTTGAGGCATGTCTTCCTCATTAATAGAAAGTTCTTGCCACTCCAAGACAAAAAAACTGATAAATTGAGAAAAAAAAAATATTGGTTTTTGTTATTTTCTGATAATAAATTTTAACCTCCAATAAATTTTCCTTTCCCACTTCTGACCTTTCAATACTTGTAATTTTCAGCTATGAAATTGTATGATGCTAGCTGCTGCCATGTCTAACTTTTCCATTTAAACAAATTAAATAAACTTTTTTCCAAGGCAGTGACTGATTTGAACTTGTACACTTATCTCCTAAAAATTGTGGTTGAAATTGCTCTAGAAATATTGAACACATATAACCAGGGTGCCAGCTAGACTAGATGGAGAAAGTTTCAAGTTTATAGCACCAGTGGAAAATATCAATCTTACCTTGAATTGTAGAGCTTTGAGAAATAAAAAAGAGGCCACTTTCTTGACTTGTATATTAATTTAAATTATTTTATTTTATTTTATTTTTCACCGGTCCATAGGGATCTCTCGGCATAGCCAAGACAACCTTCCTTTCTAATCTCTTATACATAATCTCAAAGTAATTAGAACAACACATTCCCAACAGAATACAAAAGAACTAGATTGTTACCTATTTTGCTGCTTCTTTCCCATAGGAAGCCTGGAAAATTAGTTCAACTGGACAAATAAGTTATATTTTATGCATTTGGAATGTTCCAATGCACTAATTTTACCACTATCTTTTACAAATCAGCAATTTAAGATTTTTTAACCAAGTACTAGCTGTTTTATTTTGCCAGGAACTACCGTTCTTAAAATCATTGAGTTTATAAGGGTATAGATACGTGAAGCAATTTATTTATATGTCTATTGAAGAGTTTACATACGCCAAGCAATGTTCTTTCACTCATATATGCATTTCTGTTTATGTCTATTGGAGGTACCTGGAAGGAACAAGTTTGACAGCTTCCTTTTTAGATACGGTAAGACTAGGACCAGCTTGCTCTTCCATGTTGATATTTTCTTCTCCATTTGGTAGTCTCCAATCAAAACAATATAATAAATTTGCAATTACAAGCTCCACTAATATAGTTCCCATATACAGTGCAGGACAACCTCTTCTACCAGCTCCAAATGGCAGAAACTCAAAATTTTGTCCTTTAAAATCAATGGAGCTATCCACAAATCTTTCAGGGAAGAATTCTTCTGGGTTCTTCCAGTAGTTGGGATCTCGTCCGATTGCCCAAACATTTACTTGGATTAGTGTTTTTGGATGAATTCTGTAACCATTGATTTTAAAATTCGAGATAGCTTCTCTTGGAAGTAGCAATGGAGCAGGAGGGTGCAATCTCAAAGTTTCCTTTATTACCATCTTGATATAATAAAGCTCATCAACATCACTTTCCAAGACTCTTTCTTTATTTCTTATAACGTTTCGAACTTCTTCTTGTGCTTTCTTCATCACTCTTGGACTCCTAGCAAGCTCAGCCATAGCCCAGATAAGTGTAACTGCACCAGTGTTTACTCCAGCCAAAAATAAATCCTGATGCAAGAACATCATATGCAAAAGGAAGAAAAAGTTAGCCCCAATTTAAACCAAATTAACTGAAAAAAAAAAAAAAAAGAAAAAAAAGTGAAGGAATAGTATTGAAGATACCATGAGAACTGCTTTGATGTGATCTTTTGTGAGCTGAACTGAACCAACTCCAGTTTTCTCCCTCTCTATTCGCAGGAGCACATCAATAATGTCTTCCTGCCCTTTGTCTGTCCTTCCAAGTTTAAGATGATCATCAATTATCCATTGGAAGAAAGTATCTAGCTGACAGAAAACATTTTCTGTCCTTGCATGATAGCCACTAATCCTGTCGATAATCCAACCAACATATGGAAAGAATTCATTTGCAGAAAAGCTTCCTAACAAGGCCTGTGCATCGTCAATTAGTTTTTTAAATCTATCCTTGTGGAAATCAGTTTCTCCGAAGCTCGTTCCAAAAGCCATCCTAAATGTTATGTTTGCAGTAAGAGTCAAGAACTTCTCAGTTAGATCAACAGGAGTAGCAGAAGAGGATGACTGAGAGATTGAATTTATCAGCAAACCAACTTCTTCTTCTCTAACGAACTGAAACGACTGCACCCTTTTCGTGCTAAAAAGCTCAAGAACACATATTCTCCTAATCTCTCTCCAGTAATCACCATATGGTGAAAAAGCTACATCTAAATAATTGTATGAAAGTCTTGCAGCACCAGCTAATGGAGGTCTACTGCAACAAGAAAGATCATGAATCTTTAATGCCTCTTCTGCTGCTTCAGCTGAGGATATTATAACAGCAGGCACACTACCAAATTGGAGAAGCATAACAGGGCCATATTTCTTCGAAAGTTGCCAGAAAGCTCGGTGGGGCGATCCTCTAAGTTGATGCAGGTTTCCTATAATTGGAAGTTTAGCAGGGCTTGGTGGAAGTTGGTTGTTTTCTCTTTGAACTTTAATCTTTCTAATAATTACAAGTAGTAAAGGCAGTAGAAGAACAAGTACCCAAAAGGGTAAGCCATAGAGAAACATTGTAGCTTCACTTTCTATATGCACAAATTTCCTCAACTAGCCCTTCATCTTCAACTAGCTGCCCTTCTTGAACAGCTAATTACAACTTACAAGAGAGAATATTACTGTTAAATCAACTTTGACCTTTCTAATTATGCATAAGAATTTGGGTTTTATTGAATACAAATACAATGAATTCTAACCTTACATGTCAACTATCAAGATTGATTGTCTAGTGGAATTTAGCTTGAAAAGACAAACAAGAAACGTAAATCTTATCTAGATTTGGAAAGATTAACAAGAAGGGTTTAAAGTAGAAGTTGTGGTGTTGATTGATGCATGTGACTTTGTCAGCTTGTAGAAAGACTTCTGCTTATGTTTGGAAAAATTTGTCTAAAAAATAAATGGAGCGGTCAAAAAATCTTAGGGAAAGGATAAGAAATTAGATTTTGATGCAAAACCATAACAGGCAAGATCTAGCAGAATAAAAAGTGATAAGGAAAGAAGAATATGCAGTTCTTTAATTGCACAAAAGCTAATAACAGAGAGTAGATGGAAAGAGAAAGACATCTCTTTTTTTTTTTTTTTTTTTTTTTTTTAAAAAAAGTGATAAGGAAAGAAGAATATGCAGTTCTTTATTGCAGCAAAAGCTGAATAACCAGAGAGTAGTGGAAAGAGAAAGACCTCTCCTTTTTTTTTTTTTTTTTTTTTTTTTGATTTTTTTTTTCTTTAAAGAAAAAAATTGGGTGGAAAAATGTTTTTCCCTCTCGGTCAAAAAATTTTCTTTGGTTAGGTAGAGCAAAACTTTCCCTTTTGACTCTACCTTTGTGCCGCCATGTAGCTTTTTATATGAATTTAATTTTTTTAAATTATTAAGATGTGATACACCTATTTCATATCATTTACAATGTTAAATTGTTTTATAACAAAAATTGAATTTTACAACAGGGAAACATACTTGGCCATGGTTATATATAATTTTTTTTTATAACCATGAAAGTCTACATATTTTGTGAAATAAGAAATTGAGGGGGCGTAACACAGTTAAGGGGTAGGTCTTTTCTCCCTTTGAGATAACAACGTTTTAATAAAAATTTAAGGAGTTTTTTTTTTTTTTTTTTTTTTTTTCTTAAAAAAAAAAAAATCTGGGTGGAAATGTTTCCCTCTCGGTCAAAAAATTTTCTTTGTTAGGTAGAAAACTTTCTTTTGGACCTCCTTTGTGCGCCATGTAGCTTTTTATATGAATTATAATTTTTTAATTATTAAGATTGTGAATACACTATTCATATCATTACAATGTTAAATTTTTTATACAAAAATTATTTTACAGGGAACAATATTGCCATGGTTATATATATATTTTTTTATACATGAAAGTTAAATAGTTTGAAATAACATTATGGGCTACACAGTAGGGGTAGTCTTCTCCCTTTGAATAACGTTTATAAAATTAGTGATAATTCATTTATGATGAAGAGAATTCGAACTCGAGATCTGTCACTTTCTATATTTTTTATAAGAGGTGGGAATACTAATAAGATATGGTAATTAAGTATGTATATTTTTTATTTTTTATTTTCAAATGAAATATAAATATTAATATTCTGTTCAAAATTATAATTTCAATTTTTTTTAAATGCCCTAGAATAATGGTATAATTGTTATTTTATTTTTTTCCCATATAATCTCCTTTTATGATAATCTAGCTAATTATTAATAGATAATAAAAATTTTAAAATAATTAATTTTAAAATTTTAACATACTAACCAAAAACCATTGATCGAGTTATTTTGGGGCAAAGAAGTAAAAAAAAAAAAAGTGGGAAATCAAAGGATCCATTAGGCTAATCTTTTCGGCCCTTTTATCTTTCTTGAGATAAGGCATAAAAACAAGTATATTCAAGAAATAGCTAACTCAACCGGGGTTGAACACTAGGTATGTCTAACTAACTGTAGTCAATCAAAACGAACGGTGTAGATCAACGATTGCAAAACAAATCGAAAGAACGAGGGTTAGGGCAATTATTCCTATTGCTGAAACGTAATCGATCAAAAATCAATCGATCACAGATCAATCTGCATGAATTATCAGATGGAGATGGACTACGTCACTCAGTTCCCTCATAATCATATGGATCGTCGTCCAAGAAAAAGGCCCAGGTTTGCTTGGGATATCCCTCAAGCTCACACAAAGGTATTATTTTTGTTCTTTGATTGTTGATTTCTTTTTCTTTTTTTTTTAATTTTAATTGGATCAGGTTTGAGTAAATTTCTTGCCCACGCTTGTTTGCTTCCCTAGAAAAAAAAAGTTGTTGGGAATGATTCTGATCTTTGTGAAATTCTTCTTTTGCCTTTAATTTTCAAGGAATAAATTTCTCGTTTTACACTTCAAAGTAAACAGTAGTTTAAATTGCAGGCAATTGTGAAAATTTGGAAGTTTTAGGATGTCATGGAGAAAAAAAAAAAAAAAGAGATCTTTTTTATTAATATTTACTTGGAAAAACTGTATTTAAATCAACTGAGATTTCTCCGGGAGCTTTTTTAATTTTTATATGCCATTTCAGCTGGTTTGTTAAAACCATATAATTGGTATAAATGCCAAAGCGTATGGAGCCTTAGTGTCTTCATCATAGTATCTTAATTGTTGTTTAAGATTTTTATTTTTTTTATCTTGAAGTTTCTTAATGAGTTTGTAGGTTTTTTTATTTTTATTTTTTATTTTTTTATTTTTTTATTTTTTTTTTTTTATCATAAAGGGGTTTGGCCCTAGATAGAGCAAATTAGAAAAATGGATTCATATTACTGTCTCAATGAGTTTGTAACTGAGTCTTTGTTTGGTTGAGCATACATGACGTAGATATTTGATCATATAATTTCATGGACTTAGAAATCTAATTCGATTAAGGTTTTCTGATTTGTTTTCTTATCGGTACAGCAATTCTAATTTGGTTAGTCTGATATTGTTTAAAACTATGGGGTTATTTGGTCTAGTAGTGTATAAGAGAATAGCTTGGAAGTTAACTATTAAGGAACGGGTGAGTTTTTAATTGCTTTTTGTGTTGCAAAGAATGAACAAATGGCTGTGTGTAGGCTCAATCAGGATTGTATTATGGCCACGAGGTTGGAAATGGAACAAGCATTGGAACATCAAGAGTACTTCCAGACAATGCCAGTCTATTTGTAAAGGGATTGACTCAAAAAGGCTCCCCCCCATGGCGAGATGATGACAAAGATGGACATTACATGTTTGCTCTCGGGGAGAATTTAACCTCTCGCTGTAATTACACTTAATCACCATTGAATGGCTTTTACATTAGGGTCAATCACTGAAAATTCCAAAATTTTGGTTAAATTTGTAATTATGGATTTTAATTTTGTCAATTACATACACAACCTTTCACATTTGGCGTCCATTGTAGCCAAGCTTGGCATAACTCACCAACACTTTAAGATTGTTGGAACATGGTCTTTCAAATTTGGCTACAATCGACAATAATATAAATATTGTGTATATAATTGACAAAATAAACAAACAAAAAAAATGGCCATAGTTGCAATTTTAATTAAAAGTTTGGATTTTTTATAGTTATCAATCCTTTGCATTAATAATATGGCATGCTGTGTTGTATGTGAAGCTCCATGTACCCAATTGCCTGTTGCTACACAAATAACATTCTGGTTTCCATTTTGTTTACTTTTTCCATCTTTTCCTTGGGACTCCAGGACTTATTGAAATCTAGGATTGAGTGTTTTTTAAGACTGTATTTTGTAATTCTGGCATTCATGTATTTAATATGAATTTATATATGTTGAAGTGTTGAACTTTGTCCTGTTCTGAAAAACTGCGCCCAGCTTCCAATACAACTAAATACTGCCTAGCTTGTAGTTTCCATGAAAGCGTAAAAAAAACTTTCCTTTCTTCCAAATACTGCCTCTTTTCCGGACTATCCCATGTTTCACGCACTCTGTCCTTCAGTCTAACGAAATTTAAAAGCATTGAAGCTTTTTAGTTTTGATTCTTGGTTCATTATATGCTCTGATTTTTGTTTTGGGAGTTGTCCTCATACTCTTTTGTTTGATACCTGCAGACAAGATCCAGAGAAAAATTGGTGAAGGTTAGTATCCTTTCAAAGAATGCAATCTATTAGATTCCTTCTAACTGATGCCTTTCCTTCTCATCTTCTTTCTGCTTAAGGACAAGTTTATTCTTTATTGGTATATGATCACTCATAGCATGCATTTATAAATCTACAGGAACTTTCGGTCAGGTTTTGGAATGCTGGGATAGGGAAGCAAGGGAGGTGGTTGCCATAAAGGTTGTTCGAAGCACAAAGAAATACCGCGAAGCAGCAATGTTGGAAATTGACATGCTCCACTTGCTTGGAAAGTATGACAGAAATGGCAGTCGGTGAGTGTAATTGCAATAATCTTGATTGCTCCTTAGTAGAATTTGAGGTAAAATGTGTTGGTTGTTAAGTGGCTTTATTCTTTGCAGTTGTGTCCAAATACGAAACTGGTTTGATTATCGTAACCATATCTGTATTGTAAGTATATAATTTATTTATGATAATATCTTTCCCCATCTTCATAAATATTCTGGGGATTAAGACTTGGTGGTGGATTTAAATGGTTTAACAGGTATTTGAGATGCTTGGACCAAGCTTGTATGATTTTCTTCGGAAAAATAATTATCGCCCATTTCCGGTTGATCTTGTCCGTGAGCTTGGCAGACAACTCTTGGAATGTGTAGCATGTGTGTGGCCATTACTTCTGCTATTTCCCTTGCCCTGATTGCAAACTGTATTCTTTTAATTGCATGGATCACATTGTTATACTGCTCAATGAAATTTTATTTCTTCTGTTGTTGTCTAATATAAGTTCCTCATTTCTTTATTTTTTAATGGAAGCATTCGTTTGTGTAGTAAGGTAATGTCAAATATTGAGGTTGGATGAAATTAATAGAACATTGATTCAAAACATTTTTGTTTGCAGTCATGCATGATTTGCGCCTAATCCATACAGACTTGAAACCAGAGAACATACTTTTCGTGTCTCCGGAATATGTAAAAATACCAGACTACAAGGTGCACACTTTACTGTGGATATTGTTTCAATTTGTACTTTCGGCAATGGAACCTTTCCAATTTTCCAAATTTCTGTTTGTCCCTATGTAAATTTATTTTTACTTCTTAATTCTAAATTAAAGTGTCTTGAATTTTAATGCGGTCTGCACTTTCCTTTGCAGGTTCCATCAATCTCACCCACCGAGGGAACCTATTTTAAGAGGTTACCAAAGTCTAGTGCTATTAAGGTTATTGATTTTGGTAGCACAGCTTATGGGCACCATGAACACAACTATATTGTCTCAACCAGGCACTACCGTGCACCTGAGGTTATTCTAGGTATGCTATTGTTTAGTCCTCTGCATATGTCTTTCTTGTCATTATGTTTGTTGAAATTGTTGAGTGAACTTGTTGAATTTATCAGGGTTTGGATGGAGTTATCCATGTGACATATGGAGTGTTGGTTGTATCTTGGTGGAACTTTGCTCGGTAAATTCAGTCTCTTAGAAATTTGGAACGACTGTTCTAGTACCCAAGAAAACAAATAAATAAAATATACATGTATAATTGTTTGCAGGGAGAAGCATTATTTCAGACGCATGAGAATTTAGAGCATTTGGCCATGATGGAGAGGGTTTTAGGACCATTGCCTCAGAACATGTTGAAAAGAGCAGAGTATGTGCTCTTTTGAGACTTACTGATAACATGTAGCCTCTAAGTTTTACAATGAAAACTTAGTGACATGAAATTTACTGACTCTTGGTTATGATTGATTCAGTCGACATGCAGAGAAGTATGTGAGAAGGGGTAGGTTGGACTGGCCAGATGGTGCAACCTCTCGGGAAAGCATCAAAGCTGTTATGAAGCTACCTCGTCTTCAGGTGCATATTCACTACTTCATTTGCCTCAGATATATTACTCCTTACAAAATTTATCAGACATGATAAGCCATCTTTTTCGTTTCATCATTTTTATGCTTACATATGTTTCTCTTGGCAGAATCTCGTAATGCAGCACGTTGATCACTCCGCTGGTGATATCATTGATCTCTTGCAAGGTCTTCTTAGATATGATCCCTCCAGCAGACTGACAGCTCATGAAGCCCTTAGGCACCCCTTCTTTACAAGGGATCATTACAGGAGATTTTAAAGGGAGGGGTTTGATGTTTGCTTATTGTGGGACATTTATTTGGTCATTTGATAACGCGTTAAAACTGGCTGGCCCGGATTCTGGTTCTTTTTTTTTTTTTTTTTTTTTTTAGATTTTAAAGGGAGGGGTTTTGATGTTGCTTATTGTGGGACATTTATTTGGTCATTTTGATAACGCCGTTAAACTGCCTGGCCGGATTCTGGTTCTTTTTTTTTTTTTTTTTTTTTTTGCCATCATTGATGTATTTCCTGTCATCGTGAAGAGTGGTAGAGGGCTGCCCAGCATTTGAGGCATTTTTTTGTTGTATTTTTTTTTTTTTTTTTTTTTTTGCCATCATTGATGTATTTCTTGTCATCGTGAAGAGTGGAGAGGGCATGCCAGCATTTTGAGGCATTTTTTGTAATTTTCATCATATTGATCATTTGTAAATAAATAACCAATTGTGAGAATTATTCTCTTCTACTTTTTTTTTATGTTACATGATTATTTTTTTAGCCAAAAGAAAACAAAATGGTGCAGTTACTGGTTATGAATCAACAAGAATACATGTATGATTTCAATTTCTGGCATCTGCTGCAGAAATTTGCAGACAATTTCAATACACGATACAAATCTTATACAGGTAGGAAGGTAACTGAGATGGGTTTTACATATTGAAAGCATTGTAATTAGCAGACTCAAAAAGAAATTGAAAGAGGAAGAATAATTCTCGACACTGTTCAAAATCAACCCTCATATGGCGATAAATATCTCTTCAACGTTTTGTTGTGCATCTGGTTGCTCTCAACACCCCACTGGGAGGAGCAGTCACCATGATCTTGCAATGGCCGTACAATCGATATGAGTATCTAAAGATCCCCAGATTAGATCTCACCTTAAATGACCCTTTAACATCAAATATGACTCCATTTTTACTAATCTGGTTTTGAAGCTGTACGCTGTCACCCAAAGGAAGTCGAACCTGACTAGAGATCATATGAATGTTTGCAAACCTGGACTCAGTTTTTGGTGTCGAGAAAGACTCAATATATTGAGTAGCAATAAGGGTATTCCCATAATATAAGTCAATGATCATATGATTAAAGTCCACGCTCACTTTCTTGTTTGGGTTGGTGAAGTTTGCCAGTAAGGAAATGTCAGCATTTAGCAGAGCATCTGCATCAATATATGCTGCGTTCAAGGTGACACTAGACACCTCGAACCGTGGATTGCGCGGGCGATAGACAAGATAAACAATAAGCACGATGAGTCCTCCTAAAAATATTACAATCCAGAAAATGGCACATAAAGCTGCACCTAACCATGTTATTGGCCTTGTTTTCTGGGGTGCTGGTGCTCGCAGACCAAGTGGGCGATGGCGAGAGCGGTGGTCATGTTGCTGCCTTAGTGGGATCCTAGAATCATCCTCATCCTTTTCCTTTGGTTGTCGACCTCGACTCTGGTGGTCATGATCATGCTTCTGCGGTGGACCTGGTGGCAGCATCCATGGACTACGGTATTCACCGTCATGGGGTGGATTATGACCACCATGGTCTTCTTGATGTTGGGGTAACATCCATGGACTACGGAATTTGCCATCACCCTCCGGATGTTCTGTAACTCGTGGACCATATGGCTTGGAACGTTGGCCTTGATGTTTAGGAAACTGCTCTACATTCTTTTGTTTTTGTCGACTCAGCTGAGGACCCCGGAGGTCATCTGGGGACGGGGATGGACCTTCATCTGGATGGGGATACTGTTCTTGAGGTTTCTTCCATGGAGCTCGAAATGGGCCATCACCTTCCAGTTCTGCAACCTGTGGACCATGTTGGCGTTGGTGCTTTTTAGGATGTGGAGCTGAAGGCTGGTTCTTTTGTTGTTCTTGCGGTGGTGGTGGTGTTCGGGGATATTGGCCTTCACGCTGCTGTAGTGGTCTGATGAAGTGAGGATTGGTTTCTCGGTGGTGAGACATTGTTTAGTAACAAAGATTGTCAGAAATCAAGAATAAGAGAAGGGAATATGAAGAGAGTCCAATTGGGGGAAAAAGGGATGACTTCATGACAACTTCAAGCAGGATTCTTGTTTAGGCAAAGAATCAAACATTTGCTAATTAACGGAGGCAAGTAATCTTTTTTTTTTTTTTTTTTCTCCCCCTTTAAGTTGTGTGTCAAGATAAGCTAAGCTCTGTGTTAAATAGTAGGTGGAATAGGATCTACATGCTCATCTGATTCCAATGTATGTAGATTAGGGCATGAATCCTCCTCCATTAATGTTGAACTGCTCATACCCTGTAACTATTCTAGTAGTAACTCAACTGAGGATTGTTAGACACGCAATCTTAGATTAAAGTGTCTCGTGAAAGAGAATCTGAGGGAAAAACTGAAAAAGAAGAGGGGAAGATCGCAACCAGAAGAAGAAATAGAGAAGAGAAGCATCAAAAACAGGGGAGAAAAAGTCAGATATTATTCATCAAAAATCACTGTTTACAACTCATTTACATGCTATCATTGCATGTTAGCCAGTAGTCACATAAGCTCGGATTGCCATATTAGCTGAACAGACTTAACAAACAGTTACACAATTACAGTTAAATCAAAAAGTTTACCTAGCAATTACAATCAATTCTGTCAAATTTACTTTTGGGTCCTAACAGCACCAATAGTTCAGCTTAGCTTCACAAGCAATGTACTCTCAATTCCTCGATATCATTTCAGGGTCAGGTGGTCCCAATTGTAAAATCAGTTGCAATGCAGTCAACGTCGTGGTTTATTTAGTTATTGACATTTCCTAACAGGGAAGGCAGAAACTAATGGAATTTTAGAAACCTCAGCCCCATTCCTTTTAGTTGGCTTCTGCAAGATAGGCAAACATGTTAACCAAAGAATAGGCATCAGCCATCCCATAAATCTTCATTCAGTTGTATTTTAATTTAAATAATCTGAATAAATAATAGAAATCATTACCAGTTGTAGAAGATGAAGAGAGACTGAGTCTCAACTCTGGACACTTGGGATTGAGAAGTCACATCCCTGCATCTAGATTCCAAAGTTGAAATTGCCACTTGCCTGCGTTCTCTTCAAAGGACATAAAAAAAAGCATATCCTGGATATCTGAATCTTGTTGAGAGAGAGAGAGAGAGATCGTAAGCACAGCACTTCATAATAAATGATGAAACAGCAACCTAAAAGGTCCAAAAGATGGAATGCCCATGCTTTGACACTTCACACAACCAGCAAATGATAGAAGTCATGCAATAAATTAACAACTTACTATAACATATTGGTTTGTTATCGTCCTATATTACTCAAAATTGCAAAACTTGGTAAAGGAAGGTATAGAACCAAGCTGAAAAGACAAACAAATAACAAGATGAATAGGTGTTTGTAACATAACAACAAACAAAAGTTTGATTAAGAGGGATGAATCTTACGGTTGGGGTACAATGTTGTGAATTCTCAAGCCTAAAAGAACTGAACTCCATCATGTCCTGCATAGAAACACAAGATACACAGTATTTTTCACCTCCTTAATAACACCTCAACTATATATCTAAGAAGTGAGATCACACTTTGGAACAATATTATAGTGCATCGCATTTCATTTCTCATATTTAAATAGCAGTTTTATATGCATTTTTATTCTCAAATTTAAGCAGCACATATTTGAGCTTAAAATAATCAAATTTAAGTGAAACAAAAGGCTCAAACCTCTATGCCCCTTTATTGTAATTCACCAACAAGGCAATAACTTGACTAAGTGTATCCCAATCAAGGTCGCATCGACTTTTGACCTGAAAATGGAGAATATTTTATCATCAATAAAAGATGCATGAAAACTCTGTGCCAGACATTTCGCTTCTAAACTAAGAAAAAGTGCAGAAAATACTCAAAGGTATATTATAGCAAACTCCAAATTGACATCCAGCTGTTCATTGGCAATTTCATGCGTCGAAACAATGTATTGTACGCAAGAGCGCAACATACCTGCTTAAGAGCAGGCACAACATTTCAATTTCAGTCATTGGCACATTCAACGGTAACCAAATTCAAGTAAAACATAATACCGCTGCTTCTGAAACAATAATTTGAGTGAACTCTACCTCTTGCTAATAGATAAATCAGAAATACTTCTGCAATGTGGTAATTGCATGTTTAATGGGAATTCTTGCATATTGAATAATACAATTAGCAATTGTGTAAATAGTCAAAGAAAATACGGCCTTGTAACATAAGTCATTCAACTAAACTTTATTTTTGCTTTTTCCAAATCCCATAAGTATGCTGGAGCAGTTAAATCTGACAAATAGTAGCACAATAGCATTCCATGATAAGATGCTATTAACAAACATACTATACAGTCTCTCAAGTATTATCTTTCCACTACAACTTTTTTAGCTACTGCAGAAAGTTAGCCTCAACAGGGAGACACAGGGGAAGGAACATACAAACCATTTCTCAGGTAGATGCAGCATCTCGTGAATTGGCACTGATTAATATCTCAGAATTAGCTCTGTCAAGAGTAAAGCCCTTCTCCATCATCTGACCCCACACCCTACTAGCAACTGAAAGCTTCTTTTCCACTATAAGCCCTCTAATGATCAAATTATATGTTACTTCATCAGGATAGGGTCCTCTACTTTGCATTTCTTCGTACAATTGCATAGCTTCACTTACTCTAAAGGATTTGCAAAACCCATTTATGAGGGCATTACATGAAATTACATCAGGGGGAATTCCCTGTTCTACCATATCACAAAAAATTGTATGAGCAAGTCCTATTTTCCCACTCTTGCATAAGTGACCAATAATAGTTGTATAAAATATACGATCAGGAGAAATGCCCATTTTTGTCATCTGATCAAGAAGCTTCTTTGCTATATCAGAACTACCTTCTCTAAGAAAAGCTTCTACAAGTATAGTGAATGTCACCACATCTGGGAGAATCCCATTGCGTCCCATTTCCTCAAATATCTTGTAAGCTCTTCTTGTATCACTTCTCTTGCAAAATGCTTTGATAATGGTATCATATGAAACAACGTCACACAACCCTTTTGGCCCCATCTTTTTCATCATCAAAAAATAAGCTTTATCTGGGAGATTAGCTTTACAAAGTCCCTTGAGTAGCTGATTATAACTGTACACATCAGGTTCTATCCCAGTTCTCTCCATTTTCTTAATCAACTTCTTTGCCTCATCCAGCATTTGCTCTTCACAACAATAATTCAATAGTATATTGTATGTAACCAAATCCGGCTCAGATCCATTTTTCCTCATAAAAGATTCAATAGCCTGTGCCTTATCAATCCTACCTGCTCTACAAAACCCACTAATCAACGCATTATAAATAAGTGTACTCAACTTAACTTGAGAGCTCTTCATTACATCAATTATAAGCTCATAAGCCAAATCTACCTTCCCTCCATTACACAACCCAACAACCAGTGCTCCACAGGCCTTATTATCCGGTCTAAATCTCTTATTTATCATATCATGCCAAAAATGAATTGCAGTATCAAATTTATTCATTTTACACAACCCATCAATAATAATAGTGTATGTTACAACATCAGGCATTCTCCCTCTCTCAACCATTTTCTCAAACACATTTAAAGCTAATTCTATCCTGCCCTCAAGAAATAAAAGATTCAAATAAATATTAAGAGCCCAAATATCAGGAACACAGCTAAGTCTCTCCATGTCATTTAGCAATTCATCAATGAGTTTAAAATTCTTTACTTGGCATAGAGCAGAAATGAAGCGAGAGTAAGTAAAGGGAGATAGCGAGAACCCAAGAGGACCCATTTTAGAGTAGTAGTGGTGAGCTAAATCGAAACGAGAATGATGGATTAAAATGCCAATGAATCTGTTGTAGTCGATGCTAAAAACACGACAATTTGATTGAGTCATTTCGTCGAACACTTGGATTGCTTTGTCGATTAGACCGAGTTTAACGTACCCAGCAATGCGTGAACGGTATATGAGGCGGTGGGCGCCCAAAGAATGATACATGTCAGGGCGATATGCATAGCAATGTATTGAATGGTGACCTCATGGAGGGCAATCAATGGAGGAGCAGGCACATAATCATGAAGTGGAACGGATGAAGAAAAGAGATTAATCCCGCACTGTAATGGAACTGATGGGAAAAAAGATTAATCCCAAACTGTAATGAGATTGATGGAGAAAAGAGAGGCCGAGCCAACAGTAGAGAAAGACGCAGAAAGAAGCAAGTGAACACCTGGCTTCGGCGATGGAGAAAGAGCGGTGAGAGAGAAGCTCGGCTGTGAGAGTAATGGACAAACGTAGCCAATGGAAGTTGGAGCCGGGGAGCCCAAAATAAAATCCAATGACATGCACGTATGCTTGGATTTGAGCTTCCTAATGAGCTACTAGTTGGGCTTCTATCACTCAAATATTGCTTTATTGGGCTAAAATGAGTAGACTGTAGAATTTTCTACAAGCTTCGAGTTATCAGTAGATAAACCATAGATTAGAGTACCATCGCAAAAAAAAAAAAATCTAAGAATTAAAAAACTATCTCACTGTATAAATTGGTCTCGGTGGAAAAGATTCAGATTACTTAATTACGATATTAAATGTTTCGTTTTGTTTACGGAAAGAAAATCCTTGCTTAGGAGTGCCCTTTCCCATGTGAATACTATAGCATTTTAACTTTTTTTTTTTTTTATATATATATAAAGGATAAAATATCCCACTTAGTTAGAAGTTCAAGCTTTGACATCTTTAATTTTTATTTTCATTTATAAAATATTTTTAAGTTATAAAATAAAAGTAAAGATATTAAATATTTTAATTTATAAAATTGAATTCTAATTTATAAAATTAAATTGATTAAATGCTAATTAAATTATTAAAAAACTTGAAAAACTATTGTTCATAACTTATATAACCACGCATCAAGATTCTACTCAGCAACGACTTTAATAGTGCTTTGACTAACTCTATTATTTATAGTATTTGAAGAGATAATATTTATACTAGTGTTTATAGTCTGCGATAGCATATTATGAATTGTTACTCGCTTAAATATTTTATAAAACACGTAATAAACAGCTACACGAAATAAAACAGTTAATTTTATAGAATAAGGTCCAAATCAATATTTTTCATAAAAAAAAATATATATATGACCACCACAAAAACACTTTAAGCCTGCTAATCGCAATATCTTTTGTTTTTTCTTTGGAATTTTACCATAATCAAGGGTTTTTTTTTTTTTTTTTTTAAAAAAAAATATATATATGACACCACAAAAACACTTTAAGCCTGCTAATCGCAATATCTTTTGTTTTTTCTTTGGAATTTTACCATAATCAGGGTTTTTTTTCAAGGGTTTTTTTTTTTTTTTTTTACTCGCAAATTTCCAAACGAACAACACGAGTCTTAACTATAAAACATGAGCAATTAGCACTCATTTTTTTCAAGAAAGGATGGTACATAAACTATATATCCGTTAGCTAACCCGTTCTTGGCTCCATCTGCAAGTTGTGTCTCCAAGTAACAACAACTGAAAGTACAATACCCTACTTGCTACTTCATCGTATCTTTTGTGTGCAAAATCATCCAATCATCAAATTTTGCAGATGCTATCATTTTTGGATTGAAGATTGCTTCTTTTACAAGTATCTGGTCCAACTAGTCGACACAATTCTATCTTCCAAATATAATGACAAAACATTATGGAGTATGATTTGCGTCTTTTTCTTTTAAGTTTAATTTCGTTGACCATCCTATAAATCAGAATGGTTTGATTCATCAGTTTAGATTTATAAATGAATATTTATTTTTCTTTTTTTTATTAGTTATTTACTTCGAAAAAGATTATTTGCTTTTGATCAGTTTGGGAAATAAATTTAATTTGATAAATAAAAATTATTCTTAAAATACAGACGAGTCATCTCGGGTCAAACATTGAAAAATATGTATGTGACCAAATTAATCAAAAATAGCTTTTTTTCATTCAAAATAATCAAAATACGTAATTAATGCCTACTAATTTAAGATGAGATTAGAGAGATAATTAATTTAAAGAATTGAACGTAGGAAGAAAGTTTTGAAGGCCCACACAACGTGATACACAAAAGAAGTTCCTAATCCATTTTTGTCTCATGTAATGACGCATTCATGTTCTTCTCAATCACTTTTTTAGAGAAGGTTTTCAAAGCTTAATCGTATTTGTTTTCTACCTTCTTCGCCTATCTTTTCTGACCTTTCTGTATTTTTTTTTTCTTTGGAAATTTCTTATTATGCAACTTGTAACTAACCTTACTCTATTTCTTTTCTTTTTCTTTCCATTTTTTTTTTTTATTCTTAAAGAACCCTCATCATGTCCACATATGAAAAGGGGAGAGTACTCTACAAAAAATGAAATTATATATTTGAGCATAAATTTGTACAATTTAGACTTTGACTCACCAAATTTCTTTTTTTTTTTTTTCATTATTTCAATCTCACTTTTATATATTTATCAATGAACTAAGTAGGTTGCATGTTCTCATCATTTTAAAATATATAAATTGATATATTGTTTACGGTGGCGGAGTCAGATAAAAATTTCTAAATGTCATATAAAATTTTTAAAAAATTAAGAAACGCTAAATTAAAGAAAAAAAATATATAATCTTTTACAACGTAATTGTTTTTTAAAAACTTCGGAGACCCAAAACCAGGGATGTTGTTTAAACTAAAATATTTCGTTAAAAATGTTAATTAGAAGTACTCAAATGTAGTCTTAAAAGTAATATTTGATGTATTTGTAATTATTAAAATTTTGAAAATAGTTAAATAATATTTTCATGTAATATATAAAATTATATTTCTTGAAAAATAATCTTCATTTGAACACTAAACATGCTCCACGTAAAACCTTTCATTGGTAATATTTTCCTTTTCAATTCGAGATATAGTAATAGAACATGGATTTGGACTTTGAAAACATACAAACCCACCCGACTCGGGCTAAAGAAAATTTAATTAAGGCTTAGACATTGATCTTTCTTCTTTAAAATAGGATCTAAAAATAAAATAAGACTTCTCTCTTAAGAAGATCAACCCCATACACATGATTGATCAAGCTAAAAATAGATGAAATTTTAAGAAGTTTGACCTAATTTAGCCCAATCTGATCCGATTAGAGATAAACACACTTCGATTAAAATAAAAATGATTGTAATTTAGGTTTTCAGTTTAGTTATTTAGGTTTATAAAATTATGTAACTCCAATTTTTGATTCCCAATCCAGTTATAAAAAAAAAAAAAAAAAAAAAAAAAAAAATCTAAATTTTCTTACCAAAACATAACCGAACTAACCAATTGTGACCCGACTATTAAACCTGTCATGACCCAAACCCACTTGTGCTTAGCTAGAGAAATATGAACCACCCACTTTGGTTGTGTAATGTGATATCTTATCTATTTGTACTTTTCCATAACAAGTTGTGTTTTGAAGTTAAAATTAACAGTCTCTTCTTCAAGTGGATACTAATGGTTGATAGAGTAAAGCTAAGCTTGGGTCAAATTTCAACCATTAGATAGGAAATTTAAAGTTTAAACTTTGAACCCTTGATTACACATACATGTAATATAGTGAAGTCAAAGGATAGACAGCAACCTTGTTGACCAAATTGGGGCAATTTGTTTTGTTCCTTCAACGTTTGGTGGTTGTGATTTACTTATTATTTAAAAATGGATTAGCCAATCGCATTTAACGCAATTTTTATTACAAATATTTTAAAATTATGACATCTTTTCAAAATATATAAATAAGGATTTTGAATTTGAATTATTCTGCATTTATTATAATAATTATTACTAATTTATAAAATTAAAATGAAAAATATAATAGTACACCAATTGCTGTGATTGTTAGTTGAAAATCATTAAAATTATTTATTTTGTCAAAGTTTTACATTATAACAGTACACCAATCATTGTGATTGTTAGTTAGAGATTGTTTAAATTACTATTTTTTTTTTTTTTTTAGAGATTGTTTACATTACTATTTTTTTTTTGTTTTGTCAAAGTTTTACATATAATAGTAAATGCAGTTATGAAATAGAAATAATACTAATTAATATAAAATCCATAAATTTATATTTTAAAAATTTAAAAAATTAAAAAATTATTTTTTACAATATGAAAATCGTGCATTACTTACCAAATTTTATAATATAATGAGTTACTTTTTTTTTTTTTTTTTGTCAAAGTTTTACATGATAATAGTATGCAGTTATGAAATAGAAATAATACTAATTATATATTAAATCAATAATTTTATATTTAAAAATTAAAAAATTAAAAAAATTATTTTTACAATATGAAAATCGTGCATTATTACCAAAATTTTATAAATATAATGAGTTGTCCACAGTGTTATGAAATTTTTGGAAGAAATTAGGAAGTGAATTTATGTATTAAGAATAAAATTATGATTTATGGATTAAATAAAAAGAAACAATTACCGTGGGAGATGCACGTGGCAGCTGCAAGTCCACTTAGATTATACACAGTGAGTCGATCTGTCCTGGTTGTCTGCCAGCTTAGCACTGAGCTTCATTTTTGACTTCAAAACTGGACATCTTCCAGAAATTTATAGCACAAGGCACACGTGTGGTTGTTATTTATACATTATTATTTTACAAACTTGAAAAGTGTTAAACACTACAGTTTGCCAATATCGTACTATCTTTTTGTCTTATATGCCTTTTTTTTTTTAATAATGGGCAATTACAATCACGACAGCTGCATCCATGCTACTGTTACTTTAAGGTACCACCCCACAATATTAATCCATTACATCCAATTTATTGTTTCAAAGTACTTATAATATCAATTTATTCATGGTATTAAATTAAATATTTAAATCCTAGCACAACATCCTATATATATCAAAGAGGGCAGGCAACTCGACAGTCGACACAGCCCAGTAATCGTAGCAAATTCTCACGGGTCCGTATTTATAACTAAATAAATTAATTAATTTCCAAAAACAACCTCGTTCTCGACGATTTAAATGACATCACAAGACTTGACATGCATGCTTAAAATGGGCATCGCATGATGACGTGTCATCTTTGACCTGTTCTCACTTTCCTTCTTCACTCTGATTTGAATGGTTTACCAATATCAACTCTGTCCCATTTTCTGTATTCGTGCGATAAGAGTTTCAAAATGGCTGCTTTACATACCGATTAACCAAACCAAACGGCTATTCTACTTTGATTCATACTGTTAGACTTCAGCAATTAAGCAAGTCTCTTTTCAACAATCTCAGCTTTATTTTATTTAAATTAGTAGTTTTTTTTTTGCCAAAAAAAAAAAACAAGTTTCTTTTTCTGCACTTTCCTTCATTTTCTTTTTGTCTTGTTTGGCCTTTTACTGGGTCTAGATTTCTCATTTGTTTTTCATTTTTCCACTTTCTTCTTCTTCTTGTTCGCTTGAGTTGATAGAGAGAGAAATATTTTGTCTCGAGAGACAAAGAGAGAGTCAAGAGTTTTAGGTGAAGAAAAAGAGCAGAGAGAGAGAGAGAGAGAGAGAGAGAGAGGGAGACTGAGATTCCACAATCAGTTATTTATTGTCAGGTAACCAACTTGCCTTTTTCAATGGCCTTTCCAAGAAGAATCCTTTAATGGGTATCCATTTATTTGTGGAATTTCATTGAAATTATTTCGAGATGTTAGGCCAAAAAGATAGTGACCGCCTTGCCGGTGGCATTCCCCGGAAATCCTATTTACGGTCAGTTTCGTGGTCTGACCGGTCTCCCACTAAGCCTAACCCCAGGCCCCAGACCAATAGCAAGGCTAGGTCTTGTTTGCCACCCCTTCAGCCCCTTTCCATCACCCGTCGCTCTGTTGAGGAGTGGCCCAAGGCAGGTTCTGATGATCTTGGGGTATGGCCTAATCCCCAAACTCCTAGAGGGCCTGTTATTAAACCCCCTGAGAATTCTAATTTAGAGCAACCTGTGAGGGAATTTCAGTTTAAGAAGGACAAGCTTGCATTTTTTGATAAGGAGTGTTCAAGGATTGCTGATCATATTTATTTAGGAAGTGAGGCTGTGGCTAAGAATCGTGAAATTTTGCGCCAAAATGGGATTACCCATGTGTTGAATTGTGTTGGGTTTGTTTGTCCTGAGTATTTCAAGAGTGATCTTGTTTACAAGACGCTTTGGTTGCAAGATAGCCCATCAGAGGATATCACCAGCATTCTATATGATGTCTTTGATTACTTCGAAGATGTCAGAGAACAAGGTGGAAGGGTGCTTGTTCATTGTTGTCAAGGTGTTTCAAGGTCCACTTCTTTGGTCATTGCCTACCTTATGTGGAGGGAAGGCCAAAGCTTTGAAGATGCCTTTCAATATGTCAAGGCAGCTAGAGGAGTGACAAACCCTAATATGGGTTTTGCTTGTCAACTTCTGCAGTGCCAGAAGCGGGTACATGCTGTTCCAGCTAGCCCCAATTCTGTGCTCAGGATATATAGAATAGCCCCACACTCATCATATGATCCTCTGCATCTTGTGCCAAAATTGTTGAGCCAGCCAGATGTAAGAGGACTTGACTCGCGCGGTGCATTTATTGTTCATGTTCCTAATGCTATATTTGTTTGGACTGGTAAGAATTGCAACTCAGTTATGTCAAACCAAGCAAAACTAGCTGCTAATCAGGTCATTCGGTATGAAAGGGCTCGGGGTCCAATTGTGATCATCAAAGAAGGGGAAGAACCCTCAGAATTTTGGGATGCTCTTGCCAACGGACAAAACGAACCAAATGTTTCCCAAAAAGTAGAAGCTCAGCCTTTTGGGAACAACGGCATGGTTATGGCTAGGAAGGTTGATGACTATGATTTAGATTTTGAACTTTTCCATAAGGCACTTGCTGGTGGGGTTGTTCCACCATTTTCAGTGTCAAATGCTGGATCAGAAACTTGCCTTCCTGCTCGGGAAAATGGATGGGGCAAACTAAGGCAAAAGTTTGCTAATGGTATAATCAAAGAATTTCTCACATATTCTAAACTGAAACACGACCATGTTCCTTCCACTGGCGGATCAGATATGATTGTAGATACTTATGGAGAAGGTGAACAGACTGTTTCCTTGGTCGATCATCCATTACCACCATCACCATCAGCCTCTCAATGTGGTTCTCCAGATTCCTTTGATTGTTTACCTAATAGAAGCCTGGATAAGATAGTGGATTCTAGTGAAACAGAACCCTCTGTTCCTCTCACTGATCCTTTAATCCCACCATCCACTCCAAGTGGTTCTCCAGATTCTTTTTCATGTTTTCTTGAGAGCAGCCCAAAGTTCAGTTACAAGTCCCCTACGCTGTCGCCTTCAACATCTGACTACTCATCTAGTTCATTTGCCTTTTCACCCTCGTCGTCTAATTGGTCTGACTTATCATACTTGTCTTCTCGGCAGCCTTCACCTTCTGGCTTGGAAGCCACAGATCAATTTTATGGCAAGAATGCTCCCTTGGCAGATAATTTTTGTTTATCTTGCAAAGAAATTTCTTCCTCACCTGCAAAGGTTTTTTCTGATAATCGTGCCTTAAGATCAGAAAATACTTGTTTGCCACCCAAAGGGCCTTCGCCTTCTATTGCAGAGCGCAGAGGGAGTAATCCTCCTCCTCTGATGCTGTTACCCACCATTGATGAACCACGTCAAGTCCCTAAAGTTCTGGCAAGATCCTGGTCTTTTTCTCTGCCAGACCTGGATAATGACATGATGAAGGATATTCACAATGAGTTTTTAGAACTTGGAAATAGTAGAGAAGAACTAATGTTGGATGCTAATATCAGTAGTGCTGGCAATAGTTCACTACATGAGTTTGAAAAGAGAAAAGAATGCAATAGTTCTCATCTTCCCTTGTGCGACAAGATAGGGGAAGCTGCAGAAATTACCACTCCGGTTTTATACCAGTGGCCTAACATGAACAAAGTGAATATGCACTGCTTTCACATTCTTGATTCTGTATCAGTGTATATTTTGTTGGCACCAGATTTAAGTTTGTCCTCTAATAATGGAATCCTATATGTGTGGTTGGGGCAAGAATTTTTATGTGAAGAAAGGCAAAATGAATTGACAAGCAGCACTGTCGCTTGCCAGAGTAATCATCTAGACTGGGTGGAGATTGGTCGCAACTTCCTCAAGCAAATAAATTTCCCTGCAAGTACCCCTGTGCATGTAAGTAATGCACCTCTATGATATCCTTTTTTGTGTTTATCTTCGTGGCATTGAAATTTGGCTTAGTTTTAAGGGATTGTTAAATTACAATGAACAATAGTGAGTTTGCTAGTGTTTTGTTATTAGGGAAATACATCTGTATTATAAATGATTGGAAAACATCCTGCAAGGGAAGAAAACTCGAGACGAAAAAGTTTCTGAATCTCTGCATTTAACTGGAACAATATTCTAGCATGACGTTAAGCTAGACAAATTAAGGAACTTCAAGTTTAATGACCAGTCCTAAACCCCCACACAACCTTTTCTTTTCTGTTTCTTCTATTTAACAACCTTGATATGCTTGAATATCTGTATTTGTTATTATATCAGCTTAATGACAGGTTATATGAATGAATGTAGGAAAATCAGAGTTATATCCTTAGTGATATCTTTTTGTCTTTGAACTATCGGGGTGCACTTAGATTGTTGATTGTCATACACACTTTTTTTCTTTTTCGTGTCCCATTGATGTGTACAGAGAGAGGGAGGAAGGGGGTTTTAGGAAAAAGAAGTTTCCGGTAGCCAAGATGATTGGATCAGAACTTGTATGTTCGGAAGTGCTAATGTTTTTGCATTGGTGATATTAAAGGAGTTGTTTCCATTCATCATTTGTTCAGTAACATCATAATGCAGTAATGTTGAATAGCTTAAACTTGTGAACTTTCTCCTAGACCTACCTGATAAAAGATAGTTCATATCTATGGGAAAATATGATTAATCAATTTACATTATTATTTGAGGGGTTGAAAAGGAAAACAATCGAGTTTACCATCTGGACATCAGAATGGTATATACTGGTATCAGTTCTGCTGAAACCAATAAAACTTGATTGAAAATCACATGGATATTAGTAGTTTGTGCTGGGAATGGGTTTACTTTAGGTCCATTCTTTTTTATGCTTAAATCTTTTGCTTAAACTGTAGAACTGATTGTATGTTAAAGTTTAATTGGCTAAATTCCTGTGCTAATGGCATCTGCAGATTGTCAAAGAAGGTGAGGAGCCAGAACAATTCTTGAACCTTCTCAATGGCTTCTCATTTCAAATGGTGGAAGACTGCAGCTAGAAACCTTGTTTGCATCTGAGAAAGATAAAGTTTGGTTCTTTATTTTTTAAAGCACTCTGATGCAACGTTGGAATGAACCAGTTTCAACCTAGTGAAGGTGAGTAAGCATCCCAGGCAGAATAAGTGATTGTTTGTCTGCTTGTGTGATGTAAGTGAGAGGATTTATTTTACCATTCAACCAATCATGTACAGAAAACAAGCGTACTGTACACTAAAAGGAATTACAAGTAAATAAAATATCAGTTGGAATTAAACTTCCTTCCAATTTTCACCTTAGTGGTAAAGAATTTTCAGGAGGTAGTACATATATAATTATATATACAGTTGATTGTGTATCCGTCAAATGACTTGTAGTGTTTTCTTTATTTCAGTGCACGATGTGTATGTTTTCCATTTTCTTTTTTCTCCAGTGATGATGGTGAGAGGGTTAGGTGGACTTAGGGGATAATGCTTCATAGACATGACTGCCAGACAACTTCTTGACTGCATATGCACTCAGGTTTACTGTGGTCTCACTAGCCGATTGAGGTCACCACCGTTGGTTAGCAGGTGAAACCGACCGGTGGTGTTTGATCTAGCAAATTGCTGTGATGCATAAATTTGACTTAATGTTTGAGGCCAGAAGTCACATTAGGACTTTGAAAATACTTGGCCTGTATACTTCATTGGTTCTTTTCCAGCTTTGCCTTCTAAATGAATCCGTTGAAGTCACTGTTTTGAATGCAGCTTCTTTTTGACTCTAATGTTGTAAGATTCTTCCTTTTTTTACCCGTATGGTTTCATGCAAAGCTTCTCTGTCAAGGCAGCATAATTTTGAATGTAGAAAAAAGAAGAAAAATCTTGCTCCATCTCATCACCTTCTGGTCTCTTGAATATACCATTTTAAAGTTTGAAAATTAGTATTTTATAGAATTATCTTTTGCCCCTTGGATCCTATAATCTCCATTTACAATAGTATAACTGTAATAACTAAATTTTTAATTTCAAAAGTGAAGGCCAAAGATAAAGTGCTTGAACTAAACATTTATATGAACTAGTTTATATGAATAAGGTGCCAAAGGCTCAACAGTAAAGAATTGTTCATTCAGGACATATATGTAGCCTCTTGGAGCAAGTGAGAGACGAAGATGTTTAGGTTTGCAATTGAAGTTAAAACATAAGTTCATTCAAGTTAGATGGTCAAAGGGGAAGCTGATCAACGAAAGTTCAGACTTTTCCGCCTCTAGGATACATGAAACCATCAACACATCATTACATCAGTAAAGAGAGGTGGGGAGGCATACACTATACAAAAACTAAGCCATCTAAAGCACCCTACTTCTTTCATCACACATGGCAAAACAAAATTTGGGAACTTTAAGGCCTAGAAAACCCTAAAAGTGAAAGGTCAATGACAACTTCCCCAAACAAAATGCTTATAGCTCATTTTGTGCTCTTAGTAGAGCCATAGTTGGACCCAGTGCGCTGCCTCTTAATGCCTTGTAGGACCAGGGTCTCCTGCCTGAACTCTCAGTTTTGTTCCAATTATCTTCCTGAGATAGTTCTGCCTTCTTTGCATTCAAAGCCTGGTTTATTTGTTCCCAAGCATCTACTGCTCCATTTTCTGGGAAAAAAACCATAAAAAGTGAGGGCTCATTTTCATAGATCATATGGTTTACAAGCTCCTTTTCAGTCAATTGATGATTTGATTCTTGATATGGAATGAAATAGGATTAATACCCTGGACAGAAGCATGATTTTCATTGTCATTTCTGAGATTTGATCTATTATCTTGATCTCCGCCATCAACTCCAGCAGCAACTGATTTTACAGACTTTAAGTTGCCTTGGGAGATGAGACGAACCTCACAAAGTGATGAAAAGTCTATCTGGAGAAGAGCTCTACTAGTTAGTTTTCTCAATTAATAATAAACCACAAGCATACTCGATTAAAACCTTCGTAGCTTAACCCCAACCTTCTACTCAAGAATCACCTAGTATATTCTCCCACCCTCCTCCCGCAACCTAAAAATAAAATTTTTAGAAAAAAATGAGAAGCCAGCATACCCATAATGAACCATCTCTAGCGCAAGGGTATGCTTCTGATAGTCCACCAGATGTATCATCACCCATCTCCTCCTCAGGAATCATTGGATATTTTGGGACTGGCACCAGCCCAACCCTATTCTTCTCGATTTCATATCGTGATATCTTTCCAACCTACATAAAAAGAAGCATAATAAATTGCATGCTCTTTTAACAAGAGTTCCACAATTATTTTCAATGCAGAAAGAGTTGTACTCCATAAGATGAAAGTTCTGGGGTCCACGAAGATGATAGTTTAAGCAAACGATAAGCAATCACATCACCTTCCTGCAAAATTTAAGAAAATACACTGAATTAAACCCATAATAGGATTAACAAGAAACAAATATAGACAATGATCCAGCACATTTACTTGCTTCGAAGTTCAAAATAGTCCTAGAAACAGATCCAGAAGAGATCTATGTAATCTGATGATTGGTCTTACTATATCAAACCTTGTTGCCAACATTCCTTCATTGCAATAAAAAGACAGATTCATGCAACCAATGGCAACAGCAATGAAATTTTAAAAAACAAACCTTTGGCAACGTAGTGTAATATTCAAGCTTCTCAAAGTTGATACGATCATGTACGTGTCTTGCTTCAATATTAAGCATCTTGGAACACTCTTGATTGACATTTTTGTAATCATTCCCCTTCCAAGATGTGATTTTTTCTTTACCCCATTTTTGACCCTTCTTTTTGCTTGTTATTCCATTCCACCGAAAGGTTTCCTAAAGAACCAAACATATGAATTTGATATCAATTTGAAGCAGAGAACAAATGGTACTTCAAGCTAGCAGAATAAGTGGAAAAAGAAAAGGCAAGTCAATGTACATAAATCCAATTCGAATCTTCAGGAAACTAGATACCATCTCCCATTCTCAAGTACTCAATCAGAAAGAGAACAAATTAAAAGAAAGAAGTATATAATGCAACGATTGATGGAAAACGTACCAAAGGAATTTGATTTTGCTCCACAGCTTGATTAGAGCCCACTGGAACAAGGAAAAGGTGAGACACATATTACATCACATACTCAAAAATAGGACAGCTCTTGTATATAAAGGCGTTTCATTTCTCATGGCACTTAAATGTTAAGAATAATAGGAACTCTTAATCCCCATTCAAAATAAATAAATAAATAAATAAGAGAGAACACACACACACACACACACACACACACACACACACACACACACACACACAACACACACAAGGGCACAGGACGACGAGGGGCACACAGCACACAGGGGCAGGGCCACAGCACACAGGCACGCAGAACACAGGACAATGAAACCGTGTGCTGAAAGTGACACACACACACACACACACACACACACACACACACACACACACACACAAACACAAAATCAAACCTGTGCTGAGTGGTTCAAAGCGGATATGCCCCGGCCTTATTACTATGGGAACAACATCCTCCTCTTCATCACCATCTTGATCTGGCTGTTGAGGATCTTCCTCGAGTTTGTTAGTCTCTCTTTCGGGCATCTGTTCAGAAACTTCTCGATTTCCTTCTTCATCTGATTCTTGAGAGAATCCCTGGCTATCCTCTTCAGATGACTGTTCATCAGACTTTACATGTAATTGCCTTCGTTGCAGCTGCAAAATTACAAATAATAGATAAAAATCGCTAATCCAAGATAGACACTACTACTCATTCTCAACAAAGGTACACAGGTACTATAGAACACCAAATTAGGTCCCAAGTTCCTACTCCCTTCCCTCTCTCTCTCTTTCCACCTTCATGCACTTTTACCTATTATGTATTTTTATCTGTGAATGGACAAATATGTAACTTTCAGATATACAATGTCTAAAGCACAACACAAGCCCTCCACATTTCTACTTTTAGCTAAGCAAATAAGTAAAGCTATTAAAACAAACAAACAGAAATACAAAATTTGAAAAGGAATCAAATATCATTTTTTACCTCTTCTCTTTCAGCTTTCAGTTTTCTTCTTAAATATATCCTCTTAGCCTTTTTCCGTCGAGCACTTCTACTAGGCAACTAAGAAGACAGAGAATGGCAAGAGTTAAACATCACATTTGCAATTCAAGTTATGATAAGGCCAACTTTATTTATTAGTAACCAGGGGCCATGAAGTAAACAACAAAAAGTCCTAGTAAGTCCTATAACATTGAGAATAAACTTGGTTTGGTTGTTGGTCAGGGAAATGCTAGCAACCATGGAAGCTTTGAGGTCAGTGGACACACTTTGCAATATACCGGGTCCTAAAGTATGGGTAGCTTTAAATGATCAGAATCAATTTTTAATAATGTGAAGAATGTGAAATGCTTGGTAATCTCTAACTATCAGTTTCCCCAACACTCTAGACTACTAATAGCAACAAACTCATTGATCCTACATGTTCCTCTCAATATCATATATATATAGTGAAAATGCTTGGATAATCTCTAACTGAGTGCCAGTTTCCCCAACGACTCGTAGGACTAGGCTAATCAGGCAACGAGAGACTGCATTGGATCCTACATGGTTCCTCTCAATAGTCATATATGATATATATATATATAATATAGTATAGTAGTAGGGGGGTTAGGGTGGTATATATAAGTACACACAAGGGCCATGCCATATAGCAGGGACGTTTAATTTTAGCCAAACTGGTTTTAAGTAATCATAATCACCGTAGTTTCAAATCCACGTAGTTGGGAGGTGGAGGTAAAAAAATAACTACCAAAGGCTCGCTGTGCAGTTAAAATCCGCCAATTCCTGGTATGGGAAGGCTGGAAGATGGAAAGTTTGGGTCTTGTGTCGTTGACATAGAGGGAAAACAAAGTGTCAACAGTGATAGGCTGAAGGGAAATGGATATGCCAGGGAAATCAACGTTCGACTTTGATGGCAATAGCAGGGATTACAATAGATCAGCTCGTCAATTCTGATTAATGTACAACGAGGCAAGTGAAAATCTGTAGATATATACACACACATCCATATACACGTTTAATTTAGCAAACTTTTTAAGTATCTAATCACTTTTCAATCCACGTATTGGAGGTGGAGGTAAAAAATTAACTACCAAGGCTCCTTCAGTAAAAATCCCCAATTCTGGTATGGAAGCTAAATAAAGTTTGGTCTTTTGTTGACATAAGGGAAAACAAGTCAACAAATATACTGAAGGGAAATGGATATGCAGAAATCAACCTCGACTTTGATGCATAGCAGGATTCAATAATCACTCTCAAATTCTGATTAATGTACAACAGCAAGTGAAAATCTTAGAATACCATTTAATTCAATTTGAGTAGATTTGGCACTTTTTGCATCTATTTATGGGTAAGTAAGTCTTTAACATGCATGAACTAGCCAATGGATTCGAACCATGAATTTATTCCAAACCATTCAATAAGGCCACTACACTCACAAGTAGTTATTTGACACCACAAGAGTTTGGTGCATGATATAGACTTGCAGACAGTGAACATGAAGTATACACAGTAAATGTAAGGCTGTGATGATTATACAGTGGAAGGCTTAAGATAAATCATCACATTACACCGTATTTGTCAATGATAATGACAAAATGCATCTAAAATTAATCTAAAAAATACAAATTATAAGGATTCGGTTTAAATAGAGATGATAAGAGAAACCTTTTTAGTTTGGTCAGGAGTAGGGGATGCATCCACACTCCCATTGCCATTTTCTTGATGCTGAGATAGCCTATAAAACATAGAAATAAGGGGAAAAGGTATTTAGAAACTAAAGAGACAACAAAGAATAAGATCAAACGTTATGGGCAAGGGTAAAACATCTACCTCTTTGCAGTAGGTAAAGCTTGACTGCTCTTAATTCTTTCATCAACTTTGGCAGCGCTCAAAGTTCCGTTCTGCTTCCCATTTTCTTCCACAGCAAGAACACGTTTCTCATTACTAGAAGATCTTTTTTTCTTCCTCCTGTAATACACAAATCTCAGAAGTAAGAAACAAACCAAAAATACTCGCAAAAATCCAACAATGGAACCACAACAAATTATTAGCAAATCCATATGTCAAATAAGAATATCATAAAAATTGGAACATTTTTCAGTCAGAACTTACTTTGGGCTCTTAAGTTCCTTTGATGCCTTTCTCTTTTTGGTAACTGTTTTCACCTCTGGAGAATTTTCCACATGCACTGCGTCTTCCACCTGTTTTGGTTCATCCTCTACCTCCTCACTTTGGTAGCCTCCAGATTCCTTCTCAAATTCCTCATTTGCTAGAAGATTCATGCCTGCAACTACAGGCTGCGTCTCCACAATCTCTACCACCTCCAAGGAATTCACCCCATCGCCTACCATCACTATTTCAGTAGATACACTGCCATTCTTTTCCACCCTGAAAAATAAAATCACAAGATATCACGTAAACAATGAAATCAATAAATCCGTTTTTTTTTGTTAACATTATGCTTACTCTTGCACTGACCTTATAATGTCCTTATCTTTTAAAATGGAAGTGGATTCAAAAGGCGGCAATGCAAAACCTTCCATCTGCAACTCATTGCACAATGAGAACCCAGTTAGAGGAAAACACGAAAAAGTAAAAGGGAAACGTATAAAATTTACAACGTACAGAGAGAAGAAGGCCGTTCGGGAAATCGTTTTGGAGGTCGAAGGCGTGGAGGAGATAATCGGAGAGATCGGAGATGGTTCGGTGCTGAGGTTTTAGGAGAATCCAGCATCGTTTGAGGTTCAGTGACTTCTGCGATTTACTTAGAACTTGATCAAACTCTAAACGGAGCCTAACCGTCTCCATCATTAGCAACGATGAGGAAGGATTTGTAAATGGAAAATAGTCTCTCTGGCGTTAGCTCGCTCTTAAACCCTCGAGTGGGTTTCACTTTTCACAGACAGTGTGTGGATAAATTCTGTTTCTTTTGAAATACTGTTCAATTTACCCGAAATTGAATCAATTATACAATTTATCTAAAAGTTAATCTTTCCATAATTTCCACTCCGATCTTGTATCAAATACACAAAAAGGATTAATGTTTCAAATTAATAAATTATTACTATTATTAAAATAAAATTTTTATTTTATTAAAAAAATTCCAATAGTTATGTTAAAAAATTATATTTTATACAAGTTAAGTCTCTTTAGTGTTAACTTAAAATAATTATTGTATAAAAAAAAAGTTGATTTTTTATATTTTAGTATCTCAAAGTAAAAAAAATTTACAATGAATGTAAAATTCAAAATTTGTTGTGATTAATTATATTACTCTAGATTAAATTATCAAAAAATTAAAATAGACAATTTTGCTCAATAGATTATTGAACATAGATATTCATTTCTTTATTTTAATTTTTTATCGTCTCAGATCTCTTATAAAAAATGTTTAAAAAAAAATTCCTTTATTTTTTTTTTTATAATTTCAGAACAAATTAAGAAAATAAAAAGATTTAATCTGTAAAATAAATATTTCATTTTGATTTTTTCATAAAACCAAAACGGTAACCTGGATTAGATAGCCCGTACAAGCCAATATGTCGTTTTAAGAAAACGATGAAGTGAATGACCTGTCGTTCGACAAGTTTGATTAAAAATGCCCAAGCGCAACAGGTCAACCCATTATCAGAGTAAACCCATTTGCAAGAGGACTGCAATAGCAATCGAAACTGAACCTGCATTTTATTTTGTGTCTGCAAATCTGAAAGATAAACGAGAGAAAGCGGAACCAAGCTTGTATTATAAATCTTCATTTGGTTTAGAAAGGGAAAACATTTAGCTATGGTTACTGTGTGATCCTAGCAGCTTACAGATTGTTGGTTAATAGTTAATACTTTGATAGAGTATCCAGTAAAGCAGAATGGTAGATGGTGAAGATGAAGAAACTAAAACATTTGTTCATGGTGCAACAAATGCTCAACAAAATAAGAAAATATCTCAAATTTTTTCAATTCCCATGCATTTTCGTGATGCTTCAAGAAAATATTGAATCTATGTTTTGCCCAATGGTCAGAAAATGTTCTTCCCTGATTCCGGTGACCAAAAGGAAAACAAGACTACTATTCCCAGACTATTATATTTGAACAATTTAACACATTCCTACAAGTGATTTCTAGTTCTCACCCATCTTGCAAGCCACAGTAGAAATTCACATAGCATCGCATTACAATTCCAATTCATGCAAAGAATAGAGCCTCAAATGACGTGAAATTTATCAAAATTCACCAAAAGCATACTGAATTCGTATTGCTTATAAAGCAATGTAACACAAAAGAAGAGAGCAGGAACCCGTGACTTTGCAAGAAACTAAATAATAATTGCAAGTTGAGCACCTAAAACAGTTCCGCCAAAACAGGAAAGGCATTCCAGAGCTGCTCTCACAGACCCCTGCAACATCATTCAATGAATAAGTGAGTATTACTGCATGTTATTACTAAGGAATCCATAAGAAAGAAAGTGCTTCACAATAAAAAATAGGAGAATAAAAGAAGGCAAAATAAACAAATAAAAGGAAAGACCAGTATCTTTGAACAAGTGCTACTAGCAAAAATACCCATGCTTAGCCAAACACTGAAACTAAGCTCCCTCCACACCCTTAATAACATCAGATCACAAGTCTCTTTTACTTCCCTACTAAACATAATAATGCCATGCAAGAAGGTTAAACTTTATCAAGGCCATCAACAGAGGACAAACAATAGTGTAACCACAAATCTCTACTAATCAGAACCAGTCTAGGATGGAATGTATATTCTCATTTCATACAAGCCGTTACCCTGTCTCTCTGTACCCTATTAACCTTTGACCAAATTAGATGCCAAAACGCTCCATAATTGCATTATCACTCATTGAGAAGGTTCTCTTTTACCCACTAAACATAATAAGGCCAAGCAACGAGATTAAAATCTTTATCAAGGCTATCAGCTGAGGACCGGCTACAGTCTAAACCTAACTTTCACCAGATATGGTCCAGAAGGTAATGGATCTTCTCATTTAAATTGCATACCCTCACACTTGTTAGTAATCTCTATACAATTACATGCCAAAACAATCAACAAATGGTATTATCAATCAACAAAGTACCTTACTTTCAAATTCCAAATCATGCTTTTACTAGCAATAATTCCAGAAAAGAAAAGTAGAATTACAAGGCGATTGGCGATAGTTTTTGGGGACCAAATAACACGTTGTCTTCCTTCCCACTCAAGATGATACATCTCGAACAAGTAAACAATTATTCAAGTAAAGTGAAAGCAATAGACAGAAAAGAACAGGATGTACAGGAACACAAAATTTAGGAAAATTGCTGCTCTAGTAGAAACAGATTCTAGTGAGGTGCAAAGCTACCTGCTTTTAACCCGAATTTAAAATTTATTCCTCCCAAAAAAAAAAAAAAAAACTAAATGTAATTAATCAATCCAACAAAGTACTGTACTTATATTGCAGAAATTCGCAAGTATGCTTTCTACTGGAGCAATGGAATTCAGAAAAAGAAAAGTAATTACAAAGGCGATTGGCGATAGGTTTTTGGGGACCCAAATAACACGGTTGTCGTGTTCCTTCCCACTCAAGAGTGAATACATGCGTCGAACAAAGTAAACAAGTTATTCAAGTAAAGTGAAGAGGCAGTGAGAACAGAAAAGAACAGGTGTACAGGAACAGAGGCAGAAATTTAGCTGAAAAATTGGCTGCTCTATTAGATTTAAGCAGATTCTAAGTGGAGGTGCAAAGCTACCTGCTTTTAACGCCGTATATTTAAAATTTATTCCTCCCAAAAAAAAAAAAAAAAAAACTCTTGGGAATACTGATTCAATCGGTTTAATGAACCTAACAAAACGAGGCTGTTTTGGCTATAGAAATTAATGCAAGGTAAATTAAAAGGCCAATAGGAGACAGTTTTTGTAAGACTAAAACCAATAATCTTTAGGTACTTTTTCACTTTCTTGAATTGAAAAAAAAAAAAAAAAAACTCTGGGATACTGATTCAATCGGTTTATGAACTACAAAACGAGGCTGTTTGGCTATAGAAATTATGCAAGTAAAATTAAAAGGCCATAGGAGACAGTTTTTGTAGACTAAACCAATAATCTTTAGGTACCTCACTTTCTTGATGAGGATGGACTTCAGCTTGCGAGCCAATTCCTGAGATTGAATCTTACGCTGGAGATTTTTGCGTGCCAAAACTCTCTTTTCTGAATTCTTCATGTGGTGAGTCTGCTCACGCTTTATCAGCCGTTCGATCCCGCTCGATTGCATCTGCCTCTGCATAAACGCCAGAGCCCTCTCTAAGTTCCCGTTCCATACTTTCACTCTAATTCCCCGCCATTGTCGAGTCTGATAAGGATGTAGCTCCCGACACAGTGAGTTGATTCCTTGACTAGGAATCCTGAAGATCGTAGACACTTGCCTCGCTATCGAGTTCATTCCTCAGGGTTTTTCAATTTTTTTTCTCTGCTGGTTAGGGCTTTTGCATTTTGCTTTGCCTTTTTGTTTGTAATTGGGGGATTCAGAAAACGCACCGTTTTTCAAGCATTGATTCAGTTGTGTGATAAAATGACCAAAATACCCTAACCACGAAACAACAATTTCAGATTTAGCACTTTTAAGTCTCAGGACTCAGGATTCGATAGAACTGAACTCACGACCACCATCATCAGTCACCACAACCACAGGGAGTGCAAATTATTAAGACAAAACAAAAAGGGAAAATCCCAAAAGACCACAGTGGGAGCTGTTCAACAGTTTAGTTAGGAGCTGGCTTTCAGTCCAAAGCGAGCCATGGCGGAGCTCAGGCACTCGAGCTCGCTCGGGGCCCGAGCCTCCAACTCTCCAATGAAGAGAGACGACGACGCGTCGCCTATCCTCCACGACAATGCTGCGGATGACGATGATCACCACCACGCTCGTCATCACTTTTCTAGAGATCGTGACCGTCCATTTTGGTCTAATCTCCCATTCTGTGGTGAAGATCTTAGGTTTTCTCCTCAGAACTCCAGGATCTCGTTAATTTTGGTCGCTCTTATTGTTCTTGCTGGATTGACCTCGCTTTTCTCGATCTTCCATCGATTAGTGAGTCTATATCTACATTATTTTAACATTCATTTGTGTATTAATTGTTGAACTCTATTTGCTACAAGCAAGGAACCAGGGGTATAATAAGTTGTTTATTGACGATGTAATGTTTGGATTAGGTTGCAAGTCATTTATGGAGCTTATGATTTGTTTAACTTGATTTCTTTGTATAGTTGAAGTTATGGACTAATTAGGCTATGATGTTTCTCTATCCAAACTCTGTTTTGTAGAATTTAATTGGTAGTGGTTTTCTTTTTTTGTTCAAGAAGGTTGTGCAGTACGAATCAAGGATAGTGTTCTAGTTTTTTCTTTGGAAAGTAATTTGAGCTTGGAAAACAGTCATCCTTCTGAATTTTATGACAGTCCAATAAAGTGAAATGTGGATGCTGCATGGACGCCATTTGGCACTTGTGCTTAACTTGTTTTTCTTTTGTGTAGGCAGATTGATTTTATGGTATGCTAAATTGTTGGTCATGAAGGTTGATTTTTTTTTTTTTTTCTATTTTTCTTTGTTTGTAGTTAAAGTTCAATTGTGGTAATTGTATCGTGACTCATGGTTTTTGAAACTTAAAGTCTTGTACTTGCTAGAATCTCTTGGAATGAAAATGTTATGCTGCTTGTATTGAAATTTATAGAATTAAAAGTATTGTGAAGAATAGTTATATTATTTTTGATTTGCTGTCATATGTGTATTTGCCATTATAATTTTCTCTATTAATTCTTTTTTTTTTTTTTTTTTTTTTTTTTCTATTAGATGGTCTTTTTTTTTTTTTTTTTTTTTTTTTTTTTGTGGTTGAAATTTTTTGTAGAATGCTCCATACTGTTGGTGTAAAGGATGGCATTGTTCTTCATGTGTCACAATATGTGTTTTTTTTTTTTTTTTTTTTTTTTTGAAATTTTTGTAGAATGCTCCATACTTGTGTAAAAAGGATGGCATTGTTCTTCATTGTCCATATGTGAGTTCTTGAAAGATCAAGTCTTTTTTTTTTTCTATTTACTATAGTTTCAGTTACAATTTTTGATGAATTATTTCTTTTACTTTTTCACTTCATTCATTTTAGGTCAAGGAACCTGCTTCTCTTTGGGAGAATCCATATTCTGCAACAATCTCTTGGAAGCCTTGTGCCGAGCGTCGTGATAGTGGAATATCAGGTATTTTCTACAGACGACACTTGGATGTGCTTCTCCTTCATCCCATGGTCATGTGGCTTTGGGCATCAAACAAAACAATAAAGATAACACCATCAAGGTGAAAAATCTCTGAATTAATGCTGTTTATTCTGGGAAGTATACTTTTGCATTCCCATCATTTGGACGTGCTAGTCCAGTTCTAGCCACAGTATTTGATTGGTAACTACTGGGTATTTCTCTACAGCAGTAGAGAAACATCTCATATTTTACCGAGTTTTGCAATATCTCATAACAACCTTTTGAGATGTGGATATTTTGGGGTTTATCTCTAGAATGATTACTTTGATTGCTGCAGAATAATCTTTCAAATAGTTCATAGCATTTTATTCCTCATAAAGATCCAGTGTATAAGGCCTGGTATTTCATTACAAATCTCTGTTGCTATAAGGCTTGGATGCTATCTTAAGGGCATAACTAAATGTGTTTCATAACCTTATCTTGACCATTTAGCATAGTAATTAATGTAGATATTGTATCATGAGGCAGTTTGTAGTTTACAATTCTATACATAACTTGTAATGTGATATGAAGGCAAAAGAGGATGCTCTTTAGAATAGCTTGTGCACTTTCCAATTATATCTTCTCAAACAAGGAATTCCTGGTCATGTGTTGCTAGAAAGATAGGCATGATCTTCACCCTGTCTAAATGTTATAACATCCGTCTTGGCTGTTTTTCTTATTTTGTTTTATCTTTATAACTTTTCTTGAGTCTTTGCAGATCTTCCTCCAGAGAATGAAACAAGTGGCTACATATTTATTCATGCTGAGGGTGGTTTGAATCAGCAAAGGATTGCTGTATGGATTCTGCACTATCAAATTGTGTATTTTCTGCTTTTGATTTGCAAGGCCCACACCCCTGATCACCCCCAAAAGCAAATATACATACACACAGAAAAGAAAAAACCATTGCATGTTTAACATATTTTACTACAATTGTTTTCAGAAATTTTATTTTTTATTTTTTATTTTTTATTTTTGTTATTCTTTAGTCTTAACTCACTTCCTCTTTCTCTCCTCTCTTTATTTCTATAAATGCTGCGTCTTTTATATTAATCTGAAATGTTTTGAGCTCTGTTACCAACAATGTATGTCCCAGTATAAGGTTACAAGTTCAAAGTCCAATAAATCTGAATATTATGATACGAAAGCTTTGGACTTTCTAATTATTTGCTTTTTTTGATGCCCTTCTTAATGTTTGATCTTTGTAATTATGATATTTTTTTTAAGTTTTTTATTATTTCCATATTCCTTTTTAGTTGTGAGAACCATGAACTTCCTTTGAATGATTTGTCAAAAATTTTCTGATTCATTCTATTTATTACCTGCAACAAGCTTCAGATTAATTGAATCCTAGGGAATTTGCAATTCTGCATGCAGATATGCAATGCGGTGGCTGTGGCCAAAATAATGAATGCGACCCTTATTTTGCCTGTGCTGAAGCAAGACCAGATTTGGAAAGACCAAACGTAAGATATTATGGCTTGAACTTTCATTCCTTGTTATTACATCATTGTTATTGGGAGTTTGCATCTCCCAATATATACATTATAAAACAAATATATGGGTTAAGTGTGTGTTATCTTCTCAACACTTGTTATGTGACTGAAAATATAAAAATGATATTTTACTAGAGGAATTTTTGCTTTTGATGCCTCACATTTTAAGGTTTAAATATTCAACAGTGCCTAGTCCTATTTAAAATCCCAAAACAAACTTTATCAACATTTTTATTCTTCATGGAGAATTCCATCAATCAAACTTTTGACTTCATAAACATGTTAGTTCAAATTGGGAAATTTTGCAAACTGTTTTAATTTTCATCATTAAAACATTCTCTTTATCTTGCTCTGAATAATCTGCATAATTCTTATTTGATGAGTAAAGGCCATTTTCCCCAAGCACTTCGCAAATTGCTTTTATTTAAAGTACATTTCAGAAACTCAAATCCCTGCTTTTTTTTAATAATTTTTATGGAAACTTGCAGGAAATTTGAAGACATTTTTGATGTTGATCATTTCATTGACTATTTAAAGGATGATGTGCGAATTGTTCGTGATATTCCCGAGTGGTTTACTGACAAATCGGAATTATTCTCAAGCATAAGGTTTGATTCTTTACATTCTGAATTTTTCTTTTAATCGGGGTTACATTTCTTCTGGACCATCCAATCAGGCAGGGGAGTAGACATATGAATTCATTTGGTTGCAATTGGCATTCATTTCATGAAAATTTTGTAATTTATTTGTAGACGAACAGTGAAAAACATTCCAAAATATGCACCTGCTCAATTCTATATTGATAATGTGCTACCTCGAATCAAGGAGAAGAAGATAATGGCCCTAAAGCCTTTTGTTGATCGGCTTGGGTAAGTCATTGATATTAAGATCTGCATTGTACTGTGCTGAAAAATTTGCTTCTACTTGAAAAGTGGGCTTTGGATTGTCTTTTTAATGCCTTCATTTATTATATTTGTGGCTGTTTCAGGTACGATAATGTTCCTCCAGAAATCAACAGGCTAAGGTGCAGGGTGAATTATCACGCCCTGAAATTTCTTCCTGAGATAGAGCAGATGGCCGATTTGCTGGTGTCAAGGATGCGAAACCGCACAGGAAGTTCAAATCCGTACATGTATGTGACTTCAGTATCTGAAATTGACACTTATTGTAAGTTTTGGTAACTATGGTTCTAACCATTATTTATTACACAGGGCCCTCCATCTTAGATTTGAGAAAGGCATGGTGGGTTTATCATTCTGTGATTTCGTGGGAACAAGAGAGGAGAAAGCAAGAATGGCAGAATACAGAAAGAAAGAATGGCCTCGACGGTATAAGGTCCAACAGTTGTAAACTTTCTACTTTTAGTTAGAACCAAACACAAGCATGGATGTATCATGTGCTTTCTTGTGATTTCATTTGCAGAATGGTTCTCATCTATGGCAGTTGGCCCTGCAAAAGCGGAAGGAAGGACGCTGCCCTCTTGAACCTGGTGAAGTGGCAGTGATTCTTCGGGCAATGGGTTATCCTAAGGAAACTCAGATATATGTAGCTTCTGGCCAGGTTTATGGTGGACAAAATCGGATGGCTCCTCTGAGGAATATGTTCCCAAATCTGGTAAGGCTGTTGGTTTCCTGTTACATCTTCTTATTTGTGATCTGTTTTGCCCCATTCCATTTCTGATGTGCAGTTGGAATGACAAGGCATGTGTAGAAAATCATTTGGATGTTTCTGATTTGTATGCCTTGGCACTTCTGTAAGATAAATAAGAAAAGTGGAGCTGGAATTAGAAATCATTTGCATCAATCCCACTTTCACATCTTTAGCCTCATAATATATATTAATGCTGTAAAGATGAAAACTTGTATAGAAAATTGACATGTAATGTCATGCACTCCAGCTGTTTGCCCTCTCAATTAACAGTCAGCACTTTTTGCTATTTCACTATCTTCAAAAGTTCGCCAAATGGAGAAAGAATATTTGCCAATCAATATACATTATTTACTTACCCCCTGTTTGGAAAGCGAAATTTCACAAGAATACAATTCAAAAGAATTCTATTCTGCCAAATGCCATGTTTGGAAATTATATAATTATAGAAAAGATATGATTTTGAAATCTAAGTCATATCATTCTACATTTGATATCACAAGAACTAAACTAGGCCTATAGTTAAATTACACAAATATTATTATAATTTGTAGCCTAGTCTCCTAAAATTTTTCTATTATTGGCTGTATTAAAATAAATAAAGATAATGAACAAAGTAAAAAAAAAAAAAAAATGTTGAATTCATTATTAATTTACATGGTATTTGGAACAATTTTTGGTTAAGATTTCAATTAAATTCTTTCAATAGAATTGAATTCTTGCATGAGTTTTTCTAAATGGTGCCTTATGGTGTAACCAAAATGAATCTTGTTGGATGGATAGTTTATAGGGCATTGTGTTCTACCACTTAAATTAGGTGATAGAGAGATTTCAAAGTTGAGGCACTTTTAGCTTGGGTTGCTGGCTGTGTCAACGTAAATCAGAGGCTAAAAGGATAGACTTTCAAAATGCTGTTTTATGTTCTATATTTCTGTTCCTTAAGCTTTATATATTTATTGAACTTGATATTATCATTTTTGAGGCTTTATAATAGGTAACAAAGGAGGAGTTGGCTACCAAGGAAGAGTTGGATGGTTTCAGAAAGCATGTGACAAGTTTGGCAGCCCTTGATTTCTTGGTTTGCCTCAAATCCGATGTTTTTGTGATGACCCATGGAGGTAACTTTGCGAAATTGATCATAGGAGCACGCAGGTACATGGGTCATCGTCACAAATCCATAAAACCAGACAAGGGATTAATGTCCAAGTCTTTTGGAGACCCTTACATGGGATGGGCTAACTTTGTAGAAGATGTGATCGTTACCCACCAAACCCGAACTGGGTTGCCTGAGGATACCTTCCCTAACTATGACCTTTGGGAAAACCCTCTAACTCCTTGCATGTGTAGAGCTTGACCACATGGATTGCTAGCTAGAACCTTCACCACTAATTTATTTTGAGGATTCTGTTTGTAAAGAAGCTGCATGTCATTGTTGAGAAACTGAATTCTGGCACCTAGAAAGAAGAAATTTGAACAAAATGGTTGGTAGTTATGAGAAGAACGAATATGATATGCATTAACAGGTGATGGCTTGCTGGAGGAGGATGGTGGCAATTATCGTATGGAGTTTGATGTGTAACCTTCTGTAGCAATTTTTGCTGGGTCCTTCAGCAATTTTGTCTCTAAAACAATAGATAAGTCAAAAGCAGTCGTGTTAAAGACAAATTGATAATTTTTTGTATCAGTTTGAAACTGTAAATTACTAGTTGAAATGTGGAATTTTTTTTTTTTTTTTTTTTTTTTTTTTTCTTTGAGATAATTGTTGTTTGGAAATGGATGTGCTGTCCAAAAGAATGCCTCCGAGTTGTCTTAATAGTTGATCTTCTGCCACAGACAATACAAGATTACAAGATCAATGATTATTTACTTTTGATACTTTTTTTAAAAAATTAATGATTTTTGGCTTTTTTTTTTTTTTTTTTTTTTTTTTGGATAATTGTTTGTGGAAATGTATGTGCTGTCCAAAAGAATGCTCCGAGTTGTCTTAATAGTTGATCTTCTGCCACAGAAATACAAGATTACAAGATCAATGATATTACTTTTGATACTTTTGTTTAAATTAATGATTTTGGCTTTTTGTCATTTCATGCTTACGGGAGGCTTGATTACAGGCATAAAATGAGAATCTGATTAGTTGGTTTGGTGGTTTAGTAGCCAATTAGCCATAAGCATTATACTGCTCATTTAGTGTTAGGAAAACTGATTTTTTAAGATTACTTATTTTGATAAATGGTAAATTACTTAAAGAAATAATTTATTTATTTGAACCAATAGAAGAGCATTCCTCAATGAGAAAATTCTTGCATTTAACTACAGAAATAGAACCATTCAAAAAAAAAAAAAATACAGAAATAGAAGAATTAATTCTTTAATAATTCAGTAGTAATTACAAGAAAAACAAATGATCAAAAAAATTAAAATGATTTATTACAGCATGACGTAAGAATAATACATTACTCAAACTTCCTTCCATGCTAATGTTATGACGCTCATTTTGCCCCTTTTTCTCCTGATTCCCCAAATGCCAACGGACATAATAAATAAATTTTACCGTGAAAGGCAAAGCACACTGAACAGGATTAGAATTCCAACACGCTAAGTCCCACCGTCATCTGCTCATTAAATAAAGAGCAAAAATTGTCTGCTAATGCTATATCTATTATCCAGTGTCCATTATCATCCTATTTGACCGTGACAATCATTCTTATCATCATTTTCTCTTCAATGGGTAGTATAAAATTCTAGTCTTTCCACTTTAGTTTAGCTGCAACAGCAAGCTGAGGTAAATTTGCAACCATGAAGGTCCAACATTTTAGCTTTTTGTTTCTCTTCCTCGCTCTTTCTCTTTACAGGTTTTCTTCTTCCTTCTTCTCTCTGATTTTGCCTTTTTCTTGTCACTGGCATTATTATTATATTTGCGGGACTTTGTTGAAGATTATATAGTTACTAATTGAATTGATTTCATTTGTTTGGTGACCAAAATCGACTTTCTGTGATATAATTTATCTCAGCCTTTTCATCTTTAATATGGTTATATTGCATTTAGTGAGAAATCCATGAGTAAAGATCATTTCTTGGTACCAATATGTTTTGGATAGCAGTAATTTGCTAGATAATTTGTTATTTACCTTTCCTTTTGGTATATTTTCTTTACAAAATATTGTTGTTTCCATTTTTCGACGTAATTGTTAACCTCAAATTTGCGCCTGAACTCAAATTTCACTAGCTCTGTCTGTAGGCACAGCATCTAAGTAATCTTTTTTGTAATCTTAATTCTTGTAAGGCATTATAAGTAGTAAAAATGAAATGGACTACTAATTATCTTTCATTCTGTCTTAATACATATGTAAATTAAATTTGTTTTAGGGTATCATCTCAGACACAGCGTGCAAGTTTCCCACCAAGAGGCTGGAATTCTTATGATTCCTTTTGCTGGACCATTTCTGAAGAAGAGTTTTTGCAAAATGCCGAAATCATCTCTCAGCGTCTTAAGGCTCATGGATATGAGGTATAAACATGGCTGCTGATGAGTGAAGAGTTCAAATTAACTTTTAGATTTATGTGTTGAGAAGAATGCAACTGGAAATATTTATGTGATTATAAATGTAACTATCATGTCTTTTTAATTTTTGCTATTGTATGCAGTATATTGTGGTGGATTACCTTTGGTATAGGAGAAAGGTGCCTGGTGCTTACCCTGATTCTCTTGGGTTCGATGTAATTGATGAATGGGGGAGGATGATGCCTGATCCAGGTCGCTGGCCATCTTCCAAAGGTGGGAAAGGGTTCACCGAAGTGGCCAAGAAAGTACACAGCATGGGTCTGAAGTTTGGGATTCATGTTATGAGAGGAATAAGCACACAAGCATATAACGCAAACACCCCCATCCTGGATACTACTAAGGTAAAACTCCCTTTTCATTGTCATAAGTGGCTTGTTCTCTTCCCCTGCCCAACTTTGACATTTAGCAACCCCTCTGTCTTTTTTTTCATTGTCAAAAGTAGAGTAATTAAGGTTAAGTGAAGGCTTCCATCTAAGACTTACAAAATCTGTTGGCATTCTAATATTAATGCTTGAGCTTTTATTTTCACTTTTCATTAGGGTGGTGCTTATCATGAGTCTGGTCGACAATGGAGGGCACAGGACATAGGCATCAAGGAGAGAGCGTGTGCCTGGATGCAACATGGATTCATGAGTGTAAATACTAAGTTGGGAGCAGGAAGAGCCTTCTTGAGGTCACTTTATGTACAATATGCTGAATGGGGTGTTGATTTTGGTAATTGATAATCAATTGAAATACAGCTTTATCTTTTCTAGCCAACAATTCTGAGTTCTTGCTACTTCCAAATTTCATTAAACTAGATAATGAACTTGCATTACACTTCTAATTGACAATGGTAAACTTATTTGGTAATGCAATATTCGAAACAATTGTCTCTTGGGTACTTTTTCTTAGCTGAGCTTTGATCTGTTAATTAATGTTCCGTTCATTTGCTGCCTTGATTCAGAATAGGTAACTTCCATATAGCTGCATAATTTTTTGCACCATCTATCGATAACATCTGAAATATTTTATAGGATAACTACATTGTTAGTAGCTTTTCTTAGCTGAGCTTTGAACTGCTCATTAATGTTCCATTCATTTGCTGCCTTGATTCAGAGTAGGTAACTTCCATGTAGCAGCATAATTTTTTTCACCATCTATTACTAACATTTGAACTATTTTATGGGATATCTATATTGTTTTTGGTAGCTTTATTTCAGGCTGTCTAATATACGTAGCATTCTTTTCTTCTGCTGTGTGCAGTAAAACATGATTGTGTATTTGGTGATGACTTGGATATAGAAGAGATTACACTTGTATCAGAGGTACAGAGAGCTTTCTGTAAACCGATGATATTTCAGTAAATTTTTTATAAGCAGAGATAATGTAGAGATATTGCTCAGGTTCTGAAAGAGCTTGATCGCCCTATCCTATATTCTTTGTCTCCTGGAACCAGTGTGACACCAACCATGGCCAAAGATGTAAGTAGGTTAGTCAACATGTACAGGATAACAGGGGATGATTGGGATACTTGGGGAGATGTAGCATCTCATTTTGACGTTTCAAGGTGGGTAACCTTTTTTTTATATACCGAGAGCTTAGAGTTTGGAATTTGGCATTGATATTTACTGACTGTCTATTTGGTCCTTTTCTTTTTCTTCACTTTGTTTGATGCAATATCGTTCTTCTGCTTAAGGGACTTCTCTGCTGCTAGCATGATTGGTTCTGAAGGCTTGTTGGGAAATTCATGGCCTGACTTAGATATGCTACCCTTGGGACGGCTTACTGATCCAGGTGATAAAAATTTAGCAGATTGTTGTTCTCTTTCATGCTAGCTTCTTGAATTTTATTTTGTAAAGGAATTTGCTGGGATAGAATGCAGCAATACAATATATGTGCTACAAATATCAATGTGGCATAAATCAAGTTACTAATGAATGCCCTACTAGTTTCACATAGAAAAATAGCATATGACATGGATACTAATCACATACTCAAGAACAAAACTAACATCAATGTTAATCCTGTTTAAAACCTTAAACTGGGTCTAGTTGTACAATGTAATTTGTAAGGTATCATAACTATCTTGAAAACCTTCAAGATTTTAACTGGAAGAGATGACGATTCTTGAATAATTTCAATACTTCTTTGTCTTTTTCTAGGTTCTAACCAAGGTCCCCATAGGACATGTAACCTTAATATAGATGAGCAGAAAACTCAGGTATGGACGTGTAGCATTTGTGCGTTGGTTCAAATTTACATAATAAATGAGTTTCTTTGTTAATCTATTGTGGTTTCCCCTTCACAGATGACTTTGTGGGCAATGGCCAAGTCTCCTCTTATGTTTGGAGGAGATGTTAGAACAATTGATGAGACCACCTATAATTTGATCACTAATCCTACCGTTTTAGAAATAAATTATTTTAGCTCAAACAATAGGGAGGTGTGTAAACTTCTTTTCTTTATTGATTCTTGGAATATCAATGTTCAAAAGACTCTCTGATGCATCATTTTGTTGCCCTTGCAGTTTCCTTATGTTAGCAGCAGATATTATTCTAAGAGAAAGGCTTTCACAAGACAATCAAGAAGATCTCCGAAAGAAGTGAGCACATCACATGCTCCTTTTTTGAGTCTTTCCAGCTGCAAAGATCCCAAAGCAAGTGGTTGGTCAGTCAAAGCTTTTGACCAAGATATGGAACAGATCTGTTGGAAGGAGAACTTGGGAAGCCATCAACCTCTATGCTTATACAAGAGAAAATCTCTTCTGACTTTGTAAAGATACTACCTTTCCTCAGTTAAATTCAAAAGCACTATACCATTGTCACATTCACCTCTTTGTGATGTTCTGAATGGCAATGTAGGAATAAAGGGACCATTTATGAGCAAAAGAACCTCCATACATTTGCTAGTGATGGACTGGAGTTTTGCTTGGATGCTTCTGCAAGGCAGAAGCTTACTTCAAAAGAATTGAAGAGGGGTTCATTTTCACCTTGCAGATGGGATTCCAACCAGGTTAATCTTTCTTAATTCTAATTCTTAAACCAATGCAGAAGAGATTCTGGCACAAAATTCTTTTTGAAAAAGAAAAATAGGCAATTGCCACTCTCTTGTCAAAGAAGAGAGAATTAAGTAATTAACAAATAGTTAAAGCAGAAAATTGAAACTCTTGATTGAAAGTTCCTGCTACAAAGTGTAACTAATGTAACAGGTGGGTTTTTGGAAATACTTGTGCTATTTTCATTCCCTGTCAGTCTACTTCTATTTAAATGTCAAGATCTGTGACTTTGTTTCTTATCATTATGAGTTGAACAGATATGGGAGTTGAAAAATAATGGAGCTCTCATCAGCAATTATTCTGGTCTCTGTGCTAAGGTCAATCCAATTAAAGGTATTGTACTTGGAGTTGAAGCTGATTTGCTACATATACGATGCTACCAATTTCACCATAATTTCTAAACATATTTCTCAATGCAGCTAAAACTGTTCCCAATGGAATTCGCTCTTGGATTGCAACTGGAAGAAAAGGTTTGGTTCCTTAATTACCCCTTAACATTTTTTCTTTTTTTAAAATATGTTGCTGGGCTGTATCCCGAAACTATAGAAAAGAAGATTTTGAAGTATTGATTAAAACTCTATGAGTAGGAATATTGATATTAACTGATTTGGAAGGTCTTTTAGAGTGGTAGAAGGGTAAAAGTACTATCATCTTATAGAAAATATGGCATCTCTCATCTATTTGTTATTTTCCTTGTAATTATGATGACACATATATACAGTCTTCAAGTTATTATTGTTCTTGCTTTTTGGAGGGCTCTTAAGACAATCTATTCGCTGCCAATTTCCTGTTCTGATGTGTATGCCACTTTGTAGCTATACTGTACTCGGGATTGATAAAGAACTCCAGTTTTTCTAAAATCTGGGACATCTTGTTTTTCTGATTCTCACTGTTAGAATAATAATGGTTGGCTTTCCTTTTTGCTCAGGAGAGATATACGTTGCTTTTTTCAATCTGAACCCAGAGAAGACGGTAATATTTGCAAAGATATCAGACATAGTGAAGGTATTATCTCCTAGGAAAAGCTGGAGACAAACTTCATGTAAATGCAGAGAAGTATGGAGCGGAAAAGATTTTGGAGAGACGACATATTCAATATCAATAGCAGTAGAAATGCATGGTTGTGCGCTTTTTGTGCTTAACTGTCATGCCGGTGAGAAATGAGCATGTGCAGATTCAATAAAACAGAAATGAAGTACACAATCTGTTGTAGCAATATGTAAGAATTCATATGCTGATATAAGTTGGCATAGCATTGGGTAGTACTCGAAAAGATTTAAAATCTAAAATCGAGACTTCTCGCTCTTTATATTAATAAAAAATTAACCAGAGCAAAGCTTATTACCTATCACGCCATCTATGTCAAAGCATTTTGCAATAACCAAGAATTGCAAAGTTTGTAAGAAAGGCAGTTTTTCTACCGGTCCTTTTAAATCCACCGCAGCCCATCTGTATACACATGTTCTTGCATTGCTAGCTCCATTTTCACTTTTAATGCATATATGTTTTATTATTAAAAGAAGAGGATGAAATTGAGGAAAAAGACAGTTAAAAGTAATAATACAAGATTTGATCGGGCGTGGTGTGATAGGTTTACTTCGGCATCAGCATTTCAACGAAAAAAAAAAAAAAAAAAAACACACATTTCTTGCATTGCTAGCTCCATTTTTCACTTTTAATTGCATATATGTTTTATTATAAAAGAAGAGGATTGAAATAGAGGAAAAGACAGTTAAAAGTAATAATTAACAAGATTTGATCGGGCGTTGGTTGTGATAGGTTTACTTCGGCATCAGCATTTCAACCGAAAAAAAAAAAAAAAAAAAAACCCAGACAATGCATTTTTCCAACAAGTCAAAGAGGCAGTACTATTATGTCATCATCGCATGATGCCATGTACCATTTTCAATCAAATGATCATCGTCAATACCTATTAAAATTGCTTGGCCTCAGCCTCACCAATCCAAAGTGTTTCTTTACTTTATGCCGAGCGGAAATCTGCGGTTTGCTCTTCCAATCTAAGTAGTTTAAACTGTATTTAATTTTGGTAAATCCATTAAAAAAAAAAAAAAAAAAAAACCAGACAATGATTTTTCCAACAAGTCAAAGAGCAGTACTATTAATGTCATCATGCATGATGCCATGTACCATTTTCAATCAAATGATCATCGTCAATACCTATAAATTGCTTGCCTCAGCCTCACCAATCCAAAGTGTTTCTTTTACTTTATGCCGAGCGAAATCTGCGGTTTGCTCTTCAATCTAAGTAGTTTAACTGTATTTAATTTTGTAAATCCATTATAAAACTCCCCACTTGCCCAATATTTTATGACTACCAATAGAATTTTTTCATTCATAATTTAAATTAAACCTTATATAATTATCTTTCTATGAAAAGAAATTCTTAAAACAATGTAATGATTATGGATGGAGCAATCACATCTTTTATGGATAACTAATTAATTATTTTTTCAGTTTCCATCAAAATCACTGCCACATTCTTACTATTTAATAAAATTATAAAATCACTTATTGGTTTTCATTCTACAAAGTTACTTTTAAATATTTTATAATATTTAACTATTTAATCCTTTACGTTTACTGTTGACATTGCTAAGACTCTGTACGTTGATTTTTTTCTCATGGGTATTCTCTCTTTTTATGTTTGGATATGAAGCAACGAAAAAAGTTTTATTTATTTTTTATTTAGAAACGATAAAATTTTAAAGGAAAGAACATGCTATTATTTAAAATTAACAATTGTATTTAATTGGAAATTATTGAAATTTGGATTTAGTTTGGTAATTTCATAAAATTAATAAATTTACGTTTCCTTTCGGTGATTTTATTCCAAATTGGAGGAATTCCAAATATGCAAATTATTGAAATTTGGATTTAGTTTGGTAATTTCATAAAATTAATAAATTCACATTTCCTTTCGGTGATTTTATTCCAAATTGGAAGAATTCCAAATATGCACCTCCTTATTAAAGAAAATTAATTTTTTTAACTATTTACTGGAGCTATTAACAAAAAATACTTCTATCCCACTGAATATATTTAGAAGAATGAGCTTTATCTGTGACTAACTCGAGTTAAATTAGACAATCTTTAATAACAAGATTGAGCTAAATTAAGCAATATCTAGTAACAGGTCCGAACTCCGTGGGTTTACGTCAAACAAAAAATGCTTCTATCCTAATTGAATGAATACTACTTAGAAAAAAAGGAAAAAAATTAGCAGTGTAAATAGCACAAACAAATGGATCAAGTGTGCAATTATGAATTTTGATTCCACAACTTTTCGCGCGTTGTCTCGTGGCAGAATTCTGGAGCTACTGCTACTCTCCTCTCTTCTATCGGCTTGTCCATAAATACGCAAGGACCATTGACTCTTCTTATCACCTTCGCCAACCCAACACAACACACAGACAGATGTTCAACTCAGACGCAGAAAACTGAAACGGCGCGCGGTTCAAGGATATCTCAGTTTTACCTGCTCAACCTTAACTAACTACCCATCGCCTCGTTTTTTCAGTTTTTCTCTTTCCAAACATGACCTCTGCAACCTTCAAAATCGTACTAAATTTCTTTCCATTCCCAAATCACAATAATTCTAACCCTAATAAGAGCTGCAAAATGAAATCCTCTCTACTCTGTAACCACAAATACAGCTCTATTTTAAATCTAAATCCCTCAATTCTGAAATTGAATAGTAGAAGGAATGACTTGTCAGTTTCTTCTTTTGCGGATACCGAGAAACCTGTGGGGTTCACCAACGCCAAGGATAGGCTTCAACGGCTCGTTTCAGAATTTAGGTCTCTAACGGAGCCGATTGATCGTGTTAAACGGCTTTTGGATTACGCGGCTCGGCTCCCGCCATTTGATGAGTCGGCTCGCTCTCCCGGAAACCGAGTTATGGGTTGTACGACTCAGGTTTGGCTTGAAGCAAAAATGGACGAGAAAGGGAGAATGAGATTTAGAGCGGATAGTGACTCGGAGATTACTAAAGGTTTCATTTCGTGTTTGATTTCGTTGCTTGATGGCGCGGAGCCCGATGAAGTGGTTGCGGTAAAGGCGGAGGACCTGGCGGCATTGAATGTTGGCCTCTATGGTAAAGCCCAATCGAGAGTGAACACGTGGCATAATGTGTTGATCAGTATGCAGAGTAGGACCGAGGCTTTGGCTGCGGAGCGAAATGAGAAGTGTCCAGTGGAGCCGCTTCCGTCTTTGGTTGTTAACGTCGACGGTATCAGTGCTCAGGTAGGTAAAACTTTACTCATCACTCTGTTTCTAGTTTTCTTTTGTGTTTATTTGATTTTTTTTCATTCTCCTGGTTTTTCATGTATGTAATCGAGATATATATATTTCAATAGTGTTTAATGTAATTGATTTATAAGTTCCAACACTGATAAGAATTTTATTTCCCAGTTCTTTGAAGTGTTGAAGTTCTTGCAACTGTAAAATCATTTTTTTTCTGCTAAATAAATGCAAGCGTGATCGGTTGAAGGTAGAAGAACCTTTCAGTGTTAAATGCGTATCTCTACATAACTTTGCAATTTAACAATCTACTATTTTAATTTTTAATAGTGTGAACAGTGGTTCACTAAACTATGATTTTGTTGTTAGAGATTTTCTATTTTCTACTGCAGTACCGAATATGTATCGTTTTGAAGTTGCATGATATAGGTGATTCCTTAGTAGCCTAAAAAATTATTGTTGAAGAGTCTTAAGTTTTTAGAAAGAGAAGGTTCCTTGGAGATTTTTTACTTATATTTAAAGAGAATAAAGTTTTGGGTTGACTAATGATAAACCTTGAATGCAGGCTGTTGTTTCATTGGCTTTTCAGTGAGTAAATAGAAGAAAGTCATTCATAGAAGACATTAACCGACAAGGGACTGAACTGGAGGTCTATGTTTTATTATGAAAATCAAGTGAACAAGGAGTATTGTAAAATTAATTTTAATGTGTTGGGGAGTAGCATGTATACCATATAAATGGGTATTTCAATCTGTAAGTTGTGGATTTACGGGGGCCCTTTCAATATGATATGATCCTTTAGCTGGCTTATAACAGCAAACATTTGTTCATATTGAATATGCAAATATAGTGGTGAAATATTGGGTTGGTATATGATCAGAGTGGAATAAATTAATTATCATCATGGTTATACTTCTTGTTAGTCAAAGGTCTTAACAAATTTTTTTTTTGTGACATATGTATCTCTATATGTTATATATAATATTAAAAATTTGATGGTAGGAAATAGTTTGCAACCTTACATGTGCCAAGGGTATGGTTTTGCCATGTTTTGGATTAACTCTAAACAAAAGCAGTTAGAGGTAATGTCCATTACAGCGTAAGTCTGTGTTGAAAAGCAATCTCTATTATGAACTTGAAAATACAAAACTGTGGAGAGAGGCCTCGATGAGAGTTGAATAGTTCATTTGCTATTTGTTCTGAAAATTTCTGTTTGATACCATTATGTGTTAATCAGTGGATTGCACTCGTCTAGAAATTCATATGGATCCTGAACTTAAGAATATGTCACGTGTCTGATTCATACATGGGAGTAAACTTTGCAATGCTATATCATTAGATGTTTATCCTAAAATATCAAGAGATTGCTTAAATGCCTCCAGACACAAAACTCCATGAAATCATTGTTTCCTCTCTTGCGCTTTTGCCACATTTGTTCATATGTAGCTGCCATTGGAAATATAAGCTATCTATTGTTTAATTTACATTTTCAACATATATTGAATGGAACAACAGGGCATGTTAAAATTATGTTTTGAGAGCTTCTTGTTTTTGTTTCAATCTGTATATGGTATCCTGAATATTGTGAATCTTTCTGTCAATACTTTTTTCGCTCTGAAACATGGCCATGGCTTGTTAATTTTCATCTTTGACCAAAATTTGGCATGATGAACATATGTTTACTGAAAGACATTTTAACCTCATGTTAAGTATCAGGTATTTCAAATGTGAGTTTTGACTTGGATGGTACATCAATTTTCTTTGATTGGTGAGATACATGAATCATGAATATAGAAAGGTGTGAATGAAAACCTTATTGAATATGGATTTTAAGTACATATAGAAAGGTGTCATTTCAAATTCATCTCAAACAAGTCTTTAACCACATTCAGGACGCTTATCAATTAAATAATTGGCTAGCTTTCGCTCCAGGGAATTTTACTTTAAATTCATATCCAGAGCCCTCGTTTGAATGACTTCCATCTAAACATAGCGTAAGGTATTATTCATTTTTATCCCAAATACTGACTTAAATATCAGAGGCTTCATTCAAGGATTCAATAGCCAATCAGGTTAAACCCATGATTATGTTTCAACCAGTCTGGAGGCAACTTTCAGGCATTTCGTCCATTCTAGAATTCTGTATTATAAGTTGTTTGATTAGCAACCTGATAAAAATGCAGGTCCGCAAAGAGGTGGAAATGGGAAGTAGAGCCTAGGCATGGGGAAGCGTGCAGCCTAGAACAAATATGGGTTTCTTGAATCTGGGATGGAGGTCAGTGTGTCAATTCTCTTCATTTATTTGGATTCCTTTGCCTTCTAGTTTTGTTTGAGTTGCCACAAGCATATTTTTTTTAATATTCTGATTTTTGCCATTGATTTTCATTACAAAGATTTGTTTACCTAATTGTTAATACAATTGATTGGCAAACTAGCGCTCAACTACCTCATCATATATATGGATGCTATACTAGTTGTTACTGCAATGTGCATTGCTTGTGATACTGTGTGATTTATTCATTTGTAAATATATCTTTTTTTTTGTCTTATTTAGAACTATACTTCAATTATAAATAATAAAGCTTATGTTAAAGATTATCAATTTTCTATATGATTTTTTTCTTATACAAGTATGATTCCATCGAGGAATAGGAATTTTTATAAATTTAGGTTTCTATATTATAGTAGCTAGTCCTTTTCATAAATCGTACTTTTTTATCCATTCAAAGGTCAACCCCATTCTGCGACAGTCTGCGTTTATGCAGACTATATGATGTAATTAAGTCACTCGTTAATTCCTATGATTCTTATATACTGTGCTCACTATAAGAATCTATTCAACCAGGATCATGGATGCAGTGTGCATGGCCTCTCTGGTTTTAAATTTCCGGGATAGATAAATCCTGTTGCTAATTTCCTTCAGCAATGGAAACAAAAACAAAAGCAATGGACCAAAAGTGGCTTCCACCCAAATATATTTCCTCAGGAAAAAGTTCGAGAGCTCTAGATGGAAACCCTAACAATTACCTTCAAGTTGTGTTGGAAACCAAGCATGGTAATTTCAATTGTTATAGCATCTGACAGATTGTTAAATTCCTTCAAACCCTGTTCCAGGACAGAAAATATCAACATTATGCTACCTTTCAGTTTCACAAGATACTGTATCAATGATATCAAGGAACCTTCCAGGGGACTAAATACAAGTGGGATGGGTGATCTTTTGTGGTACCAAGGGGCAAGGTGCTCCATCCATGAAGACTTTGTGTACTGTCCTTTTAATGTTGGTATATATCTTTTATGTTTCGTTGGAAAAGGAAAAAAAAAATTGTTACATCAAACATTATGCACGCATGAGTTGTTAATTGTGGCATTGAATTTGGAATATGCAGTGAAACATGTCTTTGATAGTGATAACCTTTGGGCATGTGATTTGAAGCTTCATTTCTCTGAGATGTCATGTCACGCGATCTTGAGTCTCCCATCAGGGTCAGGATGGTTCTAGTATCAATTTCAATACCTTGGCATCTCAACTATAGTACATAATAATATGCTAGATGAATTATTTAAGCTCTCCTCTAGAACTCTACTACTAACTTCTTGAATCTTGATTAAGAAATGTGTTCCATAGCTTACAGCTGGGCAATTCAACTGTCTGGTTGGAACAATTGCTAACATTGGGTGGTGTGCTGGTAAATTAGTAATGCTCTACATGAGATGCTTTCAGGTACTTTTCCTCAAATGTGAGATGTTACTGTCTTTCAGATTTGAAAACCTGGTTTAAGTTATTCAGCTTTCTGGCTCTCAAAGATTTTATGGATTTGCTTTTGCAGTAAACATAAGGATTACTAATTGTTGGCAAAAGCTGTTAGAAAGCTAGGTTGTTTTCCAAGCAGACGCCAATTTAACTTATCCTCAGGATCCTTCATTAATCAATGGGAACTGATTTTTTAAACAAGCTAAGGAGAATCGACTTCTGAGTTGGGAACCTCACGGGCACGACATTCCTGGTACCTTGATTGCTGATGAAGTCTGGTTTGTCTAATAAAAATAGATACAGCAGACCATTTTTATGCTGTTGGTCTACTCATGTATCTCTAGCTTCATTTTCTATTTTGTTATGCATGTAATGTACAGCTGATGATGTATTATCTTTTGGGGAAAAAGAATAGAAGACGCAACTCTCTTCTGGAGAAATCAAAATTATTTATTAGAAAAATTAGAGGCATCCATAGACTCTTCTCTATATATTTGGTTGTAATTTCACTATATAAAATAAATTTTACAGTAAGACTAGTACTGCATTTCAGGAAATAAAAATTTTGAAAAATTAAAAAAATTTATAATTGATCGTGAAGTGATTTGAATTTTATAAATCAATAATATGCTCCATATAAACAACAATCAATCCATAAAATAAATTCATTTAAAATTTAAATTAAAAAAAATTATAAAATAAATAATAAATACACACAAATCTCTGTAACACTTATTCAAATTTAATCGAATAATTAATATTAGTTCGTTAACAGCTATATGAGCAGTATAATTAAATCAAATACCGATTCATACTTGCGAGTGCAAGATTCCTCAAATAATCTCGATCGTCCATCGGCAAGAAAACTCGAAACTCGCAACTTCAATTTAAACGTAAAGTGGGCCACACCATAACACAGGGCCCTCCAGTATCCAACTTGACAGGCGCCAGCACCACCTTCCGATGTTACCGTGACCACCACTCTCATCACCCGCACGTGACAATAAATTCCTCACCATCAGCCCCTCCCTATCTTAAAAAACTCAATAGCTGTTTGATTTAAATTTTTTTTTCTGAGACTGAAAAAAAAAAAAAAAAAAAAAACTCGGCAACTTCAATTTAAACGTTAAAGTGGGCCCACACCCCATAACACAGGCGCCCCTCCAGTATCCAACTTGACAGCGCCAGCACCACCTCCGAATGTTACCGTTGACCACCACTCTCATCACGCCGCACTGACAATAAATCCTCACCATCAGCCCCTCCCTATCTTTAAAAAAACTCAATAGCTGTTTGAATTTAAATTTTTTTTCTGAGGACTGAAAAAAAAAACAAAAAAAAAAGCAACTAACCCTTACACAAAAAAAAAAAAAAAAAAAAAAAGCAACTAACCCTTACACACACAACAACTGTAACCTTCTCTTCGTCGTCGTATGTTCTCGGAGCTCCGGCTCCCTTAACGGAGCCCAGCTCAGTAATCAAAACCAGTAACTCTGCATTCTTAAATTATAAAAGCTAAGGATCTTTCATTTCCTGATTTTCCGTTTGCAGATCTTTAATTTCGTCTTACTTTTTTTCCTTGTAAGCAATGTCGAAAGCTTGGGGTGCCATCGGCGATTGGGCCGCCGATGTAGAGCGTGAGGAGCGGGAAGCGGCTGCCGAAGCAGCGGCAGCAGCTGCTTCGGGCGTATCCGCTGAGTCTCAGAACTTCCCTAGTCTGAGAGAGGCCGCCACGAAGCAGAAGAAGAAGAAAATGACTCTCAATGAGTTCCACACCTCTTCTGGCGGCTTAGGCACCGGTCGCGCGTTAGAATCTAAAGGTTTAACTCCCGACGAGATGCTTCGGCTACCTACTGGTCCTAAAGAGCGGTCCGCTGAGGAAATGCAGTATGGACGACTTGGTGGCGGGTTTTCCAATTATGGGAGGTCTGGTCCGCCTCCCGGCCGTATGCGTGACCGCGATGAAACCGATGGAGGGTCCTGGGGAGGTGGTAGAAGGCAGTATGGTGGATTTGATGAAGAGCGAAGGGGTCCACCTTCTAGGGTTTCTGACTATGATCAACCCTCGCGAGCGGATGAGGTTGATAATTGGGCAATGACGAAGAAACCACTCTCTTCATTTGATTCCGGTCGTCAAAATCGTTACGGTTCGCTTGGTAGTGGTGGTGGTATGGGAGGTGGTTCTAGGGCTGATGAGGTTGATAATTGGGGAACTGCTAAAAAACCCCTTCCTACTAGATCTTCCACTTTTGGTTCAGGTTTTCGTGATTCTGGACCCGAGCCTGATCGGTGGACGAGAGGAGGAAATCGTGAGCCAGAGCGGGAGAGGCCTAGACTCGTTTTAGATCCTCCAAAGGGTGATGTTGCAGCTAATGAGTCGGTTAGAACAAATAGGCCAAATCCATTTGGAGCAGCTAGGCCGAGAGAACAGGTTTTGGCTGAAAAAGGATTGGATTGGAAAAAGCTTGAGTTGGAGATTGAAGCTAAGAGGACAAGCGCGCATTCAAGCAGGCCTACCAGTGCACATTCAAGCAGGCCTTCAAGTGCGCAGTCATCCAGGTCAGAGGGTCCAGGACTGCAGCAGGGATTAGAGAATTTGTTGTCAAAGCCAAGGCCAAAGGTGAATCCTTTTGGAGACGCAAAGCCTAGGGAAGTGTTGTTAGAGGAAAGAGGTCAGGATTGGCGGAAGATTGATCTTCAATTGGAGCATCGCAGCGTGGACAGGTTGGTTGGTGTTTTATGATGAAACGTTCACCATTGTGATTTTATTGTTTTGTGTAGAGTAGAAATGAAAATTGATGAGCGTGCTAGATTGACTAGTGCGTGTTGACTGTTTGGAAATGCTTTCATAGTTTGCATACTTATTATGGAATCATCATTGAAGCGGGTGCTTTGATTATCTATTGAATGTTTTTCAGTAGTCATAAAACGTATAGCCAACACCCTATGCTATAATGATATTTTGAGGTCTTTTCCAACAATTGAGGGTTATTAATAGTATATGATGTATAAAATGCTTAGATCTCTCTAGCTTTAAATTTTCTACCTTTTGGCGCTAAAAAACAACTGATCATATCCTCGTTCAGCATATTAGGATTCCTATTACTTGATAAGTAGATATGGACAACTAGGTTTTTTCGTGCAGAACATCTCTTGAGATGGAAAAGATCTATCTTTGTGGTGTGAGCTTGTCTTCTAAAACTTATCAAGGATAGTCTGTTCATTCATGTTCTGTTGAATAGGCAATGAAAAGGGTGTTTCTCCTCAATTATGATGTATAAAATGCTTAGATCTCTCTAGCTTTAAATTTTCTACCTTTTGGCGCTAAAAAACAACTGATCATATCCTCGTTCAGCATATTAGGATTCCTATTACTTGATAAGTAGATATGGACAACTAGGTTTTTTCGTGCAGAACATCTCTTGAGATGGAAAAGATCTATCTTTGTGGTGTGAGCTTGTCTTCTAAAACTTATCAAGGATAGTCTGTTCATTCATGTTCTGTTGAATAGGCAATGAAAAGGGTGTTTCTCCTCAATTTTAGGTTTTAGTATTCTAATGCAGAGATATACATGTAAACAATGAGGTCTTGCTCTTTTTGAGAGGCCTTACATCTGTTGACTGGAATCATCAAAGATTTGACCTTTTCGAAACAAATTACCAAATTTGAGTATACTGAATTTAAAATGTAACGAGTTATACTTTAGTTCATCTGCTTCTCACAAGCTTTATTGAGTTCGTCTAGTAGATTTAGATATATCCTTCTCTTTATGGTCCTCAAAAAATGTGTCATTGAATAACAACATATCCATTAAAGGTAGCCCAGTTCTTCTTTTACATCTCATCATACAATATTATTAGCTAACTTTTCCATTGTAAGGTTTTAATTTCTCGGGCCAAGTGTCTGAAGGATACTATTGGAACATGTAAATGGTACCTGCATCACAAAATAGGAAAAAATGATTAGATATACTGATGAAAGCTCATATGGTGTTACTGGCATGCACAGGTGCGCTTGCCCATGCACATACACGTACATGTGTCTATATATATATGGCTATGTGTATATTTGGTAATAAATTTTCGTATCAACTAATACTGCATGCAAAAGTATATGCATAAAATGGTAGTTAATTATCAAGCAATGAATGTTTGTCTATGTTAGTTTCAGAACATGGCTTCCTTTTAGGTGTTGTTTAAGACTTAAGTTTTAAAATGGGATTTTTACTTGCCATCATTTACTGCAATTAAAATGACATATCATCTAATACCCCATGTGAAAGTGTATGCTTGAAATGGTAGTTAATTATAGAATGATGAATTTTTTTGTCCGTTTTAGTTTGAGAACATGGTTTCCTTTTAGGTGTCATATAAGATTTTAAGTTTTTAAATGGGATTGTCACATACTGTACTGCAATTAAACGGAACCTTTTTACTCCAAGTATTTTTTGTGAACAAACTTTTTCTGGAACTATATTTGAGTAAATCTTAATTATAAATCATGGATGTATTGGATTTAGATCCAAATTTGTGTTATATTATATGCTTCATTCTGAAAGATGGTAAATTGGCGAAGGTATCTTTTTGGCTTGTTAATGTGGTTACAGCTTTATGCTTTATATTCTTAGTCACAATGTAAATAGTTTTGTTACTTAAGATCTTGATCATGGAGGAAAATATGGACAGTTATGATGTACCATAAACCTATTCTTGACCCTAATTATGATCTGAATTTGAAGTTTACATTTTGCGTTGCAAATGTGATGCTTTTGTTTTTGGTCAATCAAACAACTACGTTAGACATGCATTTCAAAAATTCATCAAACTACATATCGACGAATGATCTGGCTTAATTTCTCTGATGCCCATGCCAGCACAGCTGGTTGTGTTCTTGGCTTAATGAATTGAAATCTTGCTTTTAGCATAGCTGGTTGATCTTCAGGCAGAAGACTGGCATTTATGGTTAATTTTTCATTTTTCTTTCACTCCTCAGTCTATTCTAATTGCCTTTATTGGTGATATTGTATTTGTAGTTTTCTTCCAAAATTCATCTAGGTTTTTTATATATTTTAGCTTGAAGTACTGTGCAATCTCGGTCCTTTTTCCATTGAAATCTTTTATGTCACACTAGTTTGCTCAATACTGGCTATTTTTTATGGTCTAATCTAATATGCTGCGTGGTCATTCATGCATTCATCTTCAATTAAGCTATTCTTACATCTTCCATTCCAACATATTTCATTTGGTTCTCTGGGGCTGCCTGTGCGTTGTTGCTCCTAATTATCTTTGGTCTACAATTTCCAATTAGTTGCCAAGATGATCTAAGTACTACTGTTTAAAAACACTTATTTCCTGACCCTTTGCTCCATGCACTCTACTTGAGTTATGTAACTTCTAACGTATTTTGAGGGCTTCTTTATTTTGGTTTGCTGCAACTAGTTTTCTCTGTATTTTTTAGATGCTTTCTAATTACATTTATTTCTACCACTTAGCTGATAAATGAAACTCCTCTTTGCCGTGGTGTAACTTGCTCTTATGTGTGATTTGTACTTGTAGTGTTGCTTATTAACAGTACAAATTGTTTCAGGAGCGAAACAGAGGAGGAGAAGTTATTGAAAGAAGAAATAGAGCATTTAAAGGAGCGCCAGAAAGAACTTTTAACAAAAGGTAATAGGGAAACTCTGCAAGGGTCTGATGGAGACCAATCCAATTTACAAGATATAATATCTCTGAAAGAAAAGGAATTAGAGCAGCTCATTCGTGATTTGGATGACAAAATTAGATTTGGACAGAAAGCCGTTGACAGGCCAGGTTCTGGGTCTGGCCGGGGTAGCTTCTCTGAGAGACCATCTTCTCAATCTGGGTCATTTGATGAATCTAGAAGTGTGGAATACATAGATAGGCCTCAATCACGTGGTGCACAAGATGCTTGGACAAGGCCAATTGAAGACAGAAGACCATTTCAAAGTGGCAAGGAAAGAGGATTTCTGGGCAGCAGAGACTTTGACAGGTAAAATATGTCAGTAGTTCCTCCCCCTATTGTTCCTATACAAATGTTCTTTCCTTTTTCTTTTTAGCTTGGGATGATAGCTTGTTCCTGCTCTTTTGCCTTTGAACTTCTTAGAGTTTAGACCTTGGGGGAAGTATACCTTGGATTTTGGTGTTCTGGTGCCAAAATGAGAGAGAGCAATAAGGGAATCATTGAAATCCCTCTAGATTTGAGGCGATAAACTGCTAGCTCAATGGCCAAGTTCAAGGAAAAAAATATTATTGTGGGGAAAAAAATTCTTAACGTAGAAGAAGACAAACGTTTCGTGGTTCTTTTTTGGAAGTTCCCATTTCATGAAATTTTGGAAGTTTGTTTGTTTGATTAAGCTGGGAATTCCTAGTTTTATGGTTTATGAGATGGATAAAAGCAATTGATTATCTTTCTCTCCATCTCAGTGAAAACTACCTTCCCCACTTTTTCAAGAACCTAGAACTAACATTAGTACATTCCCAACTCCTCATTTTTTTTCTCCCTTTTTCTCTCCTATTACAACCTCCTCAGTAGACAAAAGAATACAACAATGCTCTTCTCATATGAGTTTGAAGGGTAGACTGCTCCAAGTTGTTCTTTTAATGCCTTGTTGTCATCTATAAGAGTTACCATGCTTTTTTTTGTGGTAATGTGCATTCAAAGTTAGTACGTAACTGTATTGTTGAAACCTGACCTTTTTTCTGAATGGTTGATCGTTTTGCTAGTTTGTCTGGGTACAACAATAGCATTATCTTTACTAAGTGAACAATTACGCTGTCTTATATGATTTGTTTGCGTTGTATGCTCACCTTCTTTTTATAATTATATTTCTGAAAGAATATATTTTCATCAGAGTGGATATTCTTTATTTAATGCCAGTTACAAGAAAAAGAAAAGATCCTCTAATGCTAATGATGTCTACTGTTTGGTAGGTCAAGGTCAAGGGAGAGATGGTGAGCAACTGATTTGTAGATTCATCAAGTTCTCTCTTCAGCTTTTGAAAACCGGAGCCAAATAATATTTTGCCTCAATTTTACTTTTTTTGTTATTATTGTTCTCTTGTTTCTGCTCTGGGAAATGGAGCAAGGATTATTGAGTACTAGCATTGGGAACGGTCGCGTTAATCTATTGTTTCATTTTGAAACTATGTAAAATTGCATTTTTCCGCCATCTTTCTTCTGTTTGAGAAAACGAGCCTGTATTATTTTGTAGGACTCAAATTTTAATGAACACCATTGGACTTGCTAGTTTAATTTGGTGATTATTTTAAGTTGCTTATATTTGAGAAAGCTACATTCCTTTGTTATTTTTTTCTGGTCCTCTTTTTCTAAATGCTTGAGGTTGAGGATACTTTTTCATGTGCCTCTCTTTGATTTGCTTTCTTTTTGGGCTAATGCAGTAACTTATGGTTAGACGCAAGAACTGTCATTCATGGGAGTTCTTGCAGTGATCCTTCAAAATACGTTAGTTGCATTATACTGAAGCTGCAACCATTGAATATTTAAATTTAATTATTCAAATTTCATCCATCCAAATTATACTTTTTGGACAAAAGGATTAAATTAATAGAACTAAACTTCAAAGATAAAAAGTAATTTTGTTGGTTAAACTGTAAGAATCCGATAATAATTTCGACCGAGATCCAGAAATTAAATCAGTAACTTATATTTGAAGAAATTATAAAATCAATGAAATAAACAGACATGGTGGGGAAGGCAGGAGCTCGACATGAGACCAAATTTATGATTTGATATCGGACTTCGAATACAATTTTCATTTTAATAATTTGATTCCAATTGACATTCAAACTCTGAATCTCCCACTCCTAAAAACAAAGTTTCAAGCTTCAAAGTATTAGATTCAGATACCCTTCCAATGAACAACGCTGGTTGACCAATATCGTTTGTAGCAGTTGCTTGTCTGGCTGCCACTTGGACGGCGATTCATCTACACTTCTTCTTATACAAAACCACTTATTTGGTAAAAGTCCTCTTACAGATTGAAGCGCTATGAATTGGTTAAGACCCATTAGCATAATCAGCAGGAGATGGAAGGGACCGTGGGGACTGAAACACACTCTGCAAGCAGTAGCGATGGCACTTTCTTTAGCGCTCGCACTCTCACTTTTTATTGTGAGAGGACCTGGAAATAATCTTCTTCACTCAAATAGCTGCCATTTCCCGGCCATATTCAACTTTGGCGATTCAAATTCTGACACCGGGGGCAAATCCGCTGCGTTTCATCGACTTCCTTACCCTAATGGCTATTCTTTCTTCAACAAGCCATCTGGTCGCTACTGCGATGGACGTGACATTATTGATTTTTTAGGTTAGTAGATCCTTCTGAAAGTTTTTTAAAAGTAAAGTTTCTTTCTTTATATAACTGTTTGATCTTGATATTAAATTTTTGCAGCTGAGAAATTGGAATTGCCATACTTGAGTGCTTATTTAGATTCTATTGGGACAAATTTTAGACATGGAGCAAATTTTGCTACTGGAGGGTCTACAATACAGCCAGCTGATGGTAACATATTCGGGAGTGGTTTTAGCCCAATTTCTCTTGACATACAGCTTTCACAGTTCGAACAATTTAAGGAAAGAACTCTCGAGCTATACAATCAAGGTAGGATAAATTGTCGCATTAAATATATCTTTTTTCCTTGAATTGCTAATCCCTTTTTAAAGTTTATTGTTTTTCAGTTTCTGGATTCTTGAATTTCAGGCAGAACCTTGAACGTGATGAATAAGCTCCCAAGACCTGAGGATTTCTCAAAGGCACTGTACACATTGGATATTGGACAGAATGATCTTCATGCTTGGATTAAGTTAATGAGTGAGAAGCAAGTGGTAGAATCTCTACCTAAGATCATTAATCAGTTTGCTCAGGCCATAGAGGTAACTTGACCTTGCTTTATATTGCTTCCTCTTTTTTTGCATGGGAATGGAGTATTATGCAAAATGTATATATAGTATCCGCCATCCAAGGCATAAAAATGCAGGCTTGAACTTTGGGTGCATAAGTATTTTCATTGCCTCCTTATTAGGAGTTGGGGAGTGTTCACTAGAATCAATTCTAAAGCAATGTAGAAGATTGGATTTATACCTTGAAATAATGTAGAGTACCTTATATATAAATAAGGATGCATTAATCTCAACTGAGATATAATAAATAAAACTTGGGCATATATTATCCTTATATGCATGCAGCACGTGATGCAAAGTTATATGAACAATATTCATAGCAATGCTATTCTAGATGGTATAGTTCTTCTATTAATGACTTGTCATTGCAGTTTCTTTCTGCTATTGATGGACTTCCAAGGTTCTAATGGTTTGTTTGTTGTTGTTCATTAGATTTCATTAAAGTCATTAAGGGTCATCTAAATTTTTTTTTTTTTTCAAGTATATTTCATATGTTCATAAGAGTTTCAAAACAGCTAAATAGCATACCCAAATTGCTATTTAAACGTCAGAACCAGATAAAATCTAAATGTGTGTTTGGACATAAGTTATCAAGGAAAGGAACACAAAATGCTTATGAGTGACTCTTTAATTCATTCTCTATGTAGTTTTAAATCATAGATTGAGAAATTTTTTTCTGTGATCATCTGTTGCAGAAACTGTATCAACTAGGAGCAAGAATATTTTGGATACACAACACTGGTCCTATTGGATGCTTACCATTTGCTGTTATATTTTATCCTCCAAAGCCTGAAAATAGGGACGAAAATGGTTGTGTCAAGTCCCACAATGATATTGCCCAAGAATTTAACAGACAGCTGAAAGATAGAGTATCCCAGCTAAGGAAACAACTCCCAAATGCGGCGCTTACTTATACTGATATCTATACAGCTAAATATTCATTAATTTCTGAAGCAAAGAAGCACGGTAAGCTTTATCTTTATACTAATCTTGTTTTCATCGTGCAGGAAAAAGTTCCTTTTTGCAGTTCATTTCAAACAAATTTTCTTTTCTTATGTTTACTTCTCTCCTGGCTCTGCAGGTTTTGCTGATCCACTTGGATATTGTTGCGGCCATTATGGGGATTACCGCCTTCAATGCGGGAGAAAGGCGATCGTGAATGGAACTGAAATTTCTGGGGATCCATGCAGCAATCCTGAGCTCTATATTAGTTGGGATGGCATACATTATTCTCAGGCTGCAAATAAAATTATAGCCCACAGTATTCTTGATGGTTCGCTTTCAGAGCCTCCCATTTCCATCAGTGAAGCATGTAACAATGAGCACAAAGCATAACTATCTTTCCATGAGATGGTGACTTTGTTTTTTCTGATTTTTGAATCCAAAATTTAGTCATTGTTGCTTTCTTTATATTGACTCAAATTTTACAATCTAGTAACTGCAAACTAAAACTAAATGGAGAGTGCAATTAATGATGTTATGAATGAAATTTACCAAAATGTGACGTGTATTTTGGCATTTCTTTTTCATATTTGCACATTGTTAAAAACGACTTCACTGGGGATCGAACCCAGAATCTCTGGTTCCGTAGACCAGCGCCTTATCCATTGGGCCATGAAGTCTTAAATATTTAATTTTTATATAGCAATCTAATGAGTGGTTCAATTAATAAACAATACTAGAATTACTTCAATAATTATTTTTAAAGATAATAAATTTAATGTCTTTTAAATTTACATGTTTACAATAACACACCTACATGGTTATCTATGTATAAATCATAAAATCATACAATATAATTTTCTCTTTGCTCCTATTGTGCAATATAATTTGCTTAAATTAAATTATAAATTCAAGAAACAAAAAAATCTAATCATTATTTCCTAATAAACTTTGTTAGAGTTATTTAAGTAATTAAAGTATTTTAACTATCCTATCATGCTTCCACATTATATTTTAATATTTTTTTTATTCATTAATCTATATTATATATAAAAGTAAGAATGAGAGGAAAATAATAAGATTATTTATAATAGCCTCAGTGAAAGTTTAAAAATCCTAAAATATCCTTAGTTATTGATAGTTTGAGTTTATTAAATAACTTGAGTTATTTAAGTAATTAAAGTATTTTAACTATCCTATCAATTGCCTTCCACATTAAATTATTTTTTAATATTTTTTTTATTCATTAATCTAATATTTATATATAAAAGTAAGAATGAGAAGGAAAATAATAGTTATTTATATAGCCTCAGTGAGTTTTAAAATCCTAAAATATCCTTAGTTTATTGATAGTTTGAGTTTATTAATAACTTGAGTTTTTAATAATTGAATAATTAATAATTTTTTTAATATTTTTCTTATTAAATTGATTAAAATATTATTATATTATTTTTAATAATATAATTTTTTAAAGATAATATTATTACTTTAATATATTATTCTAATAAACTTTTGAGTGTTGATTATTTACGACATTAATTATTTCAAAAACTAAATTATTATTTTAATTTTAAATAAACTTTAAAATGAAAAAAAATATAAAAATATCTATCAAAAATATTGTGTCACACATTTTATATATAATTTTAAATTTTTGAATTTTTTTCTTATTTATATCTATTTTTCTATATTTAAATTTTTCATCAACTCAGATTAATATCGAATAAGATAGCAGAATACAGGTAATAGCAATGGTAGGAAACCTTGCATTCTGTCAGTATCAGCCCACTTATCTAATGAATGAGTGGATAAAATCAGTGATAAAAATCCAATTTTCTTTAATTTAATTATTTTTTACTTTGAACTTAATTTACATATTTATAGTTATTTATATATTTAGAAAAAAAATACTAACTAATTTTTCTTACAGTAGAATAAGGAGAATACAAACTCAGAAAATTACGGTACAAAAGATATATGATAATCAATAAAATGATTTGATATTTTTTAGAAATAAAGTTGGATATTTATTATTTCCCATTACGTGGGTGTATTAGATTTGAATATATATGAATTATGGATATTATATTAGGATTAAAAAGGAATGCAGAAATTAACGCCTTCCCTTATATATATATATATATATATTGGATTGGCATGAGTCATGATGACATGGCACTCACCTCTAACCTTTACTTTATATACGCAAAAACCACTGGTTCTTATTGTCTGCATGTAACTTACCTTGTATATAAATATATCTATATAGTTTTCTTTTGGACTGTGCTTTTTTTTTTTTTACCTTATCTCACTTATTATTTTCTCTGTCTCTCTCAGTGATGGAGTCATATCCTCCAATCTCTATAATTAGTATCTTTCTTTTCTTTTTAACTTCAAGTTATTGGAGTCCATTACCATGTTCAGTGGTGGCCACTTCCCTATCATCATGTCATTTCCCAGCAATCTTTAACTTTGGAGATTCTAATTCCGACACCGGTGGTTTGTCTGCTGTTTTTGGTCAGGCTCCTCCTCCTCACGGCGAGTCTTACTTCCACCACCCCGCCGGACGGTACTGTGATGGCCGCCTCATTATTGACTTCATCGGTATTTTCCTATATTCTGATGCTCCTTAAGTTCTTTTGTTCTTACAATATTAATGTAATGAATCTTTTTTAATCATACAATTTCTTCGAATTATCAAATGATTAATCCAATATAAACTTTGATTAATAGAGAACAAAAGTTGAGTGTCAGTGATGAACTGTACCCTTTTCCTAAGTACAATTCACGAGTCGTTGTCCTTTTATCTATCTCAGAAAATAAAATAAAATAATCCACCGACATTATTCCTAAATCCCTGTTTCAATTTATTAGTTTACAATTAGTTTTATAAAATTCAAAAAATAAGCTTAAAACCTTAAAAAAAATAGCTAAAAGCCAATTCAATTGAGCAGGTTCAATTCAGTTTCTGTATATATTATTCAGTTCGATCCGGCTTTTCTTTCGAAAATTTTAGTTTGTTCAGTTTGCACTGATTTTTTTAACCGAGCCTACCAATGAAATTGTTTACTTTGTATTGATTTTCAGCGGAAAGCCTTGGATTGCCATATCTAAGTGCGTACCTTGATTCAGTAGGCAGCAACTTCAGACATGGAGCCAATTTTGCAACAGCAGGTTCCACCATTAGACTCCAAAACACAACTTTAACCCAGAGTGGTTTTAGTCCCATTTCTTTGAATTTCCAATGGAATGAGTTCTATCAATTTCACAACAGATCTCAAATTTTCCGTCAAAAAGGTAAATTTCACCATCTAAACCTCAAATCTCTCCCCATTTTATTTAGACTCGGTTGATTTGGTGCAGGTGGAATATACAAAAAGTTGTTGCCTAAGGCTGGTGATTTTGCTCGAGCTTTGTACACCTTTGATATTGGTCAAAATGATCTTACTTCTGGTTATTTCTTAAACATGTCTACTACTGAAGTTAGAGCTTATGTTCCTGAAGTACTCAGCCAGTTCAAAGACATTGTTTCGGTTAGTAAGTTAGACATAAAATTTTCAATAAACTTAACTGATTTAGTGACAATGTTTGCATTTTTTAACGTTGTAACAGTATGTATATGGTCAAGGAGGAAGAAACTTTTGGATTCACAACACAGGACCTTTTGGTTGTCTTGCTTATGTATTGGACAGAATTCCACTTTTAGCTTCAGAGATTGACAGAGCTGGTTGCGGGATTCCATTGAATCAGGTAGCAAAATATTACAATCATGGATTGAAGAAGGTGGTTACCCAATTGAGAAAAGAATTGCCAGAAGCAGCAATCACATATGTTGATATTTACTCTCTAAAATATAGTCTTTTCAGTCAAGCCAGAAAGTTCGGTAAGTATGATAATAATGTCTTATAATACGAAACAGGGCGGAGCTAGAATAATTATTTTAAGAGAGCCTGATGAAGTTATTTTAAACTTTTAGAGGGATCAAGTATAATATTTCTATATTTCTTGAGATGACATGAACCCCTTCAGCCCCCAAAGAGCTCCGCCCCTGGTAAAAGAAAAGTATTTTAAAAATTACAGAAATTGAAATGAGATTGAAAAATTTGCAGGATTTAATGAGTCATTGAGAGCTTGTTGTGGACATGGTGGGAAGTATAACTACAACAAGAATATTGGATGTGGAGGATATATTACAAAAGGTGGAAGACAAGTTTTGGTGGGGAAAGCATGTGAAGATCCTTCAGTTTGGATTAATTGGGATGGAGTTCATTTCACTCAAGCAGCAAACAAATGGATGTTTGAAAATATTAAAGATGGTTCATTTTCAGACCCACCAATTCCATTAAACATGGCTTGCCATAGGCACCCTCTACATTGATATTTTCATGTCATTTTTCAGCTATTTCTTTTTTTTTTTTTTTTTTTTGGCAAACAAAATGGATGTTTTGAAAATATTAAAGATGGTTTTCATTCAGACCCACCAAATCTCCATTAAAACATGGCTTGCCATAGCACCCTCAATCTGATATTTTCATGTCATTTTGTCAGCTATTTCTTTTTTTTTTTTTTTTTTTTTTTTTTGTACCAAATGTGAGAAACAAATTTAGATTATTTGATGAAGATAATCTAATTGCATGGTTTTCATTTTTTTTTCTTTATTAATTATTAATTTTTTTCCATCTTATATACGAATATGGAAAGTCCATTTTTTAGTTAGTTGTTTATTCCAAAATTTGGTCAATGGTAATAGAAGATATGTTTGTTAATTAATAGAATTTACTGTAATTCATTCAAATTTCAATTTCCTCGACCGTTGCCAGAAATAAAGAAACAGAGGAAAAGAACACAAGGCCAAAAAAGAAAAACAAATACAAAAGATCCCAAATTCTGATTCTCTCGCTCTATCCATGGAATTGGAAGCACATTGTTTAACACATATTTTCTTCAATGTGTTCTTCTTAGCATTATCACTTCCAAATCTTATAAGAGTATCAGAAGCATCACCATGTGATTTTCCTGCCATATTCAATTTTGGAGACTCAAATTCCGACACAGGTGGGCTATCGGCTGTATTTGGGCAACCCCCTCCTCCCAACGGAGAAACTTACTTCCGCCACCCGGCTGGCCGGTACTCCGATGGCCGTCTTATCATTGATTTCATAGGTACACTTGCTAATATTTTTCCCACTTCCTTAATTAATGTGCGTTTGGGGTTTATATACATGTTTTTTTTTTTCCAGCGGAAAGCTTGGGATTGCCATATCTGAGTGCAAATCTGGAATCGGTGGGTTCGAACTTCAGCCATGGAGCCAATTTTGCTACAGCAGGATCAACAATTAGACCTCAAAACACAACCATGTCTCAAAGTGGATACAGTCCTATTTCATTAGATGTCCAATTTATTCAATACTCAGATTTCCAAAAAAAGTCCCAGAAATACTATAATCAAGGTAATTAATTATTAATTATATGAATATTCTCTCATTTTCAATTTGTTAAAATGATGTTTAAACTAATTAATTATTACACAGGAGGAGTGTTTGAAAAATTGTTGCCAAAGGCAGATTATTTCTCTAATGCTTTGTACACCTTTGACATTGGCCAAAACGACCTCACTGCTGGTTACAAGCTCAATTTCACTGCTGATCAAGTAAAGGCATTTGTCCCTGATTTGGTAGCCCAATTATCTAATACTATTAAGGTAAGATAAACATCAATCCATCATTTCTTGTTATTACGTGTGTGTTTTTTTTTTTTTTTTTTTTTTTAATTTATCTTAATACTTATTAAGGAAGAATTTATAACACTCAATCATCATTTCTTGTTCTATTACGTGTGTTTTGTTTTTTTTTTTAAGTTTAAATACATTATCTTCTATTGCTCGGATCATAAAAGTGATATTTTCGTTTAAGCCGTTCATCTACCAATAGATTTTGATATGTCAGACAAAACTAAAAAAGATCAAAACACTAGATCAAAACAAATTCAAATTGGTTTATAAGTATTATATTACATACTATATTTTTTTTTTTTTTTTTTTTTTTAAGTTTAAATACATATCTTCATGCTCGGATCAAAGTGATATTCGGGTAAAGCCGTTATCTACCAATAGATTTTGATATGTCAGACAACTAGAAAGAGATCAAACTAGTCAAACAAATCAAAATTGGTTATAAGTATATTATTATTACATACAAAGTCAATTGAAGATGTTAAAATTGATAACATTTAATTATAGTTTTGTTGGTAATTATAATATATATGCAGTCGGTGTATGCTGAAGGAGGAAGATCATTTTGGATACACAACACAGGCCCAGTGGGCTGCTTGCCATACTCTCTGGACAGATTTCTAATAACTGCAGCCCAAATAGATAAATATGGGTGTGCTAGCCCATTCAATGAGGTTGCTCAGTATTTCAACCATAAATTGAAACAAGCTTTGGTTAATCTCAGGAAAGATCTTCCTTTGGCTGCCATTACTTATGTTGATATCTACTCTGTCAAATATACTCTAATCACCCAAGCCAAAAAATTTGGTAAATAGCTTGCCAATTCCCATTCATGTCCAATAAAAATATTTTCATTGTTGAGACCTCCTAATTTTGATTTTTTTTTTTGTAGGGTTCAAGAACCCTTTTGTAGCTTGTTGTGGTCATGGTGGTAAGTATAACTATAACACATCGGCAAGATGTGGAGCCAAGAAGATTGTGAATGGCAAGGAAGTGACAATAGCTAATTCTTGCAAAGACCCATCTGTTAAGATAATTTGGGATGGAGTCCATTATACAGAGGCAGCTAATAAGTGGGTTTTCCATCAAATTGTGAATGGTTCTTTTTCAGACCCACCAATTCCATTAAAAATGTCCTGTCACAACAGAATGTAATGTACCATTAATTTTACTTTTTCTTCTCTTTAATTTTATATTTTTAAGAAAATGTAATGTAATATATAAAAATATCTATATTTGAAGTCTCTGCTCTCATAAAGCAGCTATTTCCGAACTCATTATTCGTAGGTCATAAGCCTCAAATTTTGACCTAGCAAAGTTACTCATTTGATTGAAAATTGCTTGGCAATAGAGTGGAATGGACCACTGGTTCACTTTTGTTTTTTCAATTTTCATCTTCTGAAGAGCTTTCCAAAAGTTGATTGAAGAAAGAAAAAGCTTTATTGATAGGTATTTGCATTGTTGGCCCATTTTGATGTGGATGGTCCACCACCAAAGCCCATTATACTATGTAAGATATCAGCATGGAAAAGGAAACAAGAACTATAACCTTTTATTATCCTTTTCGCTTATTGTTTTTCCTTTTGGGTATGTCCTTTTTTATTCGCCATTTTCTTTCTAGTTTGGTATTCTTTGGATAACTAAATTCTACTACCTAAAAAGAACAATAATAATTCCTTTTTTTTTTTACATTTTAGAAATTTTAAAATGAATATGTTTAAATTAGAAAAAAAAAATTATGAAACATAAAAGAAATTGTTGATTTGTACATATAATGAATGAAATTATGATTTCATTTCTTTTAGAATCCTAATTTTTTTTTTTTTGCTTTTTAAAAAAATAAAATGAATTATACTTAAAACTCATTTATATCTATAAACTTTGCATAATATCAATACTCAAAATAGCCCCGATTGTGGAAATAAGAATTATACCAGACTTACCTACATCGAAAAAAAAAACAGCATAATTCCAATTTTCTTTGAAAGGTTTATCATTTATAATCAGCCTTTCATCTCCCTACTCCCTTTAATTATGAGGCTTAGATCATTTAGTGGATTATAAAGTAAAACAATTACATAAGAAAAAAGATTTTGCACCATGTATGTATATAAATTTTTGTATTTTTGGGCAAGAAAAAAAAAAGAAAAATCTTTTACATGCTTCCATCACCATTAACTGTATATCATCCCAAACAACATCTATCTAAGCCATATTAATTCATTCAGACACATACAAATAAATAGCAAATACAATAAGTCTTATTATTATCAGGATATTGGATGATAGCTATTATGAATTAGGAAATTATTGAACATAAGTATGTGATCCATTGATCTGGCCTGTCAATCCTTGTCCAGTTATGGCAAACTTCCAGCTCTCATTGGGTCCATATGTTGGCCACCATACCCAACCTCTGACCATCCTCTCTCAATATAACCATGTCTCTCTTTTTTTTTTCTCTTATTCATCAGTAGATTCGATGGGTAGAAATCTCCCCAACTCATTAAATTAATGAAAATACTCATAATTAGAGAAGAGAAGACTGATATAAGTGAGAAAATCAATTAGATCGGACTTAATTGACACCATGTCTCTCTCTTTAATATCTAGGATATGATATCACATATTGTTGGATAAAAAGTAAACAACTTAACTAAATGGAAATATAACTTAATCAAATACATTTTTGAGTCAATTGAAATGAAAAATATACATATAATTATATTAGATTACATCATTAGACAGTTATATGCACCAAAACAAAATTATTCTACCTTCCAAGTGTATAAAAACAAGCAAAAATTGGATGATCCACCTCCATTGTCATCCCAATAAGGAACTTCTTGATCAGTCAACAATGGCATTGAAGAGGTTGATGGAGAAGATGATGACGATGATGAAAGTACTGGCTTAAATATAAACCGACCATGTCTTGGACCGGAACCAAATAGCAAATCATGTACATCCCAATAAACTTCTAATCTTTTTTTACTAAAATCAATTGACTCATTTCCTCTGAACTTCCATTGGAGATGCTTAACTTGAATTTCTAGTTTCCCATCAACTATTATCTCTAATTGAGGATCAAACCCACCAATATAGTTGCTGTTACTAGCACTACAATTGTTGCATTCGATTGAAATTTCATGGAATTGTTCTTTCTCATGAAATTTAAATCTTGTTCTAAACCTTTTCTTACCAAAAACATGTTCTTTTCTTGAAATCAAGATTGGATCAATAAGGGCAGGCCTGCAACGAGTCTTTCGATATGCATCTTTCTTTAAATCACCAAGAAGTAAAATAACTTCACCTTCAGAGACTATAGCAACATAGTAATCTGATTGTGGTTCTGTTTCTCCATTGAATTTTGCAGCCTTTAGGTCCCAAACAACCTCAACAGCCTTACCATCCACCAAAAACTGCTTGCAGCCTTGTTTTCTCCAGAAATACCATGGCTTCAATTCTATCTTGAATTGGTAGCTTTCGCCTTCTTCATTGGTTGCCTGAAAAGAAATAGATAGGCCATGAAGCAAAAGGTTCTTGTACCATGTGATTGTGATCAAACGGCAGTGGCTGGCTAATTTTGTCCTGTAAACTGACATAAATACACTCTGGCCTGATCTGGTTATCATTGCTGGCTCATCTGTATGCCTCTCGCTAGCTGAGAAGCAAGCAGGGATAGCTAACGAATCATGCATGATTATAACTAATTCTCTCTTTTAAATAGTGAGACAACGAATATCAATTATAAATGAAGAAAGAAACAAAAAAAGAAAAAGAAAGGACTGCAAAGTCAAGATTTTCTCTATAATCTGCTAGATGGTTTCTTGAAAGAATGAGAGTATCAAGAAAGCCTTAAACTATAAGTTTTGAAGGTGGAGGGGATGAGAATGAGAGAAAAGCAATATATTTAAAATTATATTCAGAAAGTGTAAGTTTCATTCTGTTATTTATTTATTTGATCTCTTTTACTTGTTCCCTAGTCTCACCTTTTTCCACCTTCAAAAGTGGATTAGTAGTCTCAGTCACAGGCTTTATCTTCAGCGCACATCATTTCTTTATCGTGTACGGTAAAAAGCAAACAAAACCTTTCATTACATAGGAAGTCCTTGAGAAAGTGTAATCTCAGAAGAAAGGAAAATAGTTAGATGGTGGGGAATGCGGGATTTGGTTTAAGGTATAAGAGCATGTGGGTAGGGTAAATGGAAGCTGATTATTGCATAATTATGGTTATCTTGTATGTTTTATAATTTCTTCCATTAGAAGTTTTGGACAAATGTGGTTAGGCAAGGAATCTAAAGGTACTGATGGAAATAAAAACTAAGGAATATAACTTGATGTTGCAGATCAGGTCCAACACTTGGTCCCCTTCAATATTCCTAATCTGAATATTGCTAACTCTTGGCAATTTGAATTTCAAGAACAGGCATATTGGCCAACATACAACATAAAATATGCTACCAAAGTATAATTGTACCCACTTTTGGCATAATCACCTGTTTTTTAGCATAATACATTAAGGGAAAATTTTCAGACAGCACTCATACTCTGTAATTAATTGATTAAATAAAGCTCCTGCAAATTCTCTCAGTACAAGTTAAAACATGAACTTACTAAAACCTACACTAGTGTAGATTTAGTTCAGATATGTACAGGAGATTAATGATTTAGCATCATGCTAGATTAATTCACATTATTAGTTGTTACATTTGAAGTGGTTCAAATCGATTATCATCACCGTGATGTCATCCAAACTACCTCTACTTACAGCAAGGTTCACAAGCTCTTTACAAGCAGACACAAGCCCCATAGACGCAGATCTCTTCTTATGAACAGTGTTTTCTTTAATAGGGGAATCATTCTTGACATTTATTCTCTTGACCAGTGAAATTCTTCTTGACTTTGATGGAGGACTTTCATTTTCACATGCAAAGTTATCTTGCATATCTTTCCAGCTATCAACTGTCTGCTTATTGCTCGGTGAGTGTTTTAACACTTTTTGCTGCTTAACCAGAGAAACCCTTCGCAACTTTGATGAAGGACTAATATTTACACACCCATAATTAACATCATCATCTTTTTGAATATCTCCTATAGATCCCATTTTCTTCTCAGGCATGCATAAAGCAATCACAGTATCTACAGCTTCTTGGTTCCCAACCTAGGCCACGAAATCACACTATGAAATCAACAACCACACAAGGCTATATGGATTCTGTTCGCCAATTTCATGCAGAAAAAGGAATAGTACATATTAAAGCAATAAGAGAAAAGTTTGCGATGGTTGAATTTAGGTAGTCCTAAAATATTAAGCCAACTTCAATGACGGAGCAGCTCTTAAAACATCGGCATATTTTGTTGCTTGATTCAGTTTTCACAAGGTGAATATAAAGTTTAACTAATGAAATATGAACTAAAACATCTGGCATTAAGTTTATGCATAACGGTTTCCACAAGGTATTCTGCAGCTCACCTCTTCCCACAGTCCATCAGAAGCTAAGACAAGAAAGTCCATATCCGGGGTTAGTTGTAAGGTCATTGTGTCAGGCTCAGCCAGTACCCACTCCTTCAGATGAGCATCTCCAATGCTTCTAGAAACAGAAAGAACCCCATGAACTCTCCACGCGCCTCGATGGATCTCAACATATCCTCCCTGTATTGAAGTATCAATGCGTGAATATTATTAGTCATCATCCACAACTTCTCTCTTGAGCTAACTTACCAAATTTGGCTTTAGCATAAAAACTACCTTATCCTCTATTCGTTTTCGTTCGTCCTCCCTTTCTGCTCTATGATCTATTGTAAGGGCTTCAGCTACTCCTCCTCTACAAAGAACAGCCCTGCAATCTCCAACATTAGAGACAACAACCTCACGCCCTTCAATCAAGGCTGTGACACAGCAGGCACCACTGACTAAACCCTGCATTATAAACGGAGGAGGTAAGCATAGCAAGAACAAGTTGCAGCCTTTCCAGCTGCCCCTATCCCGGGCCCCGGACAAGCGCATTCCGGTTTTTAGTGATATACATCAGAGTGCATGAAAATGGAACAGAATGAAAATTGGTGCCAAGTTTACATTTTGAACTAGCCATCCAGAGGCACCTCATTGAATTAGAAAATTCAGTTATGGAAATTTAGTGTACAAATTTTAAAAAAAATAAAAATAAAATTCTTTTTTTTGAAATTTTAAAAATTCAAAACTTAATATCATAGAATTGAAGAATTATGTGTACCAATCAGAAAATAAAATGTGACTCCTAAATGGGATTCGCATAGCCCCACTATCACATAGTCTGATCTGAATTTGCTTAAATGAATATTGATGTGGGCATGTCCTTATTAAGCACTACGAGGTTTGGACTGACAATGCAATTATGGAATTCAGATCTCTTTTCTTTTTTTTTCTGAAAAGAGATTTTCAAACCGTTTGAACGAAGAAAAAGGACTTTGTACAAGACTAGGAGGAAATAATTCAAGTTCCAAAAATAAATTACTGTTTTATCATTAAATTACAAGCAGTTTTCTTTTTCCAAACCAAAACTACCAGCAGCATTTGTAGACCGAGAAGAACTCTACTGTAATCCAAGATTTCCAATTATGGAAAATCAACCATGAAATCTTCTTATTTCTTTAAGAACATTATGTTATATAAACTGACAGATCATGATGAGTACAGAACTTCAACTACAATGAAATAAAATCTATACTAATCGTCAGGAAGGTTCCTAATCATCAATCCTTTCATCAGTAAGAGCTAAATAGCATCTTTTGCTACTGATTGTTGAAAATAGTGCATGATTAACCAAACATAACATCATTAAAGACTCTAAACAAGCAAACTGAAATATGAACTCGCAAATATACCTGTTTCAAGAACTCTTGGTCTGTTTTCAAGTACCCAGCTTTAACAGCATCTTCTTTGGATATATTTCCCGCAGAATTTGACATCATTCCAAGGATGTTAGTGTGCAAATTATCTGCAACATATTCTGCGGCCTTTTTCCCTCCATGCCCATCATAAACTCCAAAAAATCCCTGCACATTTACATTACCAACGAACGAGCCAAAAAATAAGAAAATTTTAGAATAAAAGAAAAACCCATCGAGAAATAGCGTTCTTTTTTTAGTAGTTTTACTTGATTTGAGCAGCCATTTATGCAAGAAACAATCTTGTGAGCATCTTCCATGAACTTTTTCTTGCCTTTAATAGAGGAAACTCCGACACCAATTCCACTAAAACATGAAGGATCATTTCTCGGGGTCAAATCTTTGAATTTGACTTTATCAGCCTGGATTTCTTGTAGCACATTCGGAATCTCAATCTTGGGTGGTCTTTTTCGCTTCAAAGAAGAAGAAACAAGAGAAGTAGAAGGCAGTTGCATGGTGGATGTTGTGTCCATTATGCCAAAACAGAAGAGAGAAAGAAGACAAAGAGCTCCAACGGCTATAAAAAAATGAAAGAGAAAGAGAAAGGAGAGGAAGAGGAGGAGAGAAGTGGAGTGAAGAGGAGCCAAAGTAAAAATAATGGAAGGCAGTTAGGGTTTGGAGGGGTCAAAGGAATATCTTTAGCAGCGAGCCGTTAGGAAAATTGGTCAAAAGTTTGAACATTTTGTTGTTTGAGAGATGGAGGGAACTTGTGATTGATTCAACTATTTTTCTACTTTCCGCCAATTAATATTTAAGATGTGAATACAAATTTGGCTGCTTGTGCTTGAAAATTATAAACTAGAGGACATGTCATTTATTACGTAATAAATAGTGTTTTTTATAGTATTGATCATTTTATGTATTTAAAAATAATAAATAGCTATTAAATATTTCCATAAAAGGTTTTACATTAATATTTTTTATTCATATATTAACATATAAATAGAAAATAAAAATTCCACCTTAAAATATATAATGATATATGATAATTTATGAAAAATTTATACACTCAACTCAATGGCAAGAGCTGAACTAAACTGTAAATATTTTTAGGGGCCAAAAATGAAAATAGAGCAGAATTTTAAAATTTTGGAGGGTAAATGTGTACCTTTCAGAAAAAATTAATAAAATTTAGAGTGAAAAATAGAATTTAAAAAGTTATGAGATAGTGGCTCTACTCTATACATGAGTGGGTCCCACGGTTAATGGACATTTTATATTTCAACCACAATTAAAAGAAATTATGAAAATGCGATCAATTTTTATATGTAAATGGCCTAATTTGAAATTATTTCCGAAGATTCGGAAGCATAAAAATACTAACAAATGATTTTTAATTTTTCATCAAATAGAAACGCAGTCGTATTACAGCTAAAAGAAAATGATCTAACGTGTCATGATTTTAGCTTCAACTTCAAAAGAAATCGCCAAATCCATCGCCAACCGCACGGCTGGGCTCACATTTCCTCGGCGACAGAAACGATGCTCCTCTCCGCCATTCGTCTCCAGACGCCTCTCTGTAATCCCAATCACTCTTCCACTACCGCTGTTTCTACCACCACCAACCTCCTCTTCTCGACCACTAAGTCCCAACTCGCTGCCGCCACCTCCTCCTCTCTAAGACCACTCCACTTCCTCACCACCAATCCTTCTACTTCCTCATCCTCTTCGCTTAACACCAACAGTACTAATGTCAGCAGCAACTCCGTTCTTCAAAATCCTAACTTGCTTCATCATGTGACCCGCACGCTCCCCGATGACGAACCGGAAGGAGCAACAGAGATGGTGTCCTCCGCCTCTGCCGTTGCTTCCGCCATTCGTAGAGGCTCGAATTCACCGGTGGAGTTTGTGCAAAGGATCGAAGAGGCTGAGAAGAGTAAATTGGTGCTGCCGAGTCCGGACTTTCAGAGACTTTGTACCGAACAGTTGGACCTCTTTCGGAGGGTCGTTGATCCCGAAGCTATCCTTTCGGTCAGTTATTTTAGTGTTTTTGCAAAGAAGAAGATGCAAAATGAGATTTCAAATTTTTTTAATAAATTACATTCTTTTGGTGTTAATTTTAATTATTAGTGTGCAGGTCTATGTGAGACCGGCTGGAAGTTATGTTATGGACCGTTTGGAACTGCGTAGAATAACGTCTTATCCAGGAGTGAATTCGTCTGATGTGATAATATTAGTTGGTAATTTTAATATTCCCACAGGGTTACGCGCAGCTGAAGCTGCACTCTCCAATCAACAAGTATGTTTTCCGTTTTTGTACTCCCACTCTGTGCAATTGATTGTTGAGTGGACTTAGAATGAATGTTGAATGTTGTATTGTAGGTAGAATTTATGCCTGAGCACAGGGCTATGGTGTTTCCGATGGTTAAACATCCATTTGTTGTTGGGTTCTTGGTGGCTGAGTTACCCATGATGGAACCAAAATGTGGGAATCTGCAGACTGAGAAGCCTGAGCATGATTTGATTCACTTGCCATCTCCAGAGGAAGTCTATGCTTTGCCTTCAAGCTCAGATAAGAACTTGGGGGAAATTCAGGCTTTTAAAAACGAGCCATTGAGTATGTATAGCTTTACGTCTGAGCAAAGATTGAATGCTATCAATATCTCTCGCTCTCTAGCTACGGCTTATGTTATGGATCAGGTAGCCTGCATTTTTTCCTTGCCTTTCTGTATAAAGAGTGGTGGATCTTATTCATATATATTTTTATTTTTTTTGTCACTTTCCTAAGCTCATTCTTTAAATGCCGGAAGATGCTTGCTCAAATGCTTGTGATTTTTCATGTTATGCATGTGTTCTATACTTATGCTATTTGAAAATTTGATGCATTTAACTTTATTTCTGTTATGACTACCAAGCTGACAAATTACGGATGGAATTTTAGTCTCCACATTGTATTTGTAGTTTTTGTTTGGAAAAACTACTCTGCACATGCATTCTGGCTCTACTCAATTACGGTCTTTAGGATCCTTTTCAGTTGCTTCCACTTGGTTTGTCCTCATCGGCTTGCATATGGTTTTGTATTCTGCTTGTCTATTTGGAAACTGATTCTGTGTACTGAACATTGGGAGTTTGGGTGGTTTTAGTCTTTTCCTGGTCTCTATTAATTTAATGTTCCTGCTCTATTCCACAGAAAGCCCTGTTACTTCAGCAGTCATCTTGGCAAAATAATGTCAGAATCAGTAATCTGGTCGAACAGGTAAAGTGTTTTACATGCTATGTTTGCATTTAGTTTTTTCTGTAACCATTTAATGAAGATGTCGTGATTTCCTTTTGGTCAAATTTCTCACAGATTCGTGGTCCTCTTTCTTGCATTCAAACTTTGAGTAAACTATTATCCAAACACATGAAGAGAAGTGAGGTATATTCTTTTGTATTATTTGGACATATTTCTTAAGTTCCTATCCTCCATCCTTTTAATGTTATATTCATGCAGGGATAATGTGTTCTTGCAGATTTCTTATGATATTGTTGGAGACATACTTGTACAAAGTGATCGTATTAGAGATACTCTTCAAGAACTCCAGGATGCCGTTTACTTGACGAAGGTATACTCTCTCTCTCTTTTACATATTTATTCACATGCATCAAAACTTACATATAAATCGTCTGATGGTATAGTCTTATAAATTCCTTGCCTTTCTTTTTGGTATTTTGTTATTTTTTTTAAAAAAGAAAAAAAAAAAAGAAAGAAAGAAAGAGAAGTGTTCCTTTGTGTGATTGTTTTGTTTCACAATCCATTGCTGTCAGAATAACTAAGCGATGCCTAAAAGTTCTCTTTCGTGTTGATTTTTTTGTAGGCCAATATAATGCGGTACAATGCAGAGACATTAAAAAAAATTCAGAATTCCACTTATCACCATCATGAGTCATTGATGTCTCAACTATCAGATAGCCTTCCTAGAGAGACTGGCAACGCCGATGATTTGCAATGGTCCAGAGAACCGTCTTCTCTAAATGCTGTACCCGAGGACATAGAGATGCCTTTGCCACCTTTAGCTCTTGCACCCCTTCGACAACATGGAATAAGGTAGACTTCCTTTCATAAATTCCTCAAGTTGTGTGATACAGGGCTACTATGTTTCAGTTAGTATATATATGCCTTGGGATGTAGTACGCTGGCATTTGTTGCAGGCACTCGACATTTCATTTTCTTCATCTTGCTTATGCCTGTAATTGTGTCAGGAAGACCATGCAATGTTTCTGAGGTGCTGTCAGATTTGGTTCAGGCAGTGCAACCCCTTGCTTGTCATCAGCAACGCAGTGTAGAGCTCACTAATTGTCAATCTTTGCAAGTTGCTATAGAAGAACCAGCTTTACGCCAGGCTTTGAGCAATTTAATTGAAGGTGCATTACTGCGAACTCATGTTAGAGGCAAGGTTGAAATTGCTTCTGCTGAAGCTCCTGCAGGTGGAGCCCTCATAGTTATTGATGATGATGGCCCTGATATGCACTATATGGTAAGAATTGAATATTTTCACTCAGCTGTCTTTTCTTTATTCAAATTAGCTATTGGAATCTCCTGAATTTTCTTTACTCAGTTCATCATTTGCCAGACGCATGTCACCACTGTTCACCAGAGTTACATCACATCCTTGTGCAATATGGAAGTATGATGCTTTGGCCCAACAACCAAACATTGAATGAATTTATTCATACTATTTGAGAAAATTGAATGCTTAGGAAATCATGTTAGTTCATTTATAAGACTGTAACCATGATGGGAAAAAAAGTTTGATAGAAAGTACATTAACGAGAATCATAAATTAATGAGGCCTATTATCTGAAGTCGCATCTGTAATGATCTTTCTTATGAGGTTCTTGAATAATTAAACTGTTTTTCAAGATAGAAAATTCAAAAATAGGTTGAAGGACTGGGAAACTGAAATACCAAGTGTAAATTTCTGGCGTCAATTGGGACACAGCCTCTTGGGAAGAGGCGTTATTTATCAATTATTATGCATTACTTTGAGTCTATTATCTAGGAGGCTTTTATTGCAATTTTATATATGTTTCATTGCATTGTAAATGTTTTCCTTTTGCAGTATTACAACTCTGATACCTTTCTAGTTTGGTTTTGGGAGTGCCAAAAATTTTCTTTCGGACTTGAATACCAAAGTACTCATCTTATTTTATGATATGTTCTATAAGTTTGAAGATACCCTTTTTTTAAAGAAAAAATGAGTCTGAAATCCAAAACTTCTTGGAACACAAACAAGGGGATAAAGCACTGAATCCTGAGCACCTCTTTCATTCTTGCTGGAGGATTATAACAGAAGTAGAAAACCCCCACATTTAGTTCACCAGCAAAGCTGGCAAGGGAATCCACCCTTCTGTGCCTTAACTATGCAAATTAGTTGAAAAATAAGAAAGAACATCTCAGCGTCATTATGAAAGAACTTTAATAAAAGAAAATGATAGGTCAGAGAGCATTGCATTTATTACTTTTATTGTGGTCCGTGACATGGTGTTTTGTTGATAAATACACCTGCAGACGCAAATGCATTCACTCACACCATTTGGAGCAGAGCTTTTCACAGAAAACATGATTGAAGATAACATGACATGGAATTTTGTTGCTGGACTGACTGTTGCTCGTGAGATACTTGAGAGTTATGGCTGTGTTGTGCGTGTGATATCACCCCGGATCGCAGATGCAGCCCTTGGAGCTGGTGGAACCAGGTTAGAACTCTGGCTTCCTTCCTTTACAGCATTATCTGACTTAAACAGTCTTGGTCATGAGGCATAGAATGTAATAAAGAAACTGAGCCTTTGCCTAGTTTGTGAGAGAATAAAAAAATACCTTTATAAGTTGGTCATAGAGTTGAGAGCTTCTTTTCTCTAATACGTTCATGCCTGAAATTTGAGGGGATTCTGTATAGGTCTGTTGTATTCTTACTGCATATGCAGTGATTTGTATGTAAATAAGAAGTATTCCAATGTGTATTTTATAATATAAGCCCCTCAAATTCATAGAATTTTATGATTACTGTTCTCTGTAGTAGAAGATCAACCTAATATTTTGAGTTTGAACATTAGATGCCATTAAGTTTATTAAGTTAGGAACTTTAGTAAATAAAATATTTAAAAAAAAAAAAAAAGGAAGAGAGAAAAGGTGTAGGAGATGTATTGTTTGACAGGATAGTGCACCCAACCCATCACATTTTGTGTTAATCTCACCTACAAAGTTGAGTTGGATTTGTAAGTTAGAAGCTATAAAAAATTTTCTCCACCAAATACATCTTCCCTTTTCACCTACAACCGAAGCCAACCACACCTAGCAATCAGCTAGAACACCCCTTCAATTTCTTTAGGGGAAACTTGATTAAAAAGTGGCCATTTGGATCGATTTGGGTTTGTGGTTACCTTTCACCTACAAACGAAGCCAACCACACCTGTCAATCAGCTACATAACTCCAATTTCTTTGGGGAAAAAGTGGGATTTGGATTTTGGTTTGCCTTTGTGGTTAGCAATTTCTTTTTTTCAAGAAAAAAGAAATGGCATCAATTCTACTTCAATCTATAATATATTGAAGGATATTATTATTTGCTATGGATATTAGCAAGTGTTTTTGCCTTTTTTTTTTTTTTTGTTTTAGTTGACCTAATTTTCAGATTATATTAGTTCTTTTCTTTCTTTTCAGACCGACTACCAAGTATCTTTCAAAACCCAACCGTCCAAGAATAGCTAACAAGCCTAACATTAAGAATCACTTAATGGGCAATTGGCAAAAACTATTTTATTATTATTATAAGGGCAAATTAACTATTTAATCCCTTTCCTTAATTATATCTTTATCCTTCTTAATCTTACTTGGTAAATACATCGATTAGTCCCGATGTTTGGCCCTGTTAAATTTTTTTATCCTTTTATTTAACAAGTTCTATTTTAAGAGTGAAATATTCTATAATATTTTACTATTTGGCCCTTTCATTTATTATAATTTTACCCTTTAGCATGTCATATATCTATTGAATTACATTTTTTTGTCTCTTACTTAACAATAAAAATAATATTTTTTGATTAAATAGTTTAACAGAATTAATTTAAGAATCAATGTATTTATCAAATGAGGACAATATTGTAATAAATAGCAAAATTTGAGGGACTAAATTATTATTTATCCGTGTTAGAAATCTAACATAAATTTGCAGCCAATGACCAGCAAGTAATGGCCGTGTCTGTGCCGTAACATTTACAGTCTGACGAGGTCAAGTCAAAACTGTCGCTGTGTCTGTGCCGTAACATTTACAGTCTGACGAGGTCAAGTCAAAACCGTCGCTCTTTCTCGGACACACAATAAACCTCTGTCGTATGTTCTACTTCTATAATGTCTCCGCGATTCTTTCCTCCTCGATTTGCTCAACGAATTAGTATGTTTGGGATTAATTTTAGACAAATTAATAAATTGGTCTAGAGTTAGAGTTAACATGTAAACCTCTATTTTTAAATGCTAGCTATGAAGTTTTTAAACGATGATTTTATTAACACTTCGATCCTTCTATCCAAGATAAAAATATCAAAATGTTAACGAAAATTGTAACAGAAGGATTAAAATATTAATAGGAGTCATAAATTAGGAACCCCCAAACTTAGTTTGATTATGATCTAGAAACAAGTTTTCGGCCAATTAACAGTTAACGGAGTTTATTTTACATAGAATGACCAACGTGCTAATGGAATCATAAATTAAAAATTTTATAATTAATTTTTAAAAATATAAGTTTTATATATTTCATTTTACTATAATTCAATGATCAATTCAATTTTAATATGATTAAGTAAACAACTCTTTAAGCTTATTTTTAATCAAATAATAATTTTTAAACATCATTATTATTGTGCCAAATATGTGTTTTTTTTTTTTTTTTTTTTCGTGCTAATGGAAATCATAAATTAAAAATTTATAATTTAATTTTTTAAAAATATAAGTTTTTATATATTTTTCATTTTACTATAAATTTCAATGATCAATTCAATTTTAATATGATTAAGTTAAACAACTCTTTAAGCCTTTATTTTTAATCAAATTAATAATTTTAAACATCAATTATTAATTGTGCCAAATATGTGTTTTTTTTTTTTTTTTTTTTTTGGTTTAACAAACCAAATAATATGTTTTTTAATGGCCCTAACGCATAAAAATTTGCTTCTAATCCTTATGGCAAATTATAAAGTTCTTCGAGATATCATGAAAATAATGCCTCTAAAGTTTGCAAATTTGTTTTTAATAAATAAATATGTTCAAGGATATAATTTTTTTTTTTTTTTTTTTGGTTAACAACCAAATATATGTTTTTTAATGGCCCTAACGCATAAAATTGCTTCTAATCCTTATGGCATTATAAAGTTCTCGAGATATCATGATATGCCTCTAAAGTTGCAATTTGTTTTATAAATAAATATGTTCAAGGATATAATGGGTCTTATGCCAATCATTACCATAAATTGTATCCATCAATGCTAAGGTACGTTTGTTACTAAAAATTATAAATTTAAAGGGTACGATTATTGTTTCTCGAAAACTTTAGAATGACACAAAAAATAAAACTCTAAAATTTAGAGATTATTTTAACCATTATATTAGACCTTTTAACGAATTTATATATATAATTTTGAAAGAGATTTTCTAGTTTATTTAGCTTTTTATGATTTTTTTTTAAAATTCGGAAAGAGAATTTGAATTTGAATTTATTGTTAAGTTATACATAAACTTACTAGTAGACTACACTGTAGTGTGAAGACTCTATGAATTTAAACATTGAAATTAACAATAAATAAACTTACAAGTGTCATTTTAAAACTAAAGTTAAAGTGACGTGGCCCATTAGAGTGGTGGTGAAGATGACACTTTAAATTTCATTAGTCCTGGTTTGAATTATTAGCCGGAAAAGTTATCCAGCTCTTTCATTCAATTTACTATTAATTAATTTATTGTTCAAAAGAAAAAACTTTTCCCCATTTTCTCCCAATCATTTATTAGACCGTTAGATAATCTTTTAATCATCATATCAAATCATTATTTCCAGGTTTATTATGATTTGTCAACCAATGCTACTGAAAATAAATATAAATTTCAAAACAATGTATAATTTTTTAAATAATTATTGTTTTTATAATTTCAAAACTCTATTAATTTTTTTTATAATCCATCCTTATTTATTTAGTTGGATATTTTATATCTTGATTGCTCTTAATTTAATTGGATATTTTATAAATTAATTTTTGTCAGTTGCATTTCTTAATCCATATCCGAATTAAAAAATGATACTTATTCTGAAATGGAGAGAGAGTATATATTAATAATCGTCTTCTATGTATACTATTTACATAATTATTTTATAAAATTTATGTATAATTGTAGTCTAACAATTATTATGTAATTGTACGGTAATTATAAATTATTATTAAAAAATCAATTCATTTAAATTTTAAAAATTAATAATCTCAATTTTCAATCCATTTCAAAATTTATCTGAGCTTCTCCCTGAATATCTCTCTCTATATAGATTGATTGCTTGGGATTGAAATATATACACATATGGTTGGTTTCTATTTTAAGATTTTAAATGATAAAAACAAAAATAAATACAATAGCTGTAACTGGCCCTAGTTGGTTTACATTCATGAACTAAATTTGCAGGAATTGGTCCATTTTAATTTCTATGGTTCTATTTGGATTCAATTTTCATTTTGTTCTCAATAAAAAAGCAAATCAATTCGTAATCTGATGATAACTGCATGTACGACCTGACAATAATCTGGTTTAAATTCCTCCTCTCCCAATATTAAAAAAAAGGAAAAAGCTTTAATATATTCCTTTATATATTATTCAAAGAAAAAAAAAAACTATATTTATCTATCTTTCTAATTGTGGCTTTCTTTTCAATGCCAAATATTCATTTCATTGATGCTAAATTTGCCATGGTTTTAACATTAAATTATGTTTTTTTTTATATTCTTTAATTTATTTATAATAAATTCAATGTACAGAGAATAATATCATAGGCTACACAGCAATCGATTCACTGAATTGATATTTTACTATAATATTATATTAAAGTGATATTTTGCTAAACGTTACATGTTGATATTAAATATATATTCTAAAAAATTTAAAAATTAGTTCAATTAATATGATTGTTTAATTTTGTTAACACTTTAAAACTAAATAAGAAAAAAAAAAGAAAACTTCCCTAAAAACATAATGCATGAGATTCTACATTATAATAATATTAATGGATAATATTTGAATGGATTTCACAAAATCCATGCTTTGAAATTTTATTTAGTGCTTATCAGAAAGTAAAATTCATAAATTTAAAGATTATTTTTTACATAAAATTAAATGGTTATTGACATGATAATGGAAATTTTTTTTTAATTTCATAGATTTTAGTTATCTTTTTATCCAAACAAAGAAATTTAATAAAGTCCATGAATGTTTAAATTCTAGCAATAATTATCAATTGTAAGAATCAAAAATTAATTTCTAGACCTCATAAAATATTTTTAATTATTATTAAATTTGAAAACAGTAGTTTCTTAAAGTTCATTATAGATATTTAATCTTAACAAGAGTAATAGTATAATTTTAAATCTCAAAATTATAAAAAATAATTAAATAATAAATAATAACAACATGTAAACACGCTATAAAAAAACTAATTAACTTAAAATAAAAACTAATCTAATATATTTGCAGTTTTTCTCTTCAAAATATATATATTGTTTAAATTTTTTTTTTTTTTTTTTTATAATTTCCAAGTTAACTGAAATCCCAAAGTCTCCATTTGGTTTGGTACTATTCCAACGTGCAAAGACAAAATCAGAAACAACAAAGAAAAAGAAGCCAAGCAAACAGGGAAGAATTGAAATTTCTCTTTTAAATCTTAATTATAGTCAACATTGAAACCGAAGTCATTTAGCTTAATCTTTCTTCTTTGGTTAATTGAAATTAATTTCAAGATAATTACTTGTCTTTACTAATAAATCAAATTATCAAAATTAAAAAGAGATTGAACATTCACCTCAGAATTCTATACAAAAGGAAAGTCCTTTCATGTTGTTATTATATACATACAGGAGACGAAACAATTAACAGAAAATAGATTTTCCAAATCTACTTGCTCTGTGAATCCCATATCCCCAAGAATATATAAACAAGAAAACTGAAAAACAGAAACCACCACCGAACAACACCAACCAACACATATACCCTTTCTGTTTTTCCGGTAAAATCTACTTCTTGTTGGCTTTTTTCAGTGCGTTTTCAAACTTGAAAGGCGATCACGAGTTTTTTTCATTTTTTTTTTATTCTAACTACTCTTTTTAGAGCCCAGATTGAAGTGGGTTTCTCGTGATTTAGTGGTTTATGAACTTCTTCTTCGCCTGATCTTGCTTTACATATTGAGAATCTCCTTATTCAGGTGCGTTTCTTTTTTTAGGATTCAAATCTTGTAATTTTTGCTCAAAAAAGTAGCTTTGGTTTTATGTTGAGCTACCAGTCAGCAATTCTAAGCTTTTTGGTCATTTCTACCTTTTTATCGTTCAACTTAAGCGAGTACAGTTGTTTTTCGGGCTCGAATCCAACACCGGGGATCTGGGTGTTAGTTGATTACAAATTATGGTTTTGCAATTATTAATCATAAAAGGGCACGAGGGTTGCTTAATTATGTAGGTAAGTAAATTTAAGGATTTGAACTGGAGGTTTTTGGGTCTTTAATGCTCGGTTTATTTTGTCAAAGTATCCACATGGTTGCTTCCTCAATATAGTTACTTTGTTGAGGTTTATGAGGAAGAAGAACATGTATCTATCATGGTGTTTGAAGAAATGTTAATTAATAGGAGAGTGTTTTTGCTATTGGGGTTTGATTCTGAGATAGCTAGTTGATTTCTAGGATATATTTGAGAACCAAGGATTGAAATATTATGGAGTTGCCAATTGGTAAAGTCCTTTGGAGTTACTGACTTCTGGGAAAGGAAAGGAGGAATTCATTATCTCTGTTTCTTGGCAACTCTCAGTTCCTTAATTTTTGCACGGGATCTTTACCTTATAAGAGAATGCAAATCTCAATGTCAATTGTATGTGACTAACGTACATTTTCTGCTCTTTCAAAAGTTACAAATATATTGATTATGCTGTTTGATTTCAATTTGGATTTCCTTGACCTGGATTCATAAAATATGTTACTGGACTGATACTGATATCCTCATTTCCCTTTATACAGGTTGGACTATCAGTTTTATGAGAATTGGCAATTGAGGACATATTAAGAATCACACGGCTTTTGCTGCTTCCTTTCAGACCCTTGTAAATAGAATGGGAATCCTTTCACGAAGGTTCGCGTTTTCTGATGGTTGAGCTCAATTTTTCCCATATGTGTGTGTGTGTGTGTGTGTGTGTTTTCCTGAATTTGAATTTTTGCTTTGCTCTTTTAGAAATTTTAATTCGATCTAGGTATCACTACAAGTTATATATTTGAATATTTGCATATTGGTTCTGCAGTATTGTTAGTAAAAAACCAAATGAGACGATGAGGCTTATTGTAACAACATTTCTTGGAGTAGTTTTTGGCTTCTTGATAGGAGTATCTTTTCCAACATTGTCATTGTCTAAGGTATGGAAACTTGAGGTTCTTTGAAGCTTTTTCTCATTGAAACCTTTTTGTTTTTTCTTTTCTTTTCTTATATTTTTTTCTCAGTTTATTTCTCATGTTTATACACAGTTATGCTTATAATTTTTTATCACATCATACGTTTTTTTGAGCTAGAGATGACAAATCATAACATCTTTCTTAAATTTGGCAGCTGAATATCTCATCCAGCCTTCTTCCTTCGGCTGATCTCTCCTACGTAGATGACAAAAAATTAGGCTTCTCAACCAATTCTTGGTCTTCAAGGAAGTATAATGATAGCACGAAGCAGAGGCAAAATCTGAATGACACATCAAAGGTGGGTACCCTTTTCCTTATCCTTAACATTATTATGCTGTTATACACTAGACTTCTTATGTTTGAGGAGTTTTTGTTGTTAAGGAGCTTTCTGGTCTGTCAATTGTTTTATTTGTTTTAATTTTAAAAATCAGGTCCGTAAGAATTACAAGTCTTTTCAAGTAGGAAAGAAATAAAACTAGTTATTCTTGTCAGCTTCTTAATTTTTTTTGAAAAAATCACTAGTGCAGACCTGCTGCTTCATATTTAGATCAGCTCTCTGTTCTTGATGTGCGATTCATAAACTTAAATAGCATAGTTTTTACAAATTTTATATCTTTCTTAATTGACAAAGATTGTTAAACATTAACTTTATCCATCCCCAATGTTGACAATTTGAGATCTTCTGTTATAGGAAGTCTGAAGTCTCTCAAAACCAATTTCAATGAAACTCATTTAAACGTTTCTATCTCGTTAGGAATGCAGGAACCGGTTCCACTTTTCATTCTAAGTCATCTAAACATTACGTATCTGAAAAAGAATGCATTGTTGTGAAATTTGCTGCTCCAAATATGATTTTTGTGTTAGATAATATTTGCATCCTGAGCAGCAGCATTCTCTTTACCCCCCACAAAAAAAAAAATCAGCTTTATCTGATACCAGGAGTAAAGAAAAGAAAACCAGGAAATAAATGAGTATCCCAAATTTTCCAGGAAATAAATGAGTATCCCAAATTTTTTCTCACTGATTATATACTTGTGACTGCTCAGATTTGGGCCCCTTCCAATCCACGTGGGGCAGAAAGACTACCGCCAGGAATTATTGAAGCAGAGTCAGATTTCTATTTACGCAGACTGTGGGGTAAGCCTAGTGAGGTGTGTATTCTACCATCAGTGTTATATGTAATATAATTTACGTTTTGAAAGGCTTGATCTTACTTGTGAAATACCTACAATTCTCTAATTGTGGTGGCTGTAATATATACTGGCTGAGAATTTTGCTTTGTTGCAACGAAACAACTTCTATGATTTATGTTGATATAAAATTTCATGGACTTGCCGAAAGGCAAATGCTAATAGGACATGGGAGTGATGAGGGAAAAATACGTTTAACCAGGTGATAGTGACCATTAATTGAAAGCTTGAGACGTTTGATCAAAATTTACATCTGCAGGACTTGACCAGCACCCCAAGATATCTGGTAACCTTCACTGTTGGTTATGATCAGAGAAAGAATATTGATGCAAACGTCAAAAAGGTTAGTCCACCCTGTGTGTGCACATGCATTCATATGGCATGAGCTCTCGTTGGCATGTATTTAGAATGTATCTGAATATTTCCCTCTTGCAGTTTTCAGAGAACTTTACAATCCTCCTATTCCATTATGATGGACGGGTGAGTGAATGGGATGAATTTGAGTGGTCCAAGCGGGCCATTCATGTGAGTGCTCGGAAGCAGACCAAATGGTAAGGAGCATTTGCAGTCTTAAGGTGAAAGTTATAGTTATTTCTGGCTTGTTTGAAAAATGATTGTAGGTTAAAAATTCTGCTATTTTCTATTAGGTGGTATGCCAAGCGTTTTCTACATCCTGACATTGTTGCAGCATATGACTACATATTTATCTGGGACGAAGACTTGGGAGTTGAGCATTTCAATGCCGAGGAGTGAGTATCGGATATAATATATCACTTCAAATACATTTTACTCAATTGAACTAAGAACTTATTATATTACATTCTACTCAATTGGACTAAGAATATATTTATGCAATTTAGATATTTGAGACTGGTGAAGAAGCACGGCCTGGAGATTTCACAGCCTGGTTTGGAGCCTAACAAAGGGTTAACCTGGCAGATGACAAAGAGAAGAGGTGATCGTGAAGTTCACAAGTAAGGTTATAGGACACTCTATGTAATTTCTTAAAAGAATAATTATGGTAGTTGATGAGCTAATTTGTTATCTTTTCCTCTGAATTCTGTTAGGATAACTGAAGAGAAACCAGGCTGGTGCACTGACCCATATTTACCACCCTGTGCAGCGTATGTTATTATTATTATTATTCTTCTTGTATTATGCTTTTGGTTGTCCTACTATAATTCATCCAACAGCCTTCTGTAAATACAGCTTTGTTGAAATCATGGCTACAGTGTTTTCCCGAAATGCATGGCGCTGTGTGTGGCATATGATTCAGGTAAAAATTTTTTGCGATAATTTCCTTCACACTTTTTAGACTCCTTTCTATCTCTATTTATTTCCCCTTTGCTTGTGACACTAAAGCTTTATTGGCTTACATTGGCACTTGCAGAATGACTTGGTCCATGGATGGGGTCTTGACTTCGCACTTAGAAAATGTGTAGAGGTAAGTAGCCTGCTTGGGTCTTCTTTGATTTCTCACAGGTGATTATGAAATCGTTCTGCTAAATTACTTTACTCTTGAAAATAGCCTGCCCATGAGAAGATAGGAGTTGTAGATTCTCAATGGATAGTTCATCAAACTGTTCCATCGCTTGGGAATCAGGTAAATGAATATCACAAGCATCATTCGATTTCCTCTTCATCTCCATTTTATTCTGCAATGTGCTGGAATAAAATACTTAAAACATTGGTATTTTTGCTAGGGCGAGTCACAAAATGGGAAGGCACCATGGCAAGGGGTATGTAAATCATATTTTCATTTTTGGTTAAATTCTCTTTTTCTTTTTAATTTATTTTTTTTGCAAAGCTTTATGAACCAACACAGCCCAACCCCCCCCCCCCCCCCCTTGAAAATAGCAATGCCCGGATGAGAAAGGATAGGAGACGCTCTGTAGAGTTTCACTCCAATTAGACAGGTTTAGTTCATCAAACTGAGTAGCTCGCTTGGGAATCAGGTTAAATGAATATCACAAGCATCCATATCCGATTTCCCCTCTTCACATCTCCATTTTATTCGAATGTGCTGGAATAAAATACTTGAACACATCTGGTATTTTTTGCTAAGGGCGAGTCACACCAAATGGGAAGGCACAATGGCAAGGGGTTATGGTAAAATCATATTTTCATTTTTTGGTTAAATTCTCTTTTTCTTTTTAATTTATTTTTTTTTTTGCAAAAGCTTTTATGAACCAACAAGCCCAAGCCCCCCCCCCCAAAAATAAAAAAACGACCCCCCCCCCCAAAAAAAAAAAAAAAAAAAACGACCACCGCCTCTCCTTCCCCCTCCTCTCTCTTTCAATTGTGGGGAAAAATTCAAGCACTTGAGTTCTTCTGAGTCACTCGGTACTTCGTAGCCATGTGCCTAATATAATGGATAAAGATTTTGTGCATCGGTATATTCTGTAAGATCATTATATAGAATATTTTGTATGGATTTGCATTCAGCAGCCAAGTACAACAACAATACTATATATATACTTCTTTTTCCCAGTTTATGTTGTGCGTGTGCTGGTGCTATCCTTCCCAAACAAACATTCTCCTTGAACAATTATAACTTTGCTTTTATAAAGTTGCAGCCATGTAATTGCGACATAAGTTGTTATTTTCATCAACTTGTATGAAATATGCTGACCTCTCCCTGCTGTTGGCAGGTGAGGGAAAGGTGCAGGAAGGAGTGGACTATGTTCCAAAACAGGATGGCAAATGCAGAAAAGGCATATTTCAAAGCAAAGGAGCTTGAATCTTCAAATTCTACTGCTAATTAGGGGGTCAGATATTGCAGAAGCTGAGTGTACACAACCATCATTACAACATACCTTCACTTGAAGTTTCAGATACTTTAGTATAATCTGTTATTGTAATCAAAAACAGTTATTTATCATCACTAATGATAATTCTTGACCTTTGAACCAAAATGCATTTTGAATCCATGTAGTGTTATCAGGAAGAGGAGAGTAATTAATTTCTCTTGTAAAAATAATTTTGTTTATTTATTAGTTCATTTCTCCTTTTAAATCCTTTTGCTTTCAATTAATCCACACTTATTTATTTTTTTGTTGTTTATGGTATCAAGAAATTTTACTATTTACATAAACTTTAATCATTCTTGTGACTTGAAGATTTACATTTTCAAATCATGGAAATTATGTTAATAACAATCTTTTAGATTTTTCAGGTTATGGAAAAAGGAATAAATATAAATACAAAAATGTTAATTTCGTAATGTTTTTTCCAATTGAGTTGGATTAATTCGATAGAAACAGTAATGTACAGGTCCTGTTATTTTATTTTTGAGGTTTTGCATGTGATTAGAAAAAGTTAGTGGGTTTTGAATTGTTGTCCGGAAAAAGTTCGCATGCAATGATTCACTTCCTTTTAGGTTTAGCCAATAACCAAAGCAATAAACAATTTTTTTTAATATAAAAATATTATTATGCACGTTTTTGAATTTTGATGATACAATAACAATTTTATATTTGAGTTTTTGTTTAAATTTTATTTTATAAATAAAAAAGAGAGATTCATTTTATTTCAATATAAATAATTTATTTTTAATTGAATTGATTGAAGAGATTTGTTTTTTCTGAAAAAGAAAAATTTACAGCTGATGCAATAAATATTTTGGAATTTCTTTGCAAAAAGTACAAAGGTTTGAACGGTAATATCAGTCAATACTTGACAAAAGTTAATATCACCCACGCAAAGAACGGGAAAGTGAATAGTCCCCCACTGTCAAAATTGCCTATTCTTCTTCTTTTTATTATTAATTTATTGATATTTTTCAAAAAACTTTTGCTATTCTCAAAACTCAAGAAATATATATATTTATATATAATAACTTTTTGCTATTCTCTCAAAACTCAAGAAATATATATAACTTTATATATATTAATATATATATATATTTATATATAATATATATTTATATAGAGTTTTTTGATAAAAAAAATATTATTATTATTTTTTTAATCAGGAGATTTAATTTCCGTTGAACCCTGAAGCGGAAGAGTTGATGTGCTTATTAAAGATGGAACTTGTGTTATTATTACCATCCTAGAGAATGCCTCGTCGGTAAGCAAGTGTCATTGTTAGCGCGTATAGGCAGGACCAAAAACACAAACAACTCATGAAAGAAATGGGAAAAGAAATCAAAAAAAGCGCTGACGGCAGACGCGGCTCCCAGGAATCAAGAAACTTCCGCTCCAAACCTAAGGTGCCACCAGTAGCCACCTCCTTCCACCCATAAAGCTAAAATGCACACGTGTCCTCCCATAAGTTACTCGTCTTTCATTTCCTACACACATCAATCATTAACCACTATCTCTTACAAGCCCTACACGTGTCACCCACGTGTGCCTCAATCTCGGTTAACCCAACTCAACTCAGGTCAACAGTTCTGGTGGTTAGCCACTTTATATTCATCGGACCACCAACCTTCTTGTTAAATATTTGGAAGCAACAAAAACAATTGCTCTCTCTCTCTCTCTCTCTCTCTCTCTCATAAAGATAAAGAAAATTTAAGCAAAGAAAAGGATATTTTATTTTCCTTTGTGAGTTTTTCTTGGAATTAGGAGGTGGAAAAATTAAAATCACTAGATGGGTCTTTCAAGCTTTCCTAGTGCAGCAGAAGGAGTATTACCAATTTTGGTAATGAACACAGTTCTATCAGTAGCTTTACTGAAGAATATGGTAAGGTCTTTGCTTCAAGTTGTGGGTGCTAATTGGATCCCACAAGATTATGAACAAGACCCAGATGAGTTCCCTCGAGAAAATGCAAGAATGAGAACAATTTCAATTACCCAGTTCAAATCTTTGACTCCCCACAGTAATGGTGGCGGCAGCTGCAGCGGCGGCAGCCGCGGTGCTATAGTGGAATGCTGTGTGTGTTTATGTGGGTTTGAAGCTGAAGAGGAGGTGAGTGAGTTGTCTTGCAAACATTTCTTTCATAGAGGGTGTCTGGACAAGTGGATTGACAATAAACATAGTACTTGCCCTCTTTGTCGATCTATTCTCTGAAATTTATAGAATTTTTGGTCCTAAAATGGATGTTTAGGTTTTCTTTTTTTTTTTTTTTTGGTTTTGTGCTTGATTTTTGAGCAAAAATATTGAAAGGATGGTTGTGTATTACATGGAAATCTGATAATCTTGCTTTTATTTCTTACAAGTTAATTATAACACGTCCTATATTTTTGTTTGTTCAGTATACATATAGTAGCTTAGTCTCAGTGTCACAGTGAGTACGGTGGCAACTAACACCAACATATAAAAGCTTTTGCATGAGGAGCGTCAAAGTAATTAAATTATGTAAATTTCAATAAGATATTTTTAGTTAAATTAAATTAAATTAAATTATTATTTGCCTCATTTAAATATTTTCATTTCAATAAGTTTCCCTCAATTAGTTTCTAATGACAATTTTATCTCTAGTAATTTATCATTAAAATTAAATCAGAAAAAGAAAAAGAAAGGTGATGAAATCACTTTTAGGAAATTATAAAAAAAACAATTAATGTTGTTTTATATTTTTATAGAAGATAACAGATAAAAATAGAAAAAAAGTTTAATTAATAGTAATTTTTCTAAAACAAGAGACAATTATAAATGTAATTTTTTAATTCAATTGAAGTCACAGTGTGCTCTTGAATTTAAAAAATAAAATAAATAAATAAAAAAGTACAGAGAAACTCTAAATTGGAAGCTTCTAATAAACTCATAGACAAGGATTGGAACTATGGAGAAGATTCCACAAAGTAATGGACAAACAATGTGAGCTTCTACGAAGTTTCTCTTTGTACCATAATACTACCATTTATTTTTTATTTTTTATTTTTTATTTTTTTGGGTTAGTTAAAATCAATGAAACAGGTAAATGGGCCTCACTCCTAGTTGAAGCCTGCAGAAATTGTTTACAAAGCCCACTTGAGAAAGCATTTAGGTAAGCATACAGTCCAATGGGCTCAGGCCTTGCGCACTTGGCTGCACTCTTATTTTAACAATTTAGATAAAACTTTTCAAATTCAATAATTATTTTGACTTATTTATTTAGATGAAATATAAAATATTAACATTATATTTTAATTATCCATAAAAGAAAAAAATCCTAATTCAAATGCATAAATAAAATTTAAAATTATAATTTGAAAAGTACAAATTAAATAATAATAATTCGATCTCAAGCAAAAAGAAAATAATAATAGTTGAGAAATTTGTTAATTTTTTAAAAAATAACCTATTTTTTTAGGTTTTTATTTTATTGTATAAGTTTGTGAATATTTAAATTTTTCTTCTTTTTTTAAAATAGAAAGTCATTTTTTTATAAATGGCTTAGATTTCTCTTTGAGCATCAAAACAAATAAAAAATATTTTAAAGTAAATTATCTTTCAAAAATAAATAGAATCTAAAGGCCAAACACTATTTAATTCATATCTAAAAAGAATAAAATAAATTACAAAACAAAACACCATTAATCCAAACACAATCTCCGTAATGTAGGATAAGCTTTAATTTATTTATATTAAACTGTTCAATTTTTTTGACATAACCGCTATTTTATCAATTTAATTTATATCTCAATACCATTTAAATAGTTTGTCTTTAAAAAGTAATATAATTGTTAATTTGTCCAATCTAAAATATTAATTTACTCCTTTAACTATTAAAATACAAATTAAATTAGTATTATTATGAATGATTTAATTAAATATATTATCTTAAATATAATTAAAATAAATTTTAGAATATAAATTTTACTTTAAAATCACATATTTCATTTTAAATTTCATACTCCAAAATTCAAAATTTCAATTTCAAATGAAATTTTAGTTTAGAATATCCAAGTATTCCAAATTAAACTAAATTACACTTCTACTTCAAACTTTCTATTTAATTAACATACATTTTCATTGTTATTTTGATAACTTAAATTACTTTTAAATACTGTTAGCCAAACATTTTTATCATTCTTCCAAATCACGTTAATTGTTAAAACACAAAAGGATAGCATTAGAAAAAAAAAAAAAAGAAAAAAAGAAAATAGCAAATAGATATAAGTAATGGAATTTTATTAATGATCCAATATACATTCAAAATATCATATAGACAAATTGTCAATTTGATAAATTGCAACGTTAGATCAATAAACACAAAAGGAGAAACATTAACCAATACATAAGGTCTGTATTCAGTCTACTTTTTGAGTAGAAAATTATTGTGTATATGCTTCAGTATTGGCAAACACAGATAATACTCAGCCAGCGTTCGTCCACTTATTATATCCAAACTTTTGATGCTCAAGCTTAAGAAACTCCTCAGTTACAGCATCAACACTTTCTTTACAGATTTCTTGATCACCAACCCTAACACAAACCTTTGATCTCTCATATTCTTGAACTCGATTATTCCTCCTGAGAGGATCCACAAAGGACTCATATGAGGCCTCCTTGTTGTTTGGGTGATTGGTATGATGATAAGGCTGATGGTGAAGGTGATGGTGATGGTGATTTTTGGTATCGTAATTAGTAGAGCTCATGAACGACATTTTCTTTTTGTTTTGGGTTTTGGAGGGTCTTTGAAGTTCTTGATGATATTTTGTTTACATATTAGTTCTGTAATGAATTGGGTTTTTATAGTTTAATGTTATTCCCTTAAGATAAGAGTGAATCTAATACCTTCACCTTTTGACATGGAAAATTATATTTCTTGCTAACTTTTTTTGAACTATACATATAAGAATCTTGAAAGTGAGGAAATAATTAAGACATACATTTTGAGATATTATTGTGGAATTTATAAAGCAAGCATCTTTATGCCTTTGGAATATCCTCTACTATAGTATAGTGAATGGGATTATATCTCCATGTGACTATATCTTTTGGCATGGAGATTAGAACCAGATTTGATTTGTCATTTTTGAGAATCTTTGAAGTCAAATTCTGGTGAAGTTTTGATGAGTCTTTGTTTACTTGAAGCAATTGTCTTGTTTTTGTTGTGCAAGGAAGTTAGGTGATCAAGCATACATATAGATGCTGCATGTTGTCAAAATTTTACTGCCAAGACTTCAATTTATAGACTTCTTATTCATAATCTCAAAGAGATGTTAAAAAGGACACATAAAACATTTAGAAACGCAATTTTATTCTTGATGGACCCTCTTTATTTAATCATCTCTTAATTAAAAATTCTTAAAGCCATTGGCCCTCCAATTGAAGTTCTCATTAAATGCCTGGCACTGGGCACCATCAGTCTCCCATGTGCTATGCTCATACCTCACTTTTTCCACCACCAAAGCCGGTGGTGCTGGAGAATGTACCCGGCGGCGATGTCCAGTCCAGAATTCAGCATCAGCAGTTGTATTGTTGAAAGCACCACCATTCATTTTGGCAGCAGAGGCATGGTTGAAGTGAAAATTAGAGGAGCCACTGTTTTTGTGTATCATAGTTTGGTGTTTCAAGGGCTTAGGAGAGCAAGCGGGCTTGCATGGCGGAGCAAGTGGCTTAGGCAGAGCCTGCAATTGCATGGAAGACTCATGGCTATGATACTCAGTTTCATACCACGATTCTTCATGCTTGGCAAAGTTTTGTTGTTGGAACCCAAAACTTCTTCTCATGTTTGGGTTGGCTGTGCAATTCCTTGTGGATCAAAATGATATTTATAGACTCCAATTTTTTTTTTTTTTTTTTTTTAAATAGAAAGATTGCATATCTTCTCTTGTTTGAAAGAGAAATTGCAATCATAGCACTAATGGTATTCCCTAATCTTGGTGGATATCAATTAAAGCTTTTCAGGCTAAAAAAAAAAATACATATTTAAAGCAAAAGATGGACAGGATTCATATTCTTCACAGACCCCATTTTCTCCTTTTTTTTTTTTTTTTTTTTTTTTTCAAAGATGGAACCAGGATTCATAATTCTTCACAGACCCCATTTTCTTCCTTTTTTTTTTTTTTTTTTTTTTTTATTTAAGAAAGTAATTTTCAACGCATAGGTGTAATAGAAAATTTTGTGTAAAATATTTCATCGAGTAAGAGTAGTTTTAATTTCTTTTCTCATTTCAACTTGTAAATAAAGAAAATTGTTTTTTTTTTTTAAAAAATAATAATTGGATTTTTTTTTTTTTTTTTTTTTTATTTAAGAAAGTAATTTCACCATATGTGTAATAGAAAATTTTGTGTAAATATTTCATCGAGTAAGAGTAGTTTCATTTCTTTCTCATTTCACTTGTAAATAAAGAAAATTGTTTTTTTTTAAAAAATAATAATTGGAATGAATATTACCATGGAGGAAAGGCATTGAAAACAAATTAAATTGCTATAAAATGTATTTTCTTTGTTTCTTGTCTCCCTCTTTCAATGTTCTAAGCAAGAAAACCGTTAAGGGTTGCACTGGACCGTTCCAAACTTCCCAATTTTTTTTTTTTTTTTATAATATTGAGGGAGGAGGTTCAAATTGAAATCTATACTAAGTCTTATATGCACTCACCGCAGTCCAAATTTTACAAAATTTAAATATTTATAATTTATTTATATTTCTAAATTATGTAAATAATAGCCCATATATTTTCTGTACATTTTCTACAGCAGCCTCTTTAGAAAAGTATATATTTGACTATTAAATTCACTTGAATTTTATTTTAGCTAATATATAATTTTTAAAATTATATTTACATATATGCATATATATACATCCAATTCCCATCCATAGCCCATGTCCTTTTCACTATAAATATGATCATGTCCAAAAAAATAAATATGATGATCATGTTTAAGTAACATGATGCATAGACCCACTCTTGCATTTTTAATCCCAACCACCTACAGTTCCAATCATACCAATGCTGTCCTTCCAACCAAAATGTTGATTTCAAAAATAAAAATAAAAATAAAAAACCACAACAACAACAAACACACACATTTAAGTATTCTTCACCCTTTTTTTTTCTCCATTTTCCATCAAAACCAACCAGGTTGATTGACAAATAAACTAGGGCCCAGATGCCACCTCCATAAACTGAGAAGGTGATCTTGCAATGTGAGAGGGAATATAAACTTGGTATCCAGTGCCAGCTTCATTGCCAGAGAAGCATGACCTACCTCCCAAACTTACTTCAACAATATCTGGAAATTCATTTATAGATATGGTCCACATTACAGGGCAAACAAGACAAAACCAAAAAAAAAAAAAGTTCTTGCATTTTTGGTCTGATGCATGCCAATTAAAATCAGTAAATGACAGCTCAACGGTAAAAACTAAATGATGACATGAAATAACAGTTTTAACAAAGAATGAAATATTGCAATAACAGACATACGGAATCTTGCAGCATGTTCCCCTATACTGGATTCTTTGTCCTCATCCATACCAAACATTTTATTTTCTCCCTCTCCAATCATTCGAACAAGAAAAAGAATGGATCAATTCATGAACACTAACTAGGCACAGCCAAAAGCAGAATTCTGATCAATAACATATCTAAATAGCAATCAAATATAATGAATGATGGTGTTAATGACATGTAAGTAAGAATAAATTGTCTCAGAACAAAACTTTCCTATATAGGGAATCACCGCAGCCCTCAAAACTATGTTTTAGAGTACTTGGAGAATCAAGTTCTACCGATGCTAAGAACCACACGAGCACCGAAAAAGATGAATTAGCTGTTACCATGACAGCAAGTTCAGCAACAGGCATCAGGCGGATATGCTGTGTGTTGAATAAAACCCAAATCCAGACAAAAGCTATATACATAAACCGAACCTAGAAGAAAATCCAAGAATTCTCCCAACTCTTCAAAACATGTCTCAAATTTAGTTTGAACTGTACCAGTGACAAGTTAGAGTCGTCACACGTTCACTTGGACCTTCATAAAAGAAGTAGCAAAAGCTGCAGCTCTGCCTAAGCTTTCCAGGAACAGATTTTAAATGGCTTCTAAGAGAATCACCCACTTTCTCTCATGCAATTCCCAGGCAAGAGAAATTTATACTTATCAGAATTTTCTAATAGATATGATGGAAGATGAACAGCTGAATAAGAATGAGGAATTGGTCCCATTTTACCGATGATTTCCTTGAACGTGTACTCTTCTGGAAGCATATCAAATAAATCAGCACCCTCACAGATTTTTCTCTGGACTCTTTCAGGATTCAAATATCGCTTGAATCTGACTCTATCATAATGGCTGTAAGCTCTCATCTTGAATATAAACTCACTTATCCGGCGGAAGCAAAAGCTGCAGTGCCACCCCGCATCAGCCAAAATGTCATTGGCCTGCCGATAATGTGCATACCGCGTCTTGCCTGACTGATACCTGTGAACTGAAGCTCTCCAGCTGTTATTATCCACAAGAAACTCAAAAGAGTAGAGATAATTCTTCAGTCGAAGGTGAAGAACTGAAGGTATATCATCACACCATCTCAAGAGGTTGATAGTATGCCTGCTTGGTATCTCATCTACATCTGACATTATCAACAAGTCATCATCAGAAATCCCAGCTACTCTGATAAGCTGATCTAGAGCTACTCGTTGGTATGCCTCCTCGACAAATGGATTTTCTCCTTTCCTAAATCTCCCGCCAATAGTTCCATAAGTCAATCTGGACTCGACAAATTTGAACTGACTTCGATGTTTGGCAAAATAGAGAAGCTTTTCACTGCCAGTGAATGTTGAATTAGATTCAAGAAGAATGAACTGTGTCACATATGGGTATAATTCTTTCCACCGTATTGTGAGGATATCCAGCTCATTACTGAACAACACTGCATCATAAACACGTCTAGGGAACTCACGAATCTTCCAACCATGGAGTTTGCAGAGATTCTCCATTGACACATTCTCATGATAATAATGTGGGATTTCATTGAAGCTTTTAGGAGGCTTTTCCCATAGTGGCCGCATGAAGTAAGAGATCTTCTGACCATGCACATATATACCATAGACACATGTTGGCACGAGAATGAATAGAAATAAATATGTCTTTAAATCGATGCCGCGGAGGATACAGCGGATTCTCGACATGCTCAAAACTCGGCCTGAATCCTGCACATCAAAGAGAGTCCATTACAAATTATATCAAAAGAAAAAATGAAACAGATCAAATTTCCTATCCATGAAATTTTGATTATTATAGAAAGTTCATGAAAAACGTTTACAAAAGATACCACACTACAAATATGGTAAAAAATAAAGAGATAAAATAGCAACTTTGTCTATTATCTTTTTCAGCATACAGTAGCATTCTCTTTAATTTCGGGAAAGGATGAGAGAAGGCACAGATAATTGGTTAAGGATGGCTTCTTTTTTCAAAGATGCTTCAAAATATCTTTGCCCACTTTTACATGTTTTCCAGACAACCAGAAACAAGTAAGGATATTTATAATACTAGTCTTCAGTGGATGAAACAAATCACCCAAATCCAGAGGACCCAGATTGCAATGTCACCAGCACTTGAATTATGTTCCTATTTTCTTAGTGATTATTTTTTGTTAACAAATAAATAACTGAAATCCTATTTCCCCAATTCCAAATTCATCAAGAAGAAGAAAAAAAGAAAAAAACAACTCATCTCAACCTTGCCATTCAAATTAAAAAAGAAGAAATTTAGTATCACAAATCTCTATAATAAATGCCTTTCCATCTATTAACAGATGCATTTCCAAGAAAAACAATGAAATATATATTATATGCAAAATGCCAAAGGAAATCCGGAATTCAAATATCCATAATAGCAGATATTGAACTCCACGAAACCAGTAAGCTACAATCACAAGTCAATCACTTACATTGTAATAAACAATTTTTAAGGAGAACAATCAATTCCCTATCTCAGAAACTGGGGATTAAAAAAAATAAATAAATCAAAGATCCAAAATTGTGACATGTTTGTGTTAATAGAACAAAGCCCAGTTGAAAATTTACCAGAAAATGAACAGATCAATTGAGCTCTAAGCAGACATTAAAACAAATCTAACAAATGATCAAAAGCCATGAAATCAATAAAATACCTGGCCGCAAACGTCACCGCATATATCATCAGTCTTCTTGGAGCAGTAATGCCCACCATTTTCACCCATCATCCACCACATTTTTTGTTCTCTCGAATCCTTTCCCAGATATTTCGAATCAAATTCAACCAATCTAAGAACCCCACACTAAACTAGATCAGCTTTCACCAAATGACCAAAAACACCACCCAAATTGCCCAAAAATCGGTGGCGAAGTGCGCAAGACTGTAAGTCTCCCTCCTGCTTGAATAGGTACTCCTTCCTCGATCTCCGCTTCTCCCCAGTAGAAGAACCAGCAAATTTAGCCGCTTAACCTCTTTCTCTAAAAATGATTTCTTTACAACGAAAACTTGGCTGAAAGAGATGAACTAAAAAAAAATACTAATATCCAAAATTAAGAAGCTCTTAAAGCCTAATTAAAAAAAGAGACAAAGCAAAAAATCGAAAAGGGTACAAATAAAAAAACTAAAAGGGTTGTGACTTCTCTGTTAATGGGTGGCAGTTGTAAAGACCCTGTCTATGTCTCTGTTTGGCTATGATGAGAGAGATATAGAAAGAGAAGAAAGAGCCGTTTCCATTGTTATTATATATAGATTAAGAGTATAATTTAATCATTGACCAAATTACCCTTCCTACGGTTTTATCCGATGGAAAATATTTGGACAATTTAGTAATTCAGTTCTCTCGACGCGTCTAAGACTAAATCAAGACAACTGTCCCTCTGTGGTTTTCTTCTTGACGAATTTTAGAACGAAGTACCAATTCCAAAGTTTCGTATTCTTTTTGTTACTGAAGGTTAATTTGGTAACTTTGGTGGTTCGAACTGGACGTTGTTTCAGTTGCACATGGTAACGGAAATATTTTTTTTTTTATTTTTTTATTTTTTGGTCTGAAAGTTTCAAAAATTCAGTACAGAATATGTTAGAGGGTGTTACGCATATTAAAGTCTCCAATAAACATGGGCAAAAAGGGAACAAATCAGAATTAAAGGAATTTATTTTAATTATTTAATAATTTTTTTCGAATTTGTATTTTTAGGTTCGAATCAAGTAATATCTAGAGAAAAATCATTGTTAACACGTAAAATTCGAGATAAAAAATATAGTTCACTTTGCTGATAACTGATAGTAATAGAAAAACGTAATGAAAGTATTTTTTTTATTAAAATTAAATTCCTAATTTTTTTTTGAGAAAAAAGTCCTAAATTATTATTTTTTTAAAAAGTAAACTCTTATTTTATTTAGTTATTGTTAATAATTTGGACTTGCCATTTACTCTCAATAAATTTAAAGTTTAATAATAATTGGATAATATCAATAATCCAAATGTGTGTTATATAAAGTTGAGCTCTTCGCGGGAGTTTATGCATTGTAATTTAAGCATGGCCACGGTTCCGGTTCCGGTTCGGGTTCCGGTTTCAATCCGATTACAAAATCGACGGTTCCGATTGGTTTTCCGGCGAATCACATAATTTTAAATTTTAAATTTTGAATACCGGTTTAAAAAAAATCCGGTTTCGGGTTCCGGTTTTCAATCCGATTACAAAATCGAACGGTTCCGATTGGGTTTTTTCCGGCGAATCACATAATTTTAAATTTTAAATTTTGAATAACCGGTTTAAAAAAAAATTAATGTGGAACATAAAAATTAAAAAAAATAACAGTTAAAAAATGTTTTAATATGAAAGACCGTTAAAAAAAATTATTTGAAACATAAAAAAATTAAAAAATACATACCTAAAAAATTTTAAATTTTGAGAACCGCGGTTTAAAAAAATTAATTTGAACATAAAAATTAAAAAATAAACACCTAAAAAATTAAAAAATACTTCAATTAAATTTATTTTTTTTAAAGACTTGAATTGTTTTGAAGTGGTTGAACATAAATGATATTTTTTTAAAAAAAATTTTGAATGAATTTTTTTTTTTTTTAAGTTTGAACATAATTTAAAAAAAAAAAATGGGTTTGAACTTAATTTTTTTTTGTTTTAAAAAAAAATTAAGTTGCCTACGTATCCTCTTTGGGGGTTTAGAGGAATCAAAGCCCACGTAGTTTCTTATTTACCTTAATATCATTTTCCACCCCTTTTACCTTAATCGCTATTTGCACCACCGGTTTTGATGTTCCCCGTTTTTTTTTTGAAAAAAAAAAAGGGGTAACCCCATCGTATAAATCAAATAAATCTTCATTTTTTTTGGATTTTCTTGGCTCTTAGTTTCGGCCTTTGGTTCAATCATCATCCAAACGCACCGCTTGTGCCTTCTAATGAATCGGGTGTCCATACGAGATCGTGTTTCAATCAAAAGTAATGTTACCTTTCTTGACTAAAAGCTTGTTCAAACCGCAACAGTGGAGACCAGGAGCAACAGTGGAGACCGGAGCTACTAAAATTTGTTTTGCAAGTAAAGAAAGAATTGAAAAAGTATTTGCGTGACGACTCCACCAATCTAAAATTGGAAAATCTGCATCAGCATAATCATCACCAAACTCAAAAGAAGTTGTTAGATAATTATCAAATTCAGAAATAGAACTGGATTCCCTTGTTCTTTTTTGTCTTTGCAATGAAACTTATTGAGCAACACCAACACCACTTACCCTTTATGTTGAAAATTGTGGAATATTAGATTGAGAAAGTAGATGAACTAGAAACTTGAACAAATTCATTATATAATTGCATAATATTTTGTTTAACTTCATGCATTACTACATTTATATTAACATTATCTTCTACTACATTTATATTAACATTATCTTCTACATCAAGATTCAATACTTCATAATAAATAGTCAAATAATCACATAAAACATCCATTCTACATCTAGGATCAAATATAATAGCAACAAGATAAAGGGGTGCTATATTTTTAAAATAAGATAACCATTTTTTTTTCATTGAAAAAATACAATCTTTTAATAAATCATCATTTTGAAATTCTTGGAGTGCATTAACAATATTAATACACAGGTAAAAATAAATGAGATGTGGGATAATAAACCCCACTAAATTTATAGGTAGCATCATTAAAAATTTTTAAAATATCTAAAATTTTTGTACAAATTACAAACAAATCTCCAATTTTGTGGGGGATATAAATTAATATCCTCAATAATTTTATAACAAAAAAAGCATAATAATTTTTATAAGAAAAAGACTTCGTTTAGAGTAATTCATATGTTGAATTCCAACGAGTTTGGGACATCTTGAAAACGTTTTGGTCTTTTATTATTTTCTTTACAAAATTTAGCCCAACTTTTCATCACTTGGGGATGTGTCCATAAATAATGAAATAGCTTTTTTAATTGGAGAAATAAAGAATCAAAGAATTTTTTTAACCAATCTTGTACACATAAATTTTAAAACGTGGCATGCACCATCTTATATGAAAAAAATTTACCCAACCAAATAATTTGGTTCACTAAATTTTTTTTAAGTTCAATAAATTGATTCTATGTATTTGCAGAAGCATTTAAGTGAAAATTGAAAAAAAATTTTTTGTCAACTTAAATATTCATCTAAAATTGAAACAATTACTCCTATAATATTATGGTTGGTAAGTTGTTTTTCTCATCAAAACTCGAAAACCAATATTATTTTTTGAAATTTTCCAATCATCATCAAATCCAATGACATGTAATACCCATATAGGAATGCATTTGCCAATGATCACTCCAAACATCAAACAAATTGAAATACGAATTTTTAAATTGAGAAAATTAAAAGCTCTAACTCCCTTTTTTTCCTTTATTATATAAAGAAATAATAGTTTTTGTTCTATCAGTATTTTTAATAACTCTTTAGCACAGGATTAAAAGTTTTTTTAGACAATAATTATTAAACACCTACTTTTTCACCAAAAACTAAAGATAAATGTTCCATAGAATCATTTTTGCTTAATTCTTCTTTTTGTATTTTTTCAGAAATATTTAAATAAAAAAGGTTTTAGAAGCGTAACAGGAAATTTGTTGTTGAGACCGATCAACTTTCCTATTTTTGTTGGATGTTTTGTCTCCAAATGCTTCCGAAAAAATGATCCATAGTCGCCCGCTGTTTAAATTTATAAGATTTCCACAATATTGCATAATTGCAAATTATATCGTACATTTTCTCACCTTTGAATTTTTTTGTGAAATGAATGGAGAATATGTCGGAACTTTATCTTGCTCTTGTAACAATTTTTGCTCGTAGCTCTTGCTCTTGCTCTTCATCTTCTTAAAATTGCTCATTAAATTCGGATTCTTGAGTTGGAATATCCAAATTTTCATTTGGAAAACCCTCAAAATTACATTGGTCGGGAATCATATCATAGATGTCGTTTGTAGGGATAAAACCTACTTTTTCACCAAAACTAAAAGATAAATGTTCCATAGAAATCATTTTTGCTAATTCTTCTTTTTGTATTTTTTCAGAATATATAAATAAAGAAGGTTAGAAGCGTACCCGAAAATTTGCATGGTAAGAATATAGAGTAGAGTAGAGAAGAATAAATGATTAATATAGAGTAGAGTGTAGTATATGGTAGAGAGAGTAAGTAGAGAGTGTAGTATATTGTAGAGAGAGTTGAGATGTTTTTGTAATGAATTTGTAAATAAAATGAGGTATTTATAATAAATCCAAAAATTCATTTTTCTAAAAATACCCTTGAAACTAGCCGTTATGTAGCCGAGCGCGTATGTACCGTTTATGGCTGTTGGGAGGGGTAATTAAGACATTTTCACAACAAATTTAAAAAAAAAACTGTAAAATCTGACAGTTACAAACAGGTAGAACCGGCGGTTCTAACCGGATGGAGAACCGTTTCACAACAAATTTAAAAAAAAAAAACTGTAAAAATCTGACAGTTACAACGGCTAGAACCGGCGGTTCTAACCGGATGGAGAACCGGCGGTTTCAGTAAGGTTCCGACCGGTTCTGGTTCTTTATTTGCTGGAACCAGAACCGAACTGGATTTTTTCGGTTACGGTTACGGTTCTAGGCCGGTTCGAACCGACAGTTCCGGTTCCCGGAACCGTAATATGCCAAGTCTATTGTAATTTTTAATGAATATTTGAGAAAAATAATTGAAAGGGAATGAGCAAATGCTTGTGCTACCGACGTGCATATTACGAAGTCAATTATTAACACCAACTAAATGAAATGACCCAATGTATTTTAAAATATTTTGAATTTTTACAAAATTTATTTTCTATCTTATTTTTATTTTTTTATTAATTTTCTTTATAATTTTGACTTTTTGTAATAATAACACACTCAATTCCAATTAAGGATAAACTTACAAATAAAAAATATTTTCATATTTTTTTATGCCACAAGTTTTAAAGGCCCAAAAATAAAAATATAAGAAAATTCTATTTTTCTAGTCAATTAATATTGCATACATTATATTTTAATTTGGTAAATAGAGTATAAAGACCTCAAAAAATTATCTTTTCGTCCTATCTTGTAAACTTTAAGATGTATGAAGATTTATATTTGATTCCTAATTAATAATTTATAACATTTCTTTCTTGTACTTACTTAGTGATGGTTTTTGGTAATTGTCAAGAAATTTGAAGGACTTAT